AAGGAGGAGCTGAGTGAGTAGAATCCTGCTGCTCCCACCCCCTCCACCCCACGCCACCCACCTCCACCTACCTGCCCCAGCTCAGCCTGCCCCCACAAGCCCCTTCAAGCCCAGGGCTAAGTGACAGGCCCTCCCACTGTTCAGAGAAACCCAAAAAGGAGGGCAGCAGCCCCAAGGAAGAGGAGACGGAGGACAGATGGACACTGGAGAAGGGCAAGGACCACAAAGGTGTGTGTCTGGGGCGGGCCGCTGGGCCCTCGCAGCCTGGGTCCTGGTGGCAGAGCAGCTGAAGTGCTGGGTGCTCCTGGACCCTCAGCACCATCCTCCCTTCATTGTCCCCAGGGCCCCGGAAGGGCGAGGAGCTAGAAGAGTGGGCTCCAGCAGAGAAAGTCAGTGAGTGAGGGGCCTGGGGGGTGGGGGCAGAGGGTGTTTGAGGGAGCTGGGGCAAGTGACCCCCCACCACCCAAGGCCACATGTGAGAGGGGAGAAGGCTCCGGGGCCCCGGTTCTGCATGTGGTGGAGGGAGGAGTGGAGCCATAGGTGGCAGCCTGGAGTGCCGTGTCTGCAGAGTGCCCCCCCATTGGGATGGAGTCACACCGCATCGAGGACAACCAGATTCGGGCCTCCTCTATGCTGCGCCACGGCCTGGGGGCCCAGCGTGGCCGGCTCAACATGCAGGTGGGTGCTGGGGTGTGCCCTCTCCCAGCTGGGTGGTCTCCTGCACCCACTCAGCCACCCCTGCTCCCCAGGCTGGTACCACTGAGGACGACTACTACGACGGGGCCTGGTGTGCTGAGGACGACGCACAGAGCCAGTGGATCGAGGTGGACACCAGGAGGACCACCAGGTTCACCGGTGTCATCACCCAGGGCCGCGACTCCAGCGTCCAGTACGTAGGCTCACAGGTAGCGGGTGGGTGGGCAGCCCCAGGCCCGGCTCCAAGTCCCATTGGAGAGATTTCAGTGAGCACCCCAGGGCCCCAGCCACTTCCCAGCTGTGACACTGTCCAGATAAGCCAACCACCCGTCCATGGCCACACAGTGAGCACAGGAGCCACTGGACCAGGCACCCCTGCTAGCTCTTAAGTTCTTGGGCCCAGGAGAGGGGCCTCAGCCAGCTGAGGGCCTGAGACCTGGGCTGGAGACCCGCCTCACCCTGACCGCCAACCACCGTCCGCTCCCCAGTGATGACTTCGTGACCTCCTTCTTCGTGGGCTTCAGCAACGACAGCCAGACATGGACGATGTACACCAATGGCTATGAGGAAATGGTGGGTGCCTGTGCCCTCAGGGGTGTGTGGTGCAGTGGCTCCTGTGCCCACTGTGGGCTGGCCCAGGGTGGAGTGGTGCTCTGAGGCCTGCTTTTCCCCAGACCTTCCACGGGAACGTAGACAAGGACACACCGGTGCTGAGCGAGCTCCCGGAGCCGGTGGTAGCCCGCTTCATCCGTGTGTACCCCCTCACCTGGAATGGCAGCCAGTGCATGCGCCTGGAGGTGCTGGGCTGCCCCATGTCCTGTGAGTGTGGGGGGGCGGTGAGGGTGGCAGGGCTGGGGGGTGGGGCTGGGCTGGCAGCTTGCCAGCTCAGGGCCCTTATGCCCACCCTCTGCAGCTGTCCACAGCTACTACACCCAGAATGAGGTGGTCACCACTGACAACCTGGACTTCCGGCACCACAGCTACAAGGACATGCGCCAGGTGGGGGGCTCATCCCAGGGCAGGTCATCTGTCCAGGGCTCAGGCTTGAGGCTAACTGGAGCTTGTGTGGGAGCTCCGTTCTGCTCCCATCCCACACACAGCCTCCTAAGAGCAGGCCCTGCAGGGGCTGCCCCTACCAGCGAGGTTTTCTCCTGGGCCCTGTCCCCCCACTCCCCCACAGTGGGGTGGCCATGCTCCCTGCTGGGCTGTGTGACTTGTGTCCTCTCCCACACAGCTGATGAAGGTGGTAAATGAGGAGTGCCCCACCATCACCCGCACGTACAGTCTGGGGAAGAGCTCCCGGGGGCTAAAGATCTACGCCATGGAGATCTCTGACAACCCTGGAGACCATGAGCTGGGTGAGGCCCCCTGAGCCCCCAGAGACCTGGCCTCACTCCCAACAGATCAAAGGCAAAGCCCACACTGTAGCTTAGCCTATGCCTTAATGTTCCCAGCTCACCACCTACACCTGTTCTTGGAACTCCTCTGGGGGTCCCTGTCTGTCTTGCTGGGCCCTACAAGCCTCAGCCACATATGCCCTCTGAGTGAGGAGGACAGTTTGGTCCTTCCTCGAATCTCCCAGCCTCAGTGGGCTGAGTGGCTGCTGAGGATCCTGCCCTTGCACAGGGGAGCCCGAGTTCCGCTATACAGCGGGGATCCATGGTAACGAGGTCCTGGGCCGTGAGCTGCTGCTGCTGCTCATGCAATACCTTTGCCGCGAGTACCGTGACGGAAACCCCCGCGTGCGCAGCCTGGTGCATGACACTCGCATCCACTTGGTGCCCTCGCTGAACCCCGATGGCTATGAGGTGGCAGCACAGATGGTGGGTGTAGGGTAGAGGGACTTGGGCAGTGGCTTGTGGTGGTGGAGGGCAGGTGATGTGGAGCTGGTGGGTGCAGGCTAGACCGCCTTTTGCTGACACCCCCACCCCTACCTTCATGCACCCAGGGCTCCGAGTTTGGGAACTGGGCACTGGGGCTGTGGACTGAGGAAGGCTTCGACATCTATGAGGACTTCCCAGATCTCAACTCTGTGCTCTGGGGAGCTGAGGAGAGGAAATGGGTCCCTTACCGGGTCCCCAATAACAACCTGCCCATCCCTGAACGCTACCTCTCCCCGGATGCCACGGTGAGTCTGCCGCCTGGCCAGCAGGGCCTTGGGAACAGCCGTGGCCCCGGGCCCTGGAGTTCTGGGCACTGACGCAAGGTGTTGGAGGGATGGGGTGGGAGGGCTGATTCCTGGTATCTGTGGAGGGTGGTGGAAATACGGCCCAGGCCTCACGCAGGGCCGCCCCCAGGTATCCACGGAGGTCCGGGCCATCATCGCCTGGATGGAGAAGTACCCGTTCGTGCTGGGGGCGAACCTCAACGGTGGCGAGCGGCTTGTGTCCTACCCCTATGACATGGCACGCACACCCAGCCAGGAGCAGCTGCTGGCCGCCGCTCTGGCAGCTGCCCGCGGGGAGGATGAGGACGAAGTGTCTGAGGCCCAGGAGACCCCGGATCATGCCATCTTCCGCTGGCTGGCCATTTCCTTCGCCTCCACCCACCTCACCATGACTGAGCCCTACCGGGGAGGTTGCCAGGCTCAGGACCACACCGGGGGCATGGGCATCGTCAATGGGGCCAAATGGAACCCCAGATCCGGAAGTGAGTTGGCAGGGGAGGGGCTGTGGTGGGTGCTCAGTGTGGAGCAGGGCGAGGCTGACCGCGGTTCCACCTGCTCCCACACAGCCATCAATGACTTCAGCTACCTGCACACCAACTGCCTGGAGCTTTCCATCTACCTGGGCTGCGACAAGTTCCCGCACGAGAGTGAGCTTCCCCGAGAATGGGAGAACAACAAGGAAGCCCTGCTCACCTTCATGGAGCAGGTGGGTGCTGGGGAAGGGTAGGCACAGCCTGGGCAGTGGCTGGGAAGGGCTGGGACAGGGTCCTAGGGAACTCTGGCCCAGAGGGGCCTGGACAGTGCTGGGAGTGGGTGCAAGGGTCAGCATGTGGACACCCGCCCTCACTGCCTTCTTGCAGGTTCACCGCGGCATCAAGGGGGTTGTGACAGATGAACAAGGCATCCCTATTGCCAATGCCACCATCTCCGTGAGCGGCATTAACCATGGTGTGAAGACAGGTACCTATATGTACACCTCTACCCCACTAATCCAGGTGGGGGCCCAAAGCTGTGTTGGTCTTGGCCGGTGAGCCCAGGCCTATGCCAGCAGGTCCCGCTCCTTCAATGCCTCCAGAGGGTCTAGGGTCTGCCCCCAGGCAGAGGGGGTCTGGAGCCTGGGAGGGGGTGCCCTCGCACAGCTGAGCCCATCTCTCTTTGCAGCCAGTGGCGGTGATTACTGGCGCATCCTGAACCCAGGGGAGTACCGGGTCACAGCCCAGGCAGAGGGCTACACGCCAAGCGCCAAGACCTGCAATGTGGATTATGACATTGGGGCCACTCAGTGCAACTTCATCCTGGCCCGCTCTAACTGGAAACGCATCCGTGAGATCTTGGCCATGAACGGGAACCGGCCCATCCTACGTATAGACCCTTCACTTCCTATGACGCCCCAGCAGCGGCGCCTGCAGCAGCGACGCCTGCAGTATCGGCTGCGCATGCGTGAACAGATGCGGCTCCGTCGCCTCAACACCACTGCGGGGCCAGCCACCACCTCCACGTTGCCCCCCACGTTGCCCCCCACGTTGCTCCCCACCCCCTCCCTTGCCCCCTCCCCTGCCCCCAGCTCCACCCTGGAGCCCTGGCACTTTGTACCTGAGACCACAGCCAACTGGGAGGAGTCTGAGACAGAGACCTACACAGAGGTGGTGACAGAGTTTGGGACAGAGTTGGGGCCGGAGGAGGAAGAAGAGGAGGAGGTGGTCACAGGCCCAGAGTTCCCCTTTACCACAGTCGAGACCTACACAGTGAACTTTGGGGACTTCTGAGAATGCCAGGCTCATGCCAAGGGCCATGTCGCTGGGCCGGCTCAACAGCCATCAGCAGTTAAGGCCCCCTGTGTGGGTGTGAGTGTCACCAACACCTGAGAGCCAGGGTTAGCCTCGTTGTGGACCTCAGAGAGGACACATGCTGCGGTGGGGGGGGTGGGAGGGGGAGGGGTGGCCCAGCGAGCCCAAGGCAGACTTCTCCACCAGCCCAAGCCACACAATAAACCAGCTCATGGCACACGTGTCATTGACCACTGACCCTACTGACTGACTTGGGGTGAGGGCAGCAGGAGGGAGCCTCAACCTGTGGGGTCTTCCTCCGCGGGAGGGCCCAGCCCCAGGTCCACCCTGTCCAGCAGGTCAACACCAGCTAAGGGTCAGGCTTTATTTATTCACAAAGACAAGCTGCCTCGGTGCTGACACAGCAGGAACAATGGATAGGGCCTGCAGACAGGCTGCCCTCCTGGCTCAGGGGCCCAGGCCCAGCCCTTCCAGGTCATCGTCCTCTGCCCCAAAGCCTGAGAAGCTGATGGGCTGGCAGGCCAGGCTGCGCAGGTTCACAAGGCAGGCAGTCTGTGTGGCGCTGAAGTCCGGCACGGCTACCAGCAGCACAGTCTGGTCCTCTGGGCCTGCAAGCGAGTCACGTGGGGACCCACTTTAGGTTCTGGGTGAGCCCTGTTTCAGAGGAAGTCACCCAAGTACCCAGGAGTAAACACCGTGGGCATGCTGACCACACAGCTTCTTTGGACCAGAAATGGCAAGGGTCATGGACACCACAGAGGTCAAAGTCTCAGGTGATGCTGACCAGAGGTGAGCTGACCCCACCATGCAGGCGCAGACGATGCCAGCCCCTGGCCAGCACACTCATAACATCAGTGCCAGCTGGGCCTGAGGCTCCAGTGTGGGTTGTCTTCTCTGAGAGCCTTGTTCCCGGCTGGGAGCAAGTCCCTTATACCAGTGCATGCCTGGGGCCCCCTGAAGACCAAACTCACCTCGGATGATTTTGGAGCCAAAGCTGGGGGTGTTGCCACAGAAATAGACATTCGGGCACTCCAGGAAGATGAACGGGTCAGTTTTGTAGAAAGGGTAGCAACCTGGGGAAGGGGCCTGTGGCTGAGCCAGGGCTGCGACTCTAGAGTGGCTTCTGGAGCAGCACCAGGCCCTGAGGCTCTTCCTCAGAGAGGCCCCGCCGGGGCAGCGAGTGCAAACCCGCACCGAGGACCCTCCAAGCACCATGGGGACCAGCAACCTCCTGTTCTTTGGTCCCACCCCACGTGGCGGAGTCCCTTCTATTACCCAGTGTGTCAGGGGCTGTGGGGCTGATGTGACGGACTCGCAGGGTCCACTCTAGGATTTCCAAGTGATCTTCCATGCTGCTGTACCGGAAAATGTCACTCACATTCTGTCCCGCTGTGCCCAGGAACCTGCAAGGCAAAGCAAGCTAACCCCTAGGCTGGGGGGCTGACACCCACATTCCTCCCACACCAGCCAGGAGCTCACCTGGCACTCTTGTGGGGGGTGGTGTCCCCAGCCACCCCCGAGAAAGAGGCCAATTGAGGTGGGTAATTCTCCCCTCCCAGTGCCACTGAGGCAAAAGGCCAGGGGTCAGGGTGGAGTGTGGCTATGCTGGTACCTGACTCCATCGATGGTAGCCTGGTAGGGGTTGGTGACCAGCTGGAGCGTGGAGTAGGCGGTGGCCAGTGGGAACATGCAGGGGTGCAGGGGCTGCTGGGGGAGCGTGTAGTTGGTTGGGTCGAACTCACCTGGCATCACGTCCACGGGCACCGAGGCCTGGAAGGCACAGGGCAGGAGGGCCTCAGGGCCTGGCACCCTCTGTGCAGCCCCGCAGGGGCCCTCCCATCTGCCTTCTCCTGCCTGCCTTCGGTGCCCACTGGCAGCCTCGCCGTGTCCAGCCCCACCCTGCCAGCCCCGATCTCTCACACTCAGCTGCAGGAGGATCTCGTCTAGCATTTTGATGGCTTCCACACTGGCTGCCTGGGTTTTCTTGGTCAGGTACTTGGCCTAGGAGTAGAGCCCACGCAGGCTGTGAGGCCCCAAACGAGCGTCAGAGCAAAGGGACACTGAGCCCGACCTGGGTACCCAGGTTGGGAGCACAGCAAAGCCCTCCCCATGGGGGACAGAAAGCAGGGCCTGAGTCAGGGCAGGCCCCAGGCAGAGGTGGTCCAAGCATTGCTGCAGGGCGCTACCCACAGGCTGGGGAGAGCTTGTGCCCGACTCAGGGGAAGGAGGGCTGCTGAGGCAGGTGGGTGCGCACCTTGTTGATGGAGTCTCTGCTCTGGGTGCTGTGGCTGAGGAGGTTCCCAGCAAGGATGACCCGGGAGATATGGGCAGCACTGCACTGCTCCCCCTCGTCCCCCAGCTGCCCCGTCACCACGTCCACCAGCAGCTGGGTGCCCAGCAGGCTCTCACCCCCACCTCCACCCAGGCCTAGACCGGACACCAGCAGCACAAACCTGCAGGAGAAGTGGGATTCTCCTGAGGGCTGTGGCAGCAGGCAGCCACGCCCCCAGGTGGGCCACATGGAGCCACCTATGAGCCCAGTGACTGAGAGTCCCCTGGGCCACTGCCCAGGACCCTAGCACTCACTCACCTGTCCAGGTCAAGGGGTGGCATGGGTGTCTGAAAAGCCAGCCCTGCAAAGCAGTGGTCCTCCACCAGGAACTTGCCGTCGTCTCCCACAGCGCCCAGCACGGCCAGCACCGTCCCTGGGAACAGCAGCGTCAGGCCCCATAGGGGAGCCCAAGGGACCCCCTCTGTCATTACCCAAACAGCAAAGCCCGCCAGTTCTCTGCCGTGCTGGAGAATCCCCACTCAGGACCCGCTTCCCGGGATCACTGCCTTCAGGCAGAGGAGGAAGGACTGACCCCTTCCCGGGTCTCACTCGCTGCCTGTACCCAAACCCAGGGCTCCAGGAATGCAGGTGTGCACCAGCACCAAGACGCCTGGGCCACCCCTCCCCACCTGTGACCAGCTTAGACACATCAATGGTGCCTTCCAGTTTGATACGCTGCAGTTCATCTTCTAAGACCAGCTCGTCATCCGGGTGGATGTACTTGTTCCGGGGAGGCTGGGGTAGCAGGTTGTGCTGGAACACAGGGTTAAGAGGCAGTCTTGGAGCCAGAGCCCTCCAGGGCCTGGTGCCGCCTCAGCAAGAGGGCCCTACGGCGCAGCGCCCCCACAGGCAGAGGCTCGGCCCCAAATCCTGGGTCTCAGGCAAGTGGCCAGTTGGCTTCCCCAGGGGCATATTCTGGAGGAGGCACCTGCAGGCTGCGGCCTCACCTCCTCGCTGACCTCCCGCAGGATGGATGGCTGCAGCTGCATGGCCTTGAAGAGCGTCCCCACCACACAGCACTTCTCCCCGGGCTGCAGCTCGCACAGCTTCTTTACAGGAACGCCACCACCTGGGCACAGGGACGGAAGCTCAGAGACCACTCCTGTCCCCTGCCCCAGGGCACCAACATAGGGCTCACCACGCACAGCAGCCCGGCAGCCCTGTTTCTGCTGGAGGGAGAGACCACGGAGGGCGGCCTGAACCTAAAGGCTCCCTCAGCCCCAGGAGGGCAGGGCACTGGGGATGTGGGTGGGCCCTGGATGCGTCAGTCTGAATGGGGCAGACACACAGAGAAGGCAAGGAAAGGGCAGTGCTAAGACCACAGTGATGTGGTCCCAAGCCCAGAACACCAGTGGTCAACAGGAGTTGGAAGAGGCGGAAAGGACCCTCCTCTGGAGGCTTCGAGGGGGTGCAGCCCTGCTGACACCAGCGTTTCAGACTTCTGCCTCCACAGCTGGGAGAGAATCAGCTTCTGCGTTAAGATGCCCAGTTTGTGGCTGTTCTTACAGCAGCCACGGAAAACTAACAGAGTGTTCCCTCACTCACAGCTAAACTACCCCACTGGTTCTTAGATCTGCTGAGTCTCAACATAACCTGTCCTAAAAATATAACAAGTTCCTTAAAGAATCTGGATTCTCCCAAGCTCCCCACAAATGATACATCCTCTGAAAACAGAGATCCCTCAAAATCAAACTTCGCACCCACACCCACCCCATCCTGCTCCCTGTAGAGCTAGACTGCCTAGGGCCTGGGGCCACCACGAGGGAAGCACTAGGGATGCATGAGAACAAGGCTGGTTCTCAGGGGTTGCTGAGGCAAGGAGGAGGGTGCAAGTTCCTGAGGGCCCATGGCTTTGCCAGACCCCTTCTTCCTGCCTGGAATAACCAAGAACATGCCACAGACCTGCACCAGGGGAGTGGAGAAGAGTAATTCAGAACAAGATGAGGACTGTGCCAGCACCAGATACTAATGCCAGGTGCCAATGGGAACCAGAGACCTTGAAGCCACAGCATCCAAGCCTGCACTCAGCCCCAGGTGGCCGTGCCCAGCACTGCGCAGAGCTCCCTCAGCCCTGACAACACATCAGAGTAGAAGCTACCGCCCCACCATGTCCTTTGGGGAAAGTGATGAAGTGACATGTCCTGAGCGCCAGGCAGAGCCACAGAACCCTGTGCTGAGGACCGGACATCTGTCCTTCCAGGCGCATGTGGGCACCAGTGTTCACTTGAGGAAGAGATTACAATAATAAACAAGGGATCAGCCACTGTGACAAGCAGCACAAACAGCAGCTGAGACCGAAGATGCAGAGAAGGCCCTGATGGCCAAGGTGGACCCTTGGAGTGCATGGCATTTAAGTTGAAGTCCTAAGAGAGCAAGCTTGGCGAAGGGACAGAAAGGGCCCGGTGCGTTCAGGAAACACGGGAATGCAGGGCGAGCTGCAACTCAGGCTGAGCTCCAGTGGGGACTCCTGGTCACACCAGGAGTCACAGGGAGGTGTTTGGGGTGAGGCCAGCATCAGCAGCCAGGCGGATGAGTGAGACACTGTCAACCAAGGCCCCGTTCCTCGGGGCCACTGTGGGACTTCCTGACCGCAGGCTGTGAGCAGAATGAAAGGGCCGATTCCACTTCTGGGGAGTTCTGTCACCAGCAACATGGCTGGAAGAGAAATCTGGTACCAGAGAGGGTACTGCTATAAAGCATCTGAAAGGTGGCAGTGACACTGGACTCGAGAAGGGTGTCCCTGGGGCTTCCAGGAAAGTAAGGAAAAGGCCACTGGGAGCCAGAGGAAGGAGGCCCTTATGTGACAGGAGGTGAAAAACACTTCATAGGTAATAAAGAAAACAGAAATTGTCTTTAGTGGATATGATGAACCTGGAAGACCCAGACCTGGTGTTCTCGGGCTGCCGTTGTCCTGGTGGGATGGGCCTGGGCACCCAGGCTTCCAAAGCCTTCCAGGTGAGCCAGGTCCAGCCAGGGCTGAGACCCCTGAGCCTGGTGCTAGCAGCAGCAAAAATGAGTAAGACAGGGTTTCACCTATACAGTTTCGGTTTAGAAAAATTAACTGATTGAAAACAACATGAAAAGCCACTCTTATGAACAGTGAGAATGGGATAATGCAGCATCACCCAAAAGTTGAAGGTGGAGCCCTGCTTCACCACTAAGAATAACTTAACTGCAGGAGAGATCACCAAGGATGAAACGTGTTTAAAAAAAAAAAGAAAAAGAAGAAGATTTGCATTGCCCAAGCCATGTACTTAGGAAAGACAGAAGAGCCCAAGGGACAGGAGTTTCACCCCCAACAACACAGGAGGCCGGGAGTAGAAGTAGAGACATCAGTGAGCCCAGTCCCTCCAGGCCTCAGCTCCAGGAGTGGTGCCTGGCCTGCCACATGGGGGGGTCCGCTGCACTTAAGATAAGGAAGGACATTTCCCTGTGAAATATTACTGTTACTACTAGAACCGAGCCCTGCCTTGTCCCAGCCACTGAACCATGGGTAACTCCAAACCCACCAATTCCTTCATTTAATCCTCATCACTACCTGAAGGAGAAACTGAAGTTTAAAGAGGTTAATCTCCCCAAGGTTCCTGGGAAGTGGGATAAATGAATTCCACCAGGTCACTCAGACATTTCTAAAACACTCATGTACCTTCTGGGCTGATGAGGACACACTTCTCTACATGGGCCACTTACCCCACTGCTGCTGAGCCCGGGTCACTAGGAAGGGCCTCATTTGGATGAGGCGGGTGGCATAGATGTGGGCATATTGCCGGCTGAAGCTACGCTCCCCCAGACGGAAGGGCTGTGAGGCATTGGTGTACGTCGCCACAGGCACACGGGAAAAGGTGGCATTGCTGGCTGATGGTGGGCACAGCAGCGTGTGGGCCCTCTGGGCAGCCTGCTCAGAGAACATGGTGCACTAGGAGTCCAGATCGCTGGCCCAGGCCGAGGAGGAGGTGGTCACTGTGAGGGCACAAACGCACTGTTGCAACCCCTGCCCACCCCCCACGCAGCCACACTCCTGGTGTGTCTGCACCAAGCTGACCATACGGCACCCACAGGCCACCTGGAAAAAAAGGGAAGAGCTGCAGCCCCACCGGGTGAGGGCAGAGCTGCTTCCGGGAATCAGCTGTGTTGGACACCAAGGTCCCACCCTGCAGTCTCTTCCAAAGAGGGACAAAAGGAAACGTAGGAACATGTCTCCCACCTGGAGCTCAGGTGTCCACTGCCTGCTCCACACCTCCACTTGAGCAACTACCAGGGTCTCAGATCCACATGCCCCAAGTGAATTAGTTCCTCATCTGCCCCATCCACCGCTCCATCTCAAGCCATGAGGCCAGATATACCTACCCCAAATTAGCCTATTATTAAATGATAAGAATAAAACAAATGTCGGTCCTCTGCTCAGAACTCTCCAAAGATTTCCCATTTCACTGAGATCTGCCCCACCAGTCCTGCTCTTATGTCTCCAGGAGGACTCATCAAGTGGTTTACACTCCATCTTCGCTCACATCTCACCTTCTGCAGCTGCGACCCTCCCTCGCACTGGGCTTCTTCAAGTTTGTTTTTCCTGGCATTTACCTGCGAACAAACGGTACGTTTTAAGTTTATTGTCTGTGTCCTCGAGAAGAACAAGGCTCCGGGCAGCAAAGGCTTCTGACCCCATCCCAGCAGCAGCCACAGACCCTGAAATGTGCTACAGGCGTTGAGTCCCAGGGCGCGGGAGGAGTGGCCCTACCAGACACAGGCCCAGACCGGGCCCCACACTGCTCCTCTTCCTCTCACTACAGCAATGAGTGACTTGTGTCCGACTTCTACGGGGCACAAGTCACTTCTATGGGGGGGGGGGGAATACGAATCTGAAACTTTCAGACCAAACCTGCAGATTCGGGGTCTGTACCCAGGCCGCAGTGCCGGATGGAGACCCGCCGGGCCCCAGCACGGCCGGCGCTTCGGGAAAAACAGCAGAAACCCAGCGAGACGACGCTCAGTCCGCGATGCCCGCGGGACACCCACAGACCCGGACCCACCTGTCCCCACGCCGCTCCAGCCACTCAAGACGCCTCCCACCTCCCCGCGCGCCGCACCCGCCAATCTGCACGCCCCACCCGCCCGTCGCTTCATTCCGCCAATCGCCGGATGCTCCTCTGGTCCAACACTGCGGGACTCGCCCACTGCTGCGCGCCACATCAGCCAATCGGCGCGTCCCGCCTGCCTATCACCGCCTCCCGCCAACCGCGCGCACCAGTCCCCCGAGAGCTGCGCTTGCGCGAAGCCACGCCCACATCCTCCGAGCAACCGGAGGCGGGCCTGAGACCGGTCGGTGTGGATGTGTGGGCCTCCAGCACGCGCTTGCTGGAGGGTGGTCTCCGTCGTCCTCATGCCTTCAAGCTGGTCACCGCGCTAACCCAGGACCCTCCTGGCTGCAGACTCTGTGACGGCCGCCCAGAGAGGGCGCTTTGAGTCCTCAGGGGAGCCGGTGCTCCGCGCGGGGCCTAGGCAGGCTGGGTCCAGGCGGTGGAAGGCCCTCTACGCCGGGCCAGCGTCCTCTTGGCCGCCTCGCTGCGGGTGCCGTTCCCATCTCCACTGACCTGCTGGTTCCTGGGTGAACAGGGCCCCTCCCGGGAAGCCTGGCGCTATTCTCTCCACATCGTCCTATTCTCATCATTCCTAGACCCATGTCTACAAAGTGGACAATGACGATGGATGACACATGAAAGCCCTTGGCATAGACCTGCCTCTGTTCTAAATTCTTGGCACATTAATTCATCTAATCCTAAACTTTTTGACGATGAGGAAACTGAGGCACAGAGAGGTCACACAGCTGGTGAATAACAGCTGGACTCACACGAAGGCTGCCTGACTCTGTATAACATGCGTGTTGATCCCTCGGAGGTCAGCTGGTTACACTCCCTCCCTGACAATAAACAAGACGTTTGTCAAACGCCGGTGCAGTGGAGTCTGCCCTCCGAGGGCACGTGGGAACCAGTGTCTGGCACAGGAGAGTCTTAGTTCAGCTACTCTTTTTTGCGGGGGTGGGGTGGTGGTGCAGGCAGTGAGCCTGCACCTACCTCACGTGTCCTAAGAGCAAAGCATTGCAGTATTGCATCCTCCCACAGCCCAGTACGGCAGGTGGTATTACCATTTCCGTTTTACAGAGTGATTCATCAGGACACAGGGTCCCGCAGTCAGGAAGCTGGGGCCCAGACCTCGGATGTGGAGCTGGAGCTGTGTGGCCCCTCCAGGGGCTCTGCTGCTGGCAGGCCTGTGTTGGGCGCACAGCCACGGCGGGCACCGCTGAGGGTTGCTCGAGGGCAGGGAGACCAAGAGTCCTCTGCGCTGCCGGGGAGAGGGGGGGCTAATAACACACATCCTCTAACCCCCTTCGCCTTGCTGTCAGCAAGGATGGAAAGTCTGTCTACGTGTTAACTTTCCCAGTCTCCCTGGCGGCCATGTGTGCTGATGAGATCAGATCTGGCAGAGGCTGGAGAAGTCTGGCAGCGCTGGGGGGCTGGGATTCTGAGAAATAGGCTTTTGTGATAAAAGGGAGGGATACAGCCGGCTGGCTGTCCACGTCTCTCTGTCATGCCCTGGAACACGAGAGAGTCCCAGAGACACTGCCCGAGGACAGCTCAGCCACTGGACCAAGACCAGCACCTGCTTGCTTATTTCACAACAAAAAGTGAACCCCATCTGCTTTTTCCACTTTGGGTTTTCTGAACATGAAACCAAAGATATTCTGAAACGAAACATGTATGTAAGTGTATAAAAGGGCAAAGGGCTCCCAGGAGGCTTAGCAGGAGTGGTACCTCTGGGATTGGGCCCCTCAAAGTAAGTGCAAGGGCTGGGTGGGTCCTCTGTGATGCTCCCTCGTGTGATTTCATTTTACATGTTTTTGTTGTGGTAAAGTATGTATAATGTAATAGTCGCCATTTTAACCGTTTTTTTAAGTGTATGGTTTGTTGACATTAAGTACGTTCACATAATTCTGCGCCAGAATGTTTTTATTTTCCAAACTGAATCTCATTAAATGCTAACACCCCTGTAAACCTCTAATCTACTTTTTAAAAAGATTTTATTTATTTATCTTTAGAGGAGAAGGGAAGGAGAGAGGGAGAGAAATATCAATGTATGGTTGCCTCTCATGCATCCCCCGCTGGGACCTGGCCTGCAACCCAGACATGTGCCCTGACTGGGAATCGAAATGCGATCCCTTAGTTCGCAGGCCTGTGCTCAATCCAGGGTTCTAATCTACTTTTTAAAAAACTTTTCAAAAAAATTTTAAAGGTTTTATTTATTTATTTTCTAGAGAAAGGAAGAAGAAAGAGGGAGAGATGCCACTCCGTTGCCTCTCACACACCCCCAACTGGGAATCAAACCAGAAACCTTTTGGTTTGCAGATCGACACTCAACCCACTGAGCCACACCAGGTAGGACTAATATACTTTCTGTCTCTATGGGAACCTCATGTGAGTGGAATCATGCAATATTTCTTTTTTTAAATTTGGCCTATTTCACTTAGTATCCTCTAGGTACATCCATGATGTGGCATGTTCGAGAAATTCCACTCCCTTTCAGGATGAATAACACTCCATTGTGTGTGGACACCAGTTGATACTTCACCTGCCAGCGGACACTTCTGTGAATGAGGCTGCTGTGCACACGGTGCACAGACACCGCTCAAGACCCTGCTTGTCTTTCTCTCGCACGTGCACCCACCAAGAGTGGAATTGCTGGACGGACTAGTGACCCTATGTTTAACTTCAGGACCACCTGCCGTACCATTTCCCACAGTGGCTGCACCATTTTACACTCCCACCTCCAGGGCTGAGGGCTGCCATTTCCCCACGTCCTTGCCAGTGCATGTTGTTTTCTGGTGTTTTAAATAGCAGCCGTCCCAATGGGTGTGCAGTGGTATCTCACTGTGGCTTTGACTTGCATTTCCCTGGTGATAAGTGATGCTGAGCATCTTTTCATGACTTGCTGGCCATTTGTAAATATTTGAAGAAATTGTCGTTTCAGTACTTCACCCATTCCTTAATTGGGTTGTGTTTTGTTACTGAGTTTTAGGAGTACTTCATCGATTCTGGATATTAATCCCTTGCCAGATCTGTGGTTTACAATTTTTTTTTCCATTCCATGGATTTCTTTTTACTCTACTGTGTTCTACTCAAGAAATCGTTGCTTTCCCACTATGGTCTAAGAGTTTTATTGTCTTAGCTCTTAGGTTTAGGTCCATTGTGAGTTAATTTTTGCATATGGTTGTAGAGAAGGATCCAATTTTATTCTTTTGCATGTGGATGCCTGGTTGTTTGTTCCACAGGCCAAATGATAAACTTGCGAGTTTAGCATGAAGTGAAGAAAAGTCATCACCGTCACCGAAACATTTCTCGCACACTTACCTGTGAGAGGGAGAGAGCAGGAGTGGGCCTGTGGAGGGGCAGGTGGGGGGCCAGCACAGCAGGAGAGGGGCTGGTTTGAACTGGCATGGAAGGTAGGATGAGGTCACGTCACGGAGGGGGGTTGGGGGCAGGCGGCCAGGGTAGTCCAGGAGCCTCCTCAGAGCAAGATGGAGTGGAGGTGGGGGAATGGACACTACTAGTGAGAGTGGAGGTGGAGGTCTGTTCAGGGAATCTGGGAGCAGGGTGGGGCTTCCAAAAGCCAGGCTGCTTTGAGTAGTTCTTTGGTCTCGGGACGCAGTGGCTTTAGGACCAGAGGGTGGTCATCCTTGTGGCTATGTGGGATGAGGCTTGAAATGACGCCTGGGCCCTGCAGTCAGGCAGCCGCTGCTGCAGCACAGTGGTGGGTAAAGGGCAGGTGTGCCCTAGCTGTGGCCTCCTTAAGTAAAGGTGGGTTTCGAGGAGCTCACAAAATTGGGGAGTCAGAGAGCTGGGACTGAGGGGGATGGGAGCTATGGGAGGGAAAGGGAGCTGGGACCACAGTGACGACCTCCTGCCTGGAATTCTCTGACCTGATGCCAGGTCAGGTGGGCACCCCTGGCACTCCCTCTCCCTCCCATTACTGGCTCACCACACATCCTGCAGCGGGGACCCAGCTGGTGGGGCCAGATGCCAAACGCCTACTGTGTGTCTGCCGTCTGAGACCCAGGCCTCTGCAGGGATGGTTACCAGGAACTCCCTCCACCCCCAAATCAACACAGGCCAAGAGCCCCATGGGACTCCGTGCTATTGGGAAGGGGGCAGGTGCGGGGCTGGTACAATGGCTTCTGTTCACTACAAGCTCCTCCTTGTGGGATGGAAGCCGAAAGCTGTAGTGAAGGTCCTGGGCCAGGCCAGTAGCTGGTGTCCAGGCTGTGGAGGTCCCTGTGGAAGTGACACAGGTGAGGGAGAGCCAGGTAAATCTGGCTTGGAAGGCAGCCCTCAGACCCAGGCCTGAGGCAAGAACCTGTATGTCTTGATCAAAAGTCACAGAAACTAACTGGAGGTGATTTGGCAAAGAGCGAGTTTCATTATAAAAGTACAGGCAGGAAGGGCGGCCCATCCCTGTCTGTCACTTGCTCTCTGGCCTGAGTCTCTGCTCCCCTCCGCTACCCGCCTCTGTCCACCACAGACCTCCTGCCTCTGTTCTGTGTCCCTCCAGGAGCAGTGGCCACCCCAGCACAGTCACCTGTGGCCCAAGGCAGGGGGGTCCTCCCTCTCAAGGCCGCCACTGCTGGACCCTGGAGGTGTTGCAAGCAGGGGCGCCGCGGCAGGGGGCTGCGAATGGTGCATGTCACGTGAGTGGTCTGACCAGGCAGGAGCTGGCTGTGGGCCGGTGCCGGCGGGTCCTGGAAGAGGGTGGGGGAGGTGTTGCTGACTTCAGAGCACAAGCAGGGCTGATAAGGTTCTATTTTGGATTTGGAGCCGTGTGGCTTGCACGTCAGCAGCCTGTTCCTGTGAGGATGCTCCACAGGCAGCAGGAGGGCCAGTGGGAGGTCAGAGGCTGTTCAGTTCCTGGGGTGCAGAGAGGACACTGGAGGACAATAGCAAGAAAGGTGGGGACAGAACACAGCCACACCTCCTGCCCCCTCCCTCTGTGCTGGCACCTGAAGGGCAAGGCCCACGGCTGACTCCTGGTCCACAGAGCCTCCTGTTCCCAGCTCCACAGGTCTGGGGGCCCCCGATGCCCCCCATCACTCACTTGGTGGCTCTGTGCCAGAGGACACACTGCGCACCTCCTGCCCCGAGATGTCCCCTGGGTGGTGCACACGGCTGTGGCTCCAGAGGCTGTGCTGCCTCGAGGTGGCCTCTGCCACACTCCAAAAGCCCTCACCTGCCTTTCTGCCGGGACATTGTAGGGCCGCCTGTGTGGAGAGCACTCAGATACTGTCAGAGTTACCGCTTCACCCCTCCTCGGTCCTCTGGTCCCTCCTTCTGCACACTGAGCCAGTGAGCTGAGTCAGAGTGCAGCGGCCAGCTCTGGGCTGGTGGTGGTCACCTGTCAGGTGTGTAGCTCAGCACCATAACTGGAGGCTCAGGAGACCCCGCTGCTGCCACTCCTTCCCAGAGCGGGGAACCAAGTCCCAGAGACGGGCGGGGGCTGTTCAAGGTCACTCGTGTGCACAGTGAGCCCCCAGGGGCCTCACCCAGCATGAGCCCCTGCTCACCCCAGCCCATCTCCCTGCCCCCAGCCTTTTGACCAGAAGCATCTGGAAGGCTCACAGCACAGAAGGCGGAGTGTGTTGGCCTGTTATTTCCTAGTCTCTGCCGCATTCCTGTGGAGATGCACAGAGCAAAGTGCCAGCGCTGTGATCTCCCAGACCCTCCCCCAACACGGGAGTTCAGCCTTAGCCTGTGCGGGAGCCAGTCTGGACCCAGGGTGGGCGGTGGGGCAGTGACAGCCCTCGGACCCGGAGGAGGATGCCGAGCCCAGCTCTCTCTGCCAGGGGTGGCCCCGGGGCCTGTCTTCACTTTGATCAGTGGTGCCAGAACGTTTGCAGGGGAGCAGGGGCAGGGCCGGGGCTGGGGCTCTGGCAGAGGGGCTGAAGAGGTTTCCGGATAGAATATGAAAACACCACAGACAGGCTGGGCCGTGGGAGGCCACCGTGCCCCCAACCCAGTGGCCTGCTGAGGCTATGGTGGGGGGAGCTTCAGGCTATGCTGGGATGGTAATTAAAACAGAAAACCTCTCCATAAAAGTAATTGGAAAGAAAACATTTATTGCTGAATAAGCATTAAACAGGAAGTCGGCGCTTGTTCCAAAGCAATGGGGGAGTCAGGTGCCTTCACCCAGCTGTTCTTGAGAGGACCTGGCCTGGTCCTGCGGGGCACCCCACAGACCCTCTGCCTCTCCCCTGGGTGGGCTCGTTGTCCCACCGGAGAACAGACTCCTCACACCTGTACCACTGCCATCGGCTTGGACCCAGACCTGCGCCCCTGCCTCCCATGAAACGGGAGACGGGTCATGACCTCCCTCCAGAGTGATGGCCCGATGGCCCATCCCCAGGAGCACTCCTGGGGTGTAGAACTTGCAAGAGGCTTACTGGGCTTTTGAACAGGTTTACACAAAAAGAGGTAGGGGAAGGATGTGAGATTACAAGTTTTCTAAAGGAAACGTCCTTAGAAAACAGAGGGGAAAAGTGTTCCCTTTTTTGTACCACAGAGAATCAACCTTTTCTTGTGTACTATTTGCACCTGCCTCTGTGGCCGTCTCTGCCTGGTCCGAGGGCCTGCCTGGCTCGAGGGCCGTCCTGAGCCCTCATGTCTACCTGACTCCCAGTGCTTCCCAAGCTTCTTAATCGTCAGCAGCCCCTGCTCAAGGCCTGTGCTGCTGCTGGGGACCCCAGCCTTTGCACCCAGGGTCTGCAGGGTGATGGGCTGGGCAGGGGGTTTGGGCTGGAGCCTGGGGTGGGATGTTGGTTCTCTGCAACCCCCCGCCCCAGACTGGACAGGAGCCCTGTCAGAGAAGGAGGCCAAGGCCGAGAGCTCAAGGAAGTTCCTCCAGGAGCCCCGGGGAATTCAGACACGGCCCCAGGGAGGGCCATGGGTGCCAACACCTGGTCGTGGACTCTAGGTGGACAGGTGGAAAGGGTTCTCTGGACAGAGACCCAGGCAGCAGCTCCTCAACTTTTGTGATCACTAATAAGCAATAGAAAGATAACTTCAAAATGCAGTATCAGTGCAGTCACTAAAATCACCAAGTCCCACATAAAAATGAAAACTGAGCCCCTCTCCCCCCGGAAATGCCTTTCCCGGCCTCTAGGAGAGGGTATGGTCACCCCTCCCAGGGGGTGGGGGCTCAGTGAAGGGCAGGACCCTTGCTCAGCGGTCCCTGTGCACACGAGGACTCTGTGGAGGGCTGTGTGCCTCCTCCTCCCCACGGGCACTTGGGAGGCCCCTCCAGTACCCAGATGGGGGCCTGCCCTGCAGCCCCTGTTCTGTGGGTGAGGTGGTGGACAGGACGCCCTGGTCCTTGGTGAGAACCCCTCCCTCTCTGCAGCCACCTGCCCCTTAACCTGAGCCTGCAGCCAGTGCCCCAGCACTTCCCCTGCAGGGAGAGGCCCTGCCTGCATTTCCAAGGTAAAGTCTGGTTGTGTTTTCAGATGGGTTCCTCAGTGCCTTCAACATGGCCCGATGGGGTTGTGTGGTTGGGGGTCCCGGGAGGGCAGAGCTGGCAGAACTCCACCAAGCGCTGGCTGCCTTGGGCCTGGGGAGGTGCTGTGAGCCTCTCTTCCTTCTCAAGGTCAGCCTTGGGCAGAGGGCCCACCCTCTCAGGCTGCAGTGTCCCCACGGGTCCACTGGAGAGAACCAAGGTGCTGGCGGCTCCCCCTGCTGGCCCGCACCCCATAGGTCACAGAGAGGCCACCAGGCAGGGCTCGTTGGAAACTAGGTTTATTGGGGTGGCAGGAGTGGCCCCAGGTTTCCCTGCAGCCACTCACTCCTCCTTCTCATCACCGTGGGTGATGACGTAGCACAGGGACTTGTAGTCGATGTCGCCGGCCAGGTCCACAGGCGTCAGGGCGAACATCTGCTCCACCTGGGGTGGCACGGTGAGAGACATAGCCCATCCGGAGGCCTGTGACCCTCCCCTCCTGGGGGCCTGTGCCTCGGTCCTCAGCCTTTCCAGGCCCAACCCAAATCTCTGAATTAACCCTCCTTTGTCCTATGACTTTGGGCAGCCTGGGGAGCAAGTCAAAGGGCCCACCCTGGCCCCAGATGCCCCTCTCTCCTCTGTGCCACCCCATCCCCAAGGGACGGGCCTCCCTCTCGATGCTGCAGGTGCTGCTGGCTGTCACCCCCAGGCCTTCGTGCACACACGGCTCTGCAGCCTCACACCCCCTGCTTCCCCGTTGACCCCATACCCTTTACCCCCTGGGTCTCAACTGAAATGGCACCTCCGGCAGAGAGCTGGGCTCTAAGCCCAGGGGGATAGAATTCCTGAGGACTCCCCAGTGCCCTGCAGGATGCGCACCCCCTGCAGGGGCCAGGAACCCTCACCTCGGCCTGAGAGAACTTGTCTGCCTGTGTCAGGAGGAGCTGCTTGAACCTGGGGAGCGGGGAGCAATGGAGAGAGGCTGGGGGTGGCCGTGCGGAGCAGGGATGAAGGCTCACGTGGCCCAGGTGGTCACGGCCCACAATCCGCAGAGGACCCCCACTGCCTGGCCAGCTCAGACTCACTCATCCTTGTTCACCACGCCCTTGCCGCTGGGGTCGAACATCCGGAAGGCACTGAGGATGGCTTCCTCGGGGTCAGTCCCTATGGGGCCAAGGGAGCATGTGAGCACTCATGCCCCCAGCCTCCAAGGCACCCCCAGGAGGCACCACGGGTGCAGCGGGAGCCCTCCACATCCCAGAAGAGGCAGGAAAGGGTTTCCCGATGCAAAGTGCCCCTCGGGGCTCAGCTGGACCACGACCACCGCCGGAGGAGCTAGGCTGTGGGTTCGCGGTTTGGGAGTGGAGGCTGAAGGCACATGTCCCAGCACCGACCTGGGATTGGGGTGACTGGTGCCCATGGGATAGGAAGGGCAGCCCCACATCCTCTGGGTGGCCGAGGGACTGGTGGGGTCCAGACGAGGTCCAGGTGGGTCTCAAGCTCACTGCCCAACCGGAGGGATCCAGGCCTGTCCCAGGCTCACCATTGAGCTTCTCTCCAAAGAGTGTGAGGAAGACAGTGAAGTTGATGGGGCCCTTGCCCTCCTGCAGCATGGCGTCCAGCTCCTCTTCTGGGACACTCACCTTTCCTGGGAGGGGGGCGTGAGCATGAGGTGGACAGAGGGACCTGGGGTGTCCCCAGCAAGGCTGAGGCTGTGTCCCCTCCTTCCCAACCAGGGGCGGAGAGTCAGAGGCAGCTGTGGGGGGAGGTGAAGTGTGGGACCTGAGACAGCCAGGGGGCTGACGGAAGTGTGGGGAGCAGAGGGAGAGAGGAGACCTGTCCCCTCTCAGCGGGTCCCCTGGGTGAGCGGGAGGGGTCGGCGGGAGGTGCGCGCTCACCCAGCTGGGAGTAGGTCTCCCGAAGGTCCGCCTTGCAAATGATGCCGTCACGGTTCTGGTCGATGCAGCTGAAGGCCTGTGGGGCGGATGCCGCGGTCCTGGGTGGGAGCAGCCCCCACCCCATCGAGGGGGTAGATGAGGGAGTGCTGTGTGGTGGGAGAAGCAGGGACAGGGGCCAAGACCATGACCTGCAGGGCAGGGGGTGCGTGAGGGTACTCACCTCCTTGAACTCCTGGATCTGGGCTTGCTCAAACATCGAAAAGACATTGGAAGAGCCCCGTTGGGCCTGCTTGGTGGCCGCAGCCTTGCCCCGGGTCCCCGCCTTCCTGCTGGCCTGTGACGGTGTGGCGGGAGGGGTCCTTCTGGGGCTTCCCCAAGGCGCCCCCATGCACACCCCAGAGCCCTCCCAGGAAAGCCAGGGCCGTGGTCCCCTGCCTGCCTCTGGGGACCACCTCTGTGGGCTGGGCAGGCACACAGACGCTGCTCTGCCCCCCGCCCCGAAGGACATCCCCAGGGGTGTCCCTCTCCAGTCTGGCACTCACCATCCTTGCTCTGTGGCAGCCTGGTGGCCAAGAGGGGCCCACAGCCCCCTTTATATCTCAGCCTTATCACCTGCAGCACCAAATAAGGAACAGAAGGGAGGACAGACCCAAACTTGGCAGCCCGTGCCTGGGCTGGGGGAGGACAGGGCCCCGCACAGATTCCAGTCACATTCCAGTGATCTTCAGGCCCCCGACACATAACGAATGCCTGGTGTCCACTGTCCAGGCGACACCAGGCCCAGGCCTCCCAAGAGCAGAGCAAACTCCTGTTCTCCTCACTCATGGTGCCAGAGGAGGGGCCCCTGTCACCTCCATCTGACTGTCCCTCCTGCAGGTCTGGCCCCGGACTGCCCAGTCTGAGAGTTCCACTGGGGGATGGCCAGCCTGGAGCTGCGGGGCCTGGGAGGGCAGTGGGTGGTTCTAAGGACAGCTTCTGTCCTGAGACCACCCGGGCCTCCCAGAGGTTTTGGTGCAGAAGCTCAGCTCTGGCCTCTGGCCCGACGGAGAGGCAGCCCTGGGCTGGATGTGACTCCAGATGGAGCCTGTGTGTGAGGCTCTCAGGGCCGGGGTCCCGCCTGGACTCCAGACAGTCCCTCGGACCCTCTCAAAAGTGGGTCATGAGCCCCTGATCCAGGGCTTGACCACTGAGTGGGGGCCCAGGTCACAGAAAACATGAGAAGCGGGAGATGGTCCAGAACAGGAGAAGCGCAGGCTGCCCCCTGAATCCCAAGCAGAGGGAGTGGCTGTGGCTGCCCCCTGCTGGATGGGGTGGGGAAGCAGACATGCAGTGGGGGGCGGGGGGTGCAGGGGCCCACACCCAGCAGACCCAGTGCCCCTTTATGGCTCCTCCTTCACACAGCTAGCATGACAGCCACCGAGTCCATACCCTCCCCACACAGAGAACTTTGGAAAACCAATATAATGCCCTGAACTATGACATAAGCCCAGCGAGGAAGTCCTGTCTGCTGACTGCTCCTAAGCGAGCGTGAGTGCAGGGAGTGAGGAATCGGAGTGCGGACAAACTGCGGTGCCCAATTCAGACTCGAGAGAACTGGCGACCGGGAGCAGCACACATGACACATACAGGGGGAGGAAGGCAGGGCCCAGGGGGGCTGCCAGCCCAAAGTCACAGCTTGGGGTCCAGTTCTGAACAAAACAAGTTGCTCCAGATTTGCTGGGCAGTTTCTCTCACTGGATGTCATACAAGTACGGGTTCCTGCATAACAGGGTTTAGGTGTGGGGTGGGGGGCCTCGTGGCTGAGACTGACCTGAGGCAGGACCGACCCCCAGAGACCAGTCCTGCCCCCTGGGGCGCTCCCTGGGGTGCTCAGCCGACACTGCCCAGATGGCACCCCACTCCGGCCCCCACAGCCCAGCACTGCTGGCCAGAGGAAGTGGGTGGGTAAGTGCCTGTGGGAATGGGGGGGTGTCTGCACACTGCCCCCCAGTCCTGATGCACGGAGGTCAAAGAACAGGGCCCGGGCCATGCTCTAACCTTTTAAACTTTTAATTTAAAAAACCACACAGTCCCAGGCTGGGCATGAAGAGGCCCATGTGGCTCCTGGAGGCCTGGTGAGAAGAGGGGCAGGGCCAAGTGCCGCCCCTGTGTGGCAGCCCTGTGGGGATGTCCTCCTCTCCCTGGACCAGACTTTGGGGGCTTGGGAGGCCCCTTCTCTTGTTCCTCCTGTGAAGATCCATCCTAGAACCACAGAGCACTCAGGGATGGCAGCCTGGGAGGGAAGGGGGTGCCATCCTCAGGCCTCTGGGTACCGCAGCCTCCATGCTGGAACTGGTCCCTTCCCACATCTCTCCCCTTGCCCAGGCCAAAAACCACTGGCCGGGCCTGGGCAGTGGGCAGCCCCGGCCCCCCTGTGGAGCCCAGGCCTAGGCCAGGCCAGGTCCCTGGGGCTGCCTCCCCATGCGGGCTGCGTTTCCAGGGACACCAGGCCCCAGCAGGGTCCAGAGGAAACCCACTCCCCAGAACGGGGCCTGGGCATGGCCAAATCAAGCTGAAAGCTCCCAGAAATAGCAGCGCAGGTTTGCAACAAGGTCCTGAGCAAACCAGTTCCCTCTGGTGGCTGATTCCAGCAGAACAACAAAGACTTGGGGTCTCTATTCCTGCTCCTGCAACCCCCCAGTCCAGTTAGGGTCCTAGGGCCATCCCATCACAGACTCAGGAAGCACTGGCCTGCCTGGGGCTCGAGCCTTCTCTGCAGGCCTTCACCCTCGGGCCTTTCCTGTATCCGGTTATCACGTTATTCAAGTGGCTGTGGCAGTGGGGGTGGGAGGCGGACCAGGCTCCCTGCAGGTGCAGGGAGGGCTGTGCCCTGGTTCCCGGGTCCAGCTACACCACAACCTCCTCCTTGCGGCCCCTGCGGTTGTCACTGGGCCAACATGCAGGCCTTCTTACAAGCCACAGCAGAGACCAGAGCTGCGCCCCGGCCGCTGCCATCCTCCGACTGGATGAAGGTGATCTCGCAGCTGGGTGTCAGCCTGCGCACGCTGGCGTGGAACCGCTCCTTGAAGCTGAGTGGGGGGAAGCAGTGCTGAGGTCCCTCCTCCCTTTGTTCCCACGTGGCCCCACCCGGACCCATCCTCCAGGGCTGCAGCAAGCCTATCAGACCCCTTCCCCTTCACCTGGCCTCAGGGAAGAGAAATAGAAACCCAGGTTAGGATCTGTCCCCCCTGGTGTTTTGTGGGTGGAGACAGAGGCCTGGGCTCTGCCCTCGGGACCCATACCCATGTGGTGGAGGTGGGCCCCCAGCTCAGGGTCACCTGGGGTGCAGCTTGTACACTGAGCCGTCCACACCCACGGTGATGCGCATCACATCCTCGCTGCGGCTCTCACGCATGCGGTTGATGACGCCCGCCAGCCCTGCGGCACACATGTGCGCGGCACGCGTGGACACACTCTCGCAGGCTCGGCGCACAATGTCGCAGTCGGTGGCCGAAGGCCTCAGCCCCAACGTGCGCAGGATGTTGTAGATCTGCTTGCGGTCGCCTGAGTCACTGCGTGGTGGAGGGAAAGGCGGCGCTAGAGGGTGGCTCAGCCTGGCCGGCCTGTCCCCCCCAGCAGCGGCCTGGTCCCCTGCCCCTGCCCGCTGCAGCCAGGCCAGCACTTGGGAATCAGTGTGGGGACGGGGAGTGGATCGGATTCTGCCAGCGACCAGCAGTAAGCAGTCATTACTCCTCTCTGTGCCCAGGGTCTTCGTTCTAACGTGGGCAACCCTGCCCCTGCCTCTGTTGTGTGGATAAAGCGAGACATTGTCCATGGCGGGTGGGGAGACACGGAGGGGCGGCTCAGGCTCCTCTGGGGACCGGAGGCCACCCCACCCCTGCGCACCTCTCCACCTGTGACACGAAGCGCGTCTCGAAGGCTCCGGGCGTGCGCAGCTGCTCCGAGGCCTCCCCGTGGAACAGCAGGTTCTCGTCCACCAGCTTCAGCAGCACCAGCCGCACCAGCTCACCCATGTACTTGCCGCCGATGAGCTTCTCGTACCTGGGCAAAGTGCGATCAGGTCATCCCCAGTGGGGAGGTCCCCGCGGAGGCGGGGTCCCAAGGGGCACTGTGACACTGGGCCAGACCTGCCCCCTCCCTCCACCCACTCGCTCCTCTCCCAACTGGGGCGTTAGAAACTCCGCCCCAGCTCCACCAGGGGCCTCAGTCCGGGTCTAAAACCATCTGTGACCAGACCTGGGCTGAGTCCACAGGGATCCTGGCCCATGAGATGGGGTGCTGTCCTCACTGCCCAGTTACACAGTTAAGGAGGCCTCAGAGGGTTGGGGGTCATGTTGGGGTGCACCCGCTAGGGCTCCTGAGCCCTGCGCCCCTCTTGCCCCACTGTGAGCCTCTATTATTTGGGCCTGAAGCCCATCAACTGCTACAGACCTAGCGACCTAGCAGAGGTCTCTGGAGCCCAAGGCAAAGCTGATGGCAGGAATTAGCAGGGGCCTGGTGCAGGAGGTGGTCCCTAGAGGACAGCCCGATTCCAGACCAACTGCGTTCTGCGAGTCCCCAGCATTCCGCAAGGTGCTGCATTTATTCTGGGGTCATGGGCAGGCCCGTGCCTTGGGGAGCTCCAGGTTCAACCCAGTTAATGAGGCTGGGGGAGCGCCTCGGAGCCTTCCTGTGCCTGTTGGAATGAGGGAGGTCTGGCCCCGTCTACCCATGGACTCCCTTTCTGAGGACGAAACATTCACGTCCAAGGGTTTCCCGGTTCACGCAGGGGCACGCCTCCGTGTGAGCGGGAGGAAGAGGTGAGCCTGCACACGGAGGGACTGTCACTGTGCGGTTCCCGCCGGACCCGCTTAAACACAAGCCCATCTGTGTGTGTGGCGGCCCGTGTGCGCCAGCAGGGGGCGCTTACAGCTGCTGGCCGGGGTTCAGGGAGCTCTCGTCTACCGCGCGGTCGTACTCCAGCAGGAACTCGTCCAGCTCGCCAGCGTCCCCGAAGGCGCCCCACTCGGTGTTGACGCACATGCGGCCCTCGTCCCCTTCCACCAGCTCCACGTTGTGCATTTCCTCCATGTAGCAGGCGTTGCAGCCGGTCCCTGGGCGGGGCGGCAGCAACAGACCACCTGGGGCCTGGGGGGCAGGGGCCGCCCTCCGCAGCTTGCCGTTCCTCCATGTGCTGCCCTCCTCCTCCAGGAAGCCCCTGCGCCCTCCCTGTCTTCCTGGCTCCCAGCCCCGTGTGAAGGCTCTCCTAGGCGCACACAGGGCCTGGGTTTACTGTGTGACCTCGGGTAGGTGAACCCACATCTCTGAGCTGTTGCTCTTCCCTGAGAGGGACTGGAACACCTCCTCCTCCCATTGCCTGGGCAGCTGGGAGGACTGAGGGAAGCGTGTCCAGTGTGCCCCGAATCCTTACCCACAATCATGCCAACCTCACACTGGCGGTCTTCATAGTAGCAGGAGATCATTGTGGCCACCGTGTCGTTCACCATCGCTACCACGTCCATTTCAAAGTCCTACCGAGAGGCACAGAGGTGCCGTCGGTGGGGCCTGGGGTCTCCATTCAGCCTTTTCTGGGCTGGTCCAGCCCAACAGGGAGGCTGAGACCCCTTCCTGAGGGGGCACCCACAAGACCCTCCCTGGCCTCCTGGCCTGAGACAGGGGGTGGGGGCAGGGCAGCCAGGGGCAGGTGCCTGCTCACCCCCCTCCGCTTGATGGCGTCTCGTAGGAGCCCCACGACGTTGTTCCCTTCTGCTCCTGAGGCCTTGAAGCCCTTGGTCCAGTTGAGCAGGATACCCTGAGGGGATGGGGGGCCATGGTGGCTGCTGACCAGGGCTGGGACAGGGGGGAAGGGAGGCTGCCTGGGGCCACAGGGCAGGTTGACGAACTGAGGCTCTTGGTGCTTTGAGAGGGTTGGAGGGAGTCTGCCACAACCACCTGTGTGTGTTTCTGCAGAGCTGGGGCTGGGAAACTGGAGGGCACTGTCTGGTAGAGCCCAGAGACTCGGCCCCAGAGAAAGGACACGACCAGGAGGGGAGCTGCTCAGGTGGGGTTGGGGCTCCTCTCCTGCGGTGCACCCCCGGCAGGTGAGGGAACCACCTGGTGCTCAGTGTGCTGTGGGCGCGAGACGTCGTTCCTGACACTGTCCTGCTGTGAGGTCTGTGCCACAGACAGGTGTGAGTGCAGCTGGCACGTGTGTGACGTGTGTGATTGACGTGTGTGTCTCTGTGCCAGGCTCACATGCCAGCTCGAAGGCAGGGAGCAGCCTCGGCCCCGGCGCCTGGCACAGTGACACCCACTCTGGTGTGCAGGACAAGCCCGCCTGCCTGGCTGGAGGCCCCGCGCTGCCACCTCCCCAGGCCAGCTGCTAGCTCGGCCCCCTGATCTGTGATGGGGGTGCGGGCAGTGCCGTGTCATGGAGATGTCAAGGTAGACAGTGAGCACCAGCTGATGTCATTTCCCTCAGTGTCACAATGCAGGTGGTGGGGCGCAATTTGAACCCAGGGTGCTTTCCCACAGGGTGCCTTTCTCTGGGGTGCATGTCCGTTTGTCCATCTGTCTATCCGTTGGTCTGACATCCCTCTGCCCAGCCTCCCTCGGCCTCACCTTGTCAATGTCTTCATGCCTCACGGGAAAGGAGAATGTGAAACCCAAGGGCAGCTTCTTGTGCTTCATCTGGTGCTTGTCCAGGAAGTCAGAGATGCATTCGGAGACGTAGTCAAAGAGCTGGAAGAGCCATAGCCACAGTGGTGGGTCTCTGCTGCCCCCCACCCCCACCCAGAGCCTGTGCTGAGCCGTCAGCCCCCAGGACAGCCAACTCAGGGCTGAGGTCAGTCCCTCACTCCTGGTCTCACTCCCTGTGGGGACTCAGGCCCTGAGCCGCCCCTGATCTGCTGAGGGCAGCCCAGGGACAGAATAGTTGCAGACGGGCTGGTCACTGGCACAGTTGTGCTCCGTCACAGGGTCACCGGCCTCAGGCTTTGGACTGAGGCACTTCCTCCCTGGCCATAACTATGACTTTTGCCTCAGGCACCCGAGTGAACTCTGCTGCGTCCAGGTGTCCTGGCCACTCACCCTGGCTGCTGCTGAGGACCAGCCCCCACTCAGGTGGACAGGCGGCTCCTCCAGTGCTGACCAAATGCTGAGGCCACTCACCATCTCAGCCGTGCCCGTCATGGCATCCTCCGGGATACAGTACATCTGGTGCTTGGTCTTCACGCTCCACTGGCCCTCCTCGCCCTCGCCCACCTTCACCAGCATCACCCTGAAGTTGGTGCCGCCCAGGTCCAGCGACAGGAAGTCCCCGACTTCTGCAGCCAGAGAGGAGCCCGTCAGCCTTGGGGCAGCACCCACAGGGAGAGGAGGGAAGGCAGGCAGACCCCAGGGCTGCAGGACTAGAGGAATGGCACAAGGGGTCAAAGGTGAACGGGGAAATCCTGGGAACCCCCTGCCCTGAATAGAAGTCACCCCAAGTTCAGGATTCAACTGAAAAATTAGTGAAATGACCCAGACTCAGGACTCAGGGGAGGGGCAATGACCACAGGGAGTCACCTTCTCGATGTCAGATGAGAAAAGCCAGGCTCCCGAGGCCACCATGAGCCTACAGGTGCCAGAGCCGGGTGTGCCTGGTGAGCACTGGGCTGTCTGTGGCCTGGCCACTGGGACCCTGTCTGGGGGCTGCTGGGGACAGAGCTACTGGGAGGGCTGGGGGATGGCCGACCCCTGAGGAGCTGCCCGGCTGGCCCCCTGCAGTACCTGAGCCTTCAGGGGTGGAACGCACGTAGGTGGGCAACATCTTCACACTGGCCTCCTCATGAGTCTCCAGCCGCAGGCCTCGGGCCATCTCCTTCTGCATCCGCCTCATCACCTTCTTCAAGTCCTCCTCCTGCAGCCGGAACTCTGCCAGGATCTGCTCCGCCTGCGCAGGGGGAGGGGCGTGGCTGGGTGCAGGGGGTCCATGGTACAGGCATCGGCCCTCCCCACTCGCATTGAGGGTTTCCTTCACCCTCGGGCCCTGGCCCAGGCTGGCCATCTCTTCAAACCTCCACAGTGAAAACCAGCTGAGCAATTAGAGCTCTAAGAGCAGCCACAGCCTCACAGGTGCGCCTTGGGGTCGATGCTGAGGGCAGAGGGCAGAGGGCAGAGGGCAGAGGGAAGGTGTGGGTGGCCGGAAGATAGAAGGTGCAGCCAGGAGGTGGGTGCAACACAGGCCGGACAGCCTGTGTGGAGGACGAGGGGTGGCTGGCCTCTCTGTGAGGGGCTGGGCCATTCGCCCTGGGGCTGACACTGAGGCGGGAAAGCACGCGTGCACACCGAGCCCAGGTGCCCCCAGGGAGCGGGGCACTGCTCTACTCCCACGTTTGGATGGTGGTGTGGCTTCCCACGCCCTTTGCACGAGGGTGCACATGCCTGCAGAGACGGCCACTTTCAGTCACTGGCTATTTGAACCAAAAAGGCAAGAAAAGATGCTTGGATAAGAGCAGAGGGTCTCCTCCTCCATGTAGGTGGGGTGCCAACACGGGGAATCCAGCCAGGAGGCAGCACAGCTACACTGGCAGAGGCCAGCATGTTAAAGGAAGGCAGTCCCTCCCCAGGCCCCGGGGACCTAAGCCAGGCACAGCTGTCCCATCCCGCTGTGCGGGCAACTTGGTTTAAAGTTGGAAATGTGGCCAATGACAGGCATTAGCAGCACAGTGCCTTCTGGGAGGTCAGTGCCCTCCACGTTGGGGAGCACAGCGTGCAAGAGGCAGCAGCTGCCCTGCAACCCCAAGGAGCTGAGGCTGAAGGGAAAGCTGTTAGCCAACTGCAGGTGGGCGAGAACAGAGACAGGGTCGGGGGACAGGGCCGGCCCTGAGGATGTGTCACTGAGGTTTGGAGTTAGCCCCAGACCCTCACCTCCACTCTGATGCTGGAAGGCACATTTCAGGTCTTTGATTCCCTGAAGCCTGGAGCATTCCTGATGAATGCAGACCCTAACTTAGGAACCATGGCTCTAGGAAGACCTCACAACTTAACATTTAAACCAGGGAAGGTCTCAAAGGGCTGACCAAGTCCACGAGAAAAACGCACAGATGCAAACATCCATGTGTGCTGAGCAGGCAAAGACTCCAGCTCTGGGCCCGGCCCAGCAGTGTGCCCCGTGCCTGTGTCTCTCACGTGTTCAAAGCGGCGACACCCCGGGCCCCGAGGCCAGCCCTCTCCACGAGGCTCACCCCTGAGCCCGGCTCACCGGAGGAGGCCCCGGCACTGCCGTCTTCCAGACCAGGAAAGGCTCACGGAGTCCCAGCATCTCCCCCAAACAGGGCTGCTCATAGGGCTCTGCACAAATGCGATGTCCTCCCTGTGGACGCCCAGCCCTCGGGCCCTCTGTCTTGGAAGCCTGCGTAGTGGCTGTGCGCTTGGGCTCATCAGGGCCCCGGCCAAAGTCTCCCCTGTCTGTGGCCAGGCCACCGACAGTGGGTAAGGTCCCGGCTCTGCAGCTCATAGGCCAGAAAGTCCCTCGGGAACCCTGGAGATCACACGGAGTCAACCACCGGTCTGAGGGCACCCTGGAGCTGCTGCCCACCTTTCACGCTAATGGAGCAATTTCTCCCTGTTCCACAGAAAGAGCCTCACAAGCAAACAATGTGCCCCTACACCTCTGGGTGGGAACTGATCTCACCCGGGACAAGCCCTGCTAAAACTGGCGGGTGTCTCCAAGCGAGCGGGCAAGGGATGGTGGCTCGACAGAGTGCCAGGCTCTCCTGATGGTGGCCAGGGTGGTCACCTCCCAGGAAGCCTGTGGCACAATTGATCCCTGTCCCAAAACAGAGCACAGTGGCTTCCCAGACCTCTGTGTGCAGCCCCGAGTGAGCCCGTTCAGGCTGTGCACGCTGAGCCTGCGTGGCAAACGGGACGTTGCAGAAATTGTGAGGAGTAGTTTGGAGGTGTCTGCCTTGTCCCTTCTTGGGTTCTGCACACTCTGCGGGGCGGCGGGTTCCGGGCCAGGAGGACACGCAGGGCCCACGGGCAGCTCCCCCGCGCCGGGCAAGAGAGGGAACCATGGGGAAGCAGGTGAGACAGCCGCACCGACGCCTCGTCTGTGGCCTCAGGAGAGCCCCTGCTGCACCTCCCAGGCCCCTGGCCACGGGGGGACACGGGAGGACACGGGAGGACACGGGGGGACACGGGGGGACACGCAGCTACATGATGGTTGCAATGATCTTGGTGGTAGAAATAGGATTGATTTTACTTTCCTTTTTGCTTATCTGTATTCCCTACATTTTCTGCAGTGAATGTGTATTGATGGAGTAATGTCTAAAAATCCAGGAAAAACCCACAAAGAGGTTGGGCCCTGGCGAGTGTGGCTCAATTGGTTGGAGTGTCATCCCATAAACTGAAAGGTCACCATTCGATTCCTGGTCAGGGCACATGCCTGGGTTGCACTTTGACCCCTGGTTGGGGGTGGGGGGTGTACAGGAGGCAATTGGTTGATGTTTATCTCCCACATTGGTGTTATTCTTTTTCTCCTTCCCTTTTCCTGTCTCTAAAAATCAACAAGCATGTCCTTAGTTGAGGATTTTTTTTAAAAAGGGCCTTATCTGCTGTTTTTGTGCAGAGGCTCCGAAGCCCAGGCTCTGAAGGGTGGAAGGCCATAGTTACATGGGTCAGAGTGCCACATGTAACATTTCACGGGGAGGAAAGAGGGCCTAGGGGTGGGGGGTCCCAGGGGGCTGGTCCCTCCCCCATTGGCCTGTGGCTCCTGGCACCAGCTGGACCCTGGCATGGGCACCCCTCGCGTTGAGACAGGGTGGCCCTGAGGCCAGCACCACAGTGCCCAAGTCTGCTGTGCTCTTGTGTCGGGGCCTGGGAGGCTGAAGTCGGGCCATGGACATCTGGGACAGAGGCCGGGCACAGCAGAGGTGGCAGGCACCCTGGGGCCCGGGTGACTGCGCCTGTTGAGCAGGGAGCTGCGAGTATGGAATCCGAGAGAAGTGAAGCCCAGCGTTTCCAGGTCCAGCTGTCCTCACCTTTCTGCGGGCTGCACGCCGAGGGCCGTGAGGCCATAGGAGGCGGCAAGTCCCTGAAAGACAGAGGCCTGGATCCTGAGGCTGCCGTTCCAGGCCTCCAGGCCCATGGGCCCTGCTGGGACGACAGGGGAGCAGGAGGTGCAGCTGCACAACCCAACTGATTCTGGAATGGTGGCACCCACAAGCAAAGGCAGAGGTTAGTAAGAGTCCAGGTCCCTTGTTGATTTAATGGTTGGATCCCTGATTTGAGCTCCATCGGAAGATATGCAGGTGACTAGGGTTTAGTTCTCAAGGAGCTTAGTCCTGCAGAGGGACAGCAGGCGGCTGCACAGATGAACAGATGGACAGATAGACACTCGAGTCCTTGGGAAGCTGGGAAGGGACTGAGGGGGTTTCCAGAGGTCAAGGACAGGGGTTCTCAACTCCTCCTGGTGTCCTTAGTGCATGAGAGGTGACCAGGTAGTGAGGGACACTCCAGACAGAGGGGACGGCAGGCAGTGTTGGCGGTCAGCCGGAACACAGGTATCTGGGGTGGCCTGAACCTGGCAGGAGCCGAGGGCATGCCCAGCCGGCGGGGCTGACAGGAGTCTGAGTCAGGTGTGAACCCCTGGCTGACACGTGGCTGTGACAGCCCCAGAGACACCGAGGGGGCCCGGCGTAGCAGGACCCCTGGGGTGGGGACACCTTCCAGTCGGTGCTCGACAAGGTAAATGGACATCGACAAGCAAAGCAGTTGGCTCAGGATGTTAAAAACCCAACACACAGAAAATAAAATCAACCCAAGGAAAATTAGAATAAAAGAATCAAGGCTGATAAAAGCAGACACCAATTACACAGAAAACACACAAATGAAAGCAACAGTAAACTCAAGGAACAAACCCCAAACCCAGTTTTTAGAGAGACCAGTGAAACCGCAAACACTCGGTCTGATCGAGGATGAAAGGGGATGGCGAGAAGCCGCCCGGGGCAGCCACGGACACGGCCTGAATGTCTCACGCCAGGCATGTGCGCAACCTGCTCCAGCACCGTTTAAACATTCAGAGAAAGTGGATGACTCTCAGAATGATAAAAATTATCACTATGACTCAAGGAGACATAGAAAACTCTAATTCGATGGGTACAAATAGAAAAAATGTTAGTAGATGTCAAAACCTTCCTCTCCCAGGAACACTGGGTTCAGTTAGTTTTTACAAACGTGGATACGAAAATGCCCAAAGCAAGGTCTGGCCCACGACGAGTCGCAGTAAAAGCCCCGTTAATGAGGTGAGAAGCAGATTACTGTTTGCAGGCAGGAACCACATGTGAGTGACTCCAGGCCGGCACATGGTAGAGCGTCCGCCTGAGTCTAGCGGGCAGTGGGAGGCAGCGAGGGAGGGGGAAGGGGTCACTCTCAGCGCTCGACAGGGCCGTGCTGGCAAACTACCTGGGCCCAGGGTTACGAAGACTCAGGCCCTGCAGGATGGTGCCCTGGGACCGCGAGGCAGGGGCGACGGGAGGCCCAGCCCTGCCCTGCCAGCAGATCTGGACACACCAGGTTCTGGGACCAGGTCGGGCTTCTCTCTGAGCCAAACTCACCACCCCCAGCCACCACCTTCCCACGACTCCATCCTGGCCACAGCCCTTCATCCCTCTGCATCCAAGCTTGACACAGAGAGACAGAGAGAGAAAAAGAGAGAACTGTCTTCACCCCTGAAGGGGGCAAGGGCCAGTGTCCACCCCAGGGGACAGGAAGGAAAGGTAAACATAGAGAGGGGGGCCGGCAGGGCCAGTCCTCTGTCCTGGGGATGGGGACCTGAGGAGCTCGCCGTCTGCCTCACAGGACCTTCCAAGGGTAGGCTCCAGCACTGCCCCTCCTTTCTCCTGGGGCTGGCTTCAGGGCAACTCTGCAGAAATGCCCCTCTCTGCGTGGCCTGGCCGCCCTCGCCACATGGGTTTGGCCCCTGTCCAAGCTTCAGCTCAGGGCTGGTCACCAGGGCCCTGATGGGGGTTGTAATGCTCTTTCTGAGGCACCTCGCTGCAGGGCAGGGGTGCAGGTGGCCAGCAGAGCTCCCCTGGGTCACGGCCTCCCTGCCCAGCCCCACACCACTGAGTGCACACCTGACCAGGTGCCAGGACACCTGTCCGTGGGCAGCCGTGTCCCCCATAGGCAGGGTCTCATCAGCTGCCCCCTGCAAGGGCAGGAAGGCTGGGCAAGCAGCAGCCTCCCTCCACCTTGAGCCTCCTCCTCCGGGGCCGTGGGCGGCCTGAACGCAGGGAAATCAGCTCCTTCAGGGCTGGGCCCCCCGCCCCATGGTCTAGACTGAATTGTGTCTCCACAGCCTCATGTCCAGGCCTTGACCCCAGTGAGCCAGCACGTGGAGGTGGGGCTCTGGGGGGTGGGGTAGACAGGCCCTGAGGGGGTACCCTGATGAGATCAGCATCTTTATGAGAAGACAAAGAGCCAGCGCCCCTCACTCCCCCTGTGAGGACACGGCTGGAGGTGTAAGTGGTGTCTGCAAGCCAGGAAGGGGCCTGCACCGGACTGGCCTTGCCGGCTCCCTGGTCTTGGCCTTCAGCCTCAGGAGCTGTTGTCCAGGCTGCCCGATCCACAATGTTTCATTTGGTGCCAGAGCTGACTCACACTCGGCCAGTGGCAGGTCTCCTGCCCTTCAGGTGCTCAAGGGGAGCTCTCCAGCCCACATGAGGGACGGGGAAGTTCAGACCAAGGTTCCAAGGGGTCCCCAGGGCTCCATTTCAGGGCAGCATTGGTGGGAGAAGACCTGCCCCCAAGGAGCCTATGCTGGGCTGAGCTGACATCTACCTATCCCCAAGGAAAGCCACTGGAAATGATCCTGGGGCCACACAGTCCTGCAGGTCACAGAAGGGTGACCCCAGGTAAGACCCGAAGGTCAGCGCAGGTGCAGGGAACCAGGGAAACAGGAAGAGAGACCAGCAGGACATAGTCCCTTCCAAAGGAGCTGAGTGCCTCCCTCCTGGGAGCCTGGGGCAGGGACAGCCAGGGCCTGCTGGGGACAACTGTAACAGTGTGAACCCGGCACTGTTCCAGGTCAAGGGCTGTCTCGGGGTATGGGTCACACTTCCCAGGGAACCCAGGGCTGGGCCTGCTGGTCTGGGCAGTGAAGCTCGAATTCCCAGCAGGACCCTGACCCAGGACTGACGAAGGGGCCCCAACAGGGCTGCCCTGGCTGACCTTGGCCTTCAGCTGCAGGAGCCGCCGGCCAGCCATGCTCCCTGGTCTTTTCTTAGAATTTTGGTATTCTGTTCATCATAACTTTTTGCATTAATTTTGATTCTTTAGAATTTGCATTAAAACGTTGTCTTGAGGACTGAGGTTTTGTTGCCTCCTCAAGGCATGTGCCTCACTCCACCCTGGTCCCGGACCAGTCAGCCTGGCTCTCAAACCCAGACAAGGACCCACTTGCCTCTGGAGCAGAAACACTGTGCCAGGTGGAGACCTGTGTCCCCTGGGACAAACAGGAAGGAACATGGGCCTGCCTAAGCCTGTGGCTGCCACAGGCCTCCCGAACTGACCCCAAGCCATCACTGTGCTTGTGCCACAGACGCCACCTCACTTCTCCTCCGGTGGCTGCCTGCAGCCACAGTGCAGGGGCTTGGCTGCCTACATTGGGGGCACCCCAACCTGGGCTGGCTGGTTTCTCCTGACGTCATCAGCTCTGCCGGGAACAGGCCAGCCACGGTTTGTGCTGACATCATCATTTCCCAGAAGGAGGAAGGACGACAGGTGAGGAGGGGATTATGCCTCAGGCACTGCCAGGCCTTGCCCCTTGTGCCCCCTGCACTCCAGCCCTGGCCCCGGCCCCTCTCCTTGTGCCCTGCACAGTCTCCTTGCTCACTGCATGGGCACAGGGCTGGCTCAGAGGGTGTCTGGGTTTTTCTTTGATTTACAAAAATTAACTGCTCTCTGCTCCTCGTCAGGAGGAACAGTCCTTAGGCTCCTCACGAAGCTTCCTTTGAGGGTGTGTGGGCACCTGAAACCAGCTGTCCTGTCTGTTAGCTATCATCTTGTGGCTGAGTGGCTGGTTCTGTCCCAGGCTCTAACCTCCCCAGACCCTCCAACCAGCAGAAGTCACCCCCCAGGTCCCCTGGCTGCCTAACTGCTAGGTCACCGGCTGGAGTCTGAAGCAGGGGGACCTGGTCTGCTGGAAGGAAGGGCCTTTCTGCCAGTGAGGTCAGTGCCTAGGACTCCCCACCCAGCGGGTCCTTCTAAGGGGCCTGTGCCTCAGGCAGACTCTGAGCAGCAAGCGCATGCCTGTGCCAAACCAACCACCGGATGCAGGGACACAGCTCGGAGGCTTCTGCAGCCAGAGGAGGCAGAGCTACCTTTTCCTTCATGGCGTTCTCCATCCTGGCACTGTCATCCGGCACTGGCCCTGTGGCCAGCTCGTGCGAGCTGGGACCCCTCTGCGTTCCCCAGCAGGTCTCCGAGTAGGAATGTCCCAAGACTTCTCCGCTCCGAGGGTCAGCCGGCCCTGGTGTCTGGGAAACCGGTCCACCTTCGGCTGGTTTATGGCTGGTGCTTCAATCACAGAGCTTCCTGCTTTTCATCATCCCCAGCGAGCTTACGAGCCTTGTCTTCAGGGCCACAGCTGGGACCCTGCCCCACAGAGGCCTCCTCAGGCCAGGGCCATCACTGGGCTCCAGGGCTGGTCAGTTTTCTCTTCAGGCTGTGCTGAACTGGGCGGTGTGGTGGCCTCTACGCAGACTCAGCAGAAAATCTCCCGTCCCTTCCTGTGGCTGAGGCAGCGTTGGAGTAATTAGGCCGAAGGTGACTGTTTCATACCCCAACCTGCTTCCCAGGACCCAGCCACGACCCAACACTTCCTGCTGCGGCCAGCTGTGCAGAGACCAGGTGTGTGGTGGGGCATTCTGCTGCGCGGCCTCCTGTGCCTGAGAGGGCCAGCACTGCCATGGCAACCAGGAGCAGGGCCCCTGCTCAGCCCTTGGCCTCAGCGGGGCTGGCCGCCTGTCATTAGAGCTGTCATGCAGAAAACGCAGGCTGACGGTGGAAGGCCCCCACCCCATCCCCATAGCAACAGCACAGTGGTTTCGTCACTGCAGGCTGCGCCACCTGTCCAGTTCCCAGGACAGGCACAAGGGCTTCCAAACTCACGTCCTAAAGAACAGAGGCCCCTGAGAATCTGGGCACCAAAGGACAGGGCATGGGCTGTTTGGCCACCAGCATTGCCACACATGCACATGCCCGGGGCACCCACAAGTTCTGTCACTGCCTTCTTGGCTACTGCCTTGTAGTCTGAGCCAGAATAGTGGGCCTGGCCAGCCAGAGGCCCACAGACCTGGCCTCAGCCAGGGGACCAGGCAGTCCACTGATACCAGCAGTGGGAAGACCCTGGCAGTGGAGCAGGGGGTTGGGGCTGCTGGCTCAGGGGTTCACTCATATCTAGAGCAAAATGGGACCCAGAGATGACCTTATGGGAATTTCTGGCCTGACTCCATCCGACCTGGTGTGTTCATGATGCTCATAGCACTTCTCAGTCAGGAGACGGGTGTGAGTGCAGGGCAGGGGGCCGAGGAATCCACAGGCTCAGCACAGGCTACGAGCATGAGCGGCTGGTGAGACCAGCCTCCTGGGCGTGGTCTCTTGGCACTTGAAGTTTTCCGTTACAAATCTTTGTGTTTCCCTGGGTTACATGTGCTCATGCTCCTGGATAGTTCCCAGAGCCCAATTGCTGGGCAGGACTTACCGGCCGACACCTCACCAGTTTACTCACCTTTCCACCGACGGTCGGTGTTTGGTTACATGCCAGCCAATCCTTAAGATGATAAATCATCATTTGCTGCTGAACTGGTATCTCACTGTGGTTTTAACTGTTTGCTGGACATCTTTTTGTATTTCTTAAAACATTTTATTTATTTTTAGAGAAAAGGGAAGGGAGGGAGAAAGAGAGGGAGAAAAATACCAATGTGTGGTTGCCTCTTTCGTCCCCCCTGCTGGGGACCTGACCTGCAACTCAGGCACTTTCCCTGACTAGGAATTGAACCAGCAACTCTTTGATTCTCAGGCCAGCACTCAATCCACTGAGCCATACCAGCCAGGGCTGGACATGCTTTTTATATGCTTAGTGGTTTTTGTATTTTTCCCCGAAGATGATTTGTTCATGTTATTGAACTATTTTGTTACTGAATTATCTTTTATATTTCAATTTGTATAAACTAGCTTCATATTCTCTCTACAATATTGAGTAATCCTATGTTTAATATGCTATCTCATCCCTCCAGCCTATTGCTGAGCTGACAACTCGATTAATAGTGCCCTTCATCATACAGAAGTGTTTCCTTTGTATGAATTTCCATCTTTGCTTTGAAGAAAAGCATTTCCCACCCCAAATTTAAAAAATGTTCTCCTACATTTCCTTCCAGTATTTTTTCCAATTTTTTGGTGGTTAACACTTTGGTCCTTGTTTGTTTCACGCATGGTGTGAAGTGCCAGTCCAGTGCCCTTTCCCCATGGACTTGTGAAGTCAGCTGCATCACAGCTCGAGTGTCACTGTGTTATTCTCTCGGGTAAGAAACTGTTCGGGTCTGGTCATCCAGCAGGTGAACCCACAGGCCACATAGCCAGCTCTGGAACTATAGCTCCCCAGAGCCTCTGGGAACACACTGTGGCCCCAGAAGGCAAGACAGGGCTGTGAGCAGCTGCACCAAAGCCATCTTCCACTCTCTTCCTGTCAGGAAGGTTTCCGTTGTCCCCTGGGCCTCTCAGGGTCTAGCTGCTGTCTAGAATGGGTTACCAGCCAGGGAACATGCAGGATGACTCAGCCCCGTGGTTTGGGCGTGGGACGAGGAGCGGCACCTTGTGCCTCTGTTGTGGGTGACACTGGTCTGATGAGGGGTGAGACTCTGGGTGCCACCAGCCTTGGCCTGAGCTCTGCCTGTGCCGTGGCCCTCTGTCCAACCCTCTGCCTGTTCTTTCTGTTGGTTTAACTTTCTAGTCTTTTTTATATCTGGTGCAGCCAACATGCCTTCTTTTTTTCCTACAAAATTTTCTTTACCATGAGCTTTTTATTTTTTTATATAAATCTGAGAATGTATTTACTCTGTTTTATGAAATAATGCTATTGATAATTTCATAAGAAATGCACAGAATTTTGGGATTTAGGGGTTCATGTTAGAAAATTGACATCTCTATGTTGACTCTTCTCACTCAGAAAGATGGGGTGCTGCTCCATTAGTTTGGGTGTCCTTTTGTGTACTTCAGGTGAGTTTTATTACTTTTCTCATGTAGATCTTACACATTTGATAGATTTAGTCTTAAAAATGAGGATATGTATACATATACAATTTAAATATTTTATTTATTTATTTTTAGAAAGAGAGGAAGGGAAAGAGAGGGAGAGAAACATCAGTGTGTGGATGCCTCTCATGTGCCCCCTACTGGGGACCTGGCTTGCAACCCAGGCATGTGTCCTGACTGGGAATTGAACTGGCAACACTTTGGATTGCAGACCCGAAGTCAATTCACTGAGCCACACCAGGTATGGCAAGAAAGGCAACGTATTTATTAAGAGAAGTTGTTATTATAACTAATGCTGATTAAAACCATTGTAATTCACAAAGAACTTTGTATCATTCTGTCATTCGATTGGTACAGGAGCAGCAGGAAGGGCTGGTATGATCATCCCTTTCGAACAAGAACAAGGCCACGGAGGCCAGGTGGCCGAAGGACTGGGCTGTAATCTGCAGTGGCCACGGCTCCCAAGGGCTCGTGGTCTCAGCCTCCTGCTGAGGACAGAGGCTGAGACATGCCTCCTGCCCAGGCACAGCTCAGCCCTCCCTGAGCACAGGACCTGACCCAAAAGCATCCACACTGCACACTGACCAGAACCTTGAGAGGGGGCTCACAGGGCACATTTTCCCAACAGGGACCAGAAACATGGGTGGTTTTGCGGGCAACTCCAAAGGGGGCAGAAGCTCTGACCCCTCAACTTTCCAGGAGGAAAGCCCAGTATCCTGCTCCCTGGGGTGAGGTGAAAGGTGGTGCTTCCCTGGCTAGAGAATCTGGGGAGCAGGTGGAGGGCCTCTCCAGGACACTTGTGCTCGAGCCCCTTATCTGGCTAAGCCCCGATCAAAGACCATGCCTCTCCCAGCTTACACCTACCCGCCCCGGGGTGACCTTGCCCACTCACTGTGCTCTGCTGCTCTCTGTCATTTGAGTGGAGATCTGCCAGGGGGTTCATACAAACCTGTGCATTCAACCTGCCCTGTTTAACCAGAAGTTTGTACTTAACTCTGCTTGGGGTCGTTCACTTCCCTTGTCCGTGCAAATCACATCGTTTCTCTCAAGTGTCAAACAGTTTCTGTGCAGGGCAGCCCTGTGGGGGTTGGGATGCCATCCTCAGGCCAAGCCTAAGTGACCATGTGTTCAGAGTAGGTTTGGGCAGGGACAGTCAGTTGTGGATTAGTGACTAGCAAAGTCTGCTTGTACAGAGTTCTCTTGGCCTCCCTCCACCCCAGGTGCTGGGCATGCATCCCCTCCTCCTGGTACAGAGAGGACACGCTCCACGGGGGCTTAACCCCTGCTTTCAGGAATAGCGAGGGGACTCAGAGTGCCCTCTTGCACCTGCTGTTCCTGAAATGCCTTAACTCAAAACAATCAATACGTCAAAGCATGACAGGCCCTGGACTCTTTCCGAGGCCTGACCACACCTCCGCACGGCCCCGATAGAGGGCCCTTACCATGTTGGCCGGAGGATCACTCGGATCAGTGAAACAGCCCAGCGGCCAGACCTTGGCTGCTGGTCCCTGCATGGCCGGGGTCCCCAGGGCTAGGCCTCAAGGAAGGGATGGTGCCCACCTTGTCCAGCAGGGGTGGCCTCAGAGGACAGGCGCCCCTGTGAGTGCCGGAGAGGCCGTCCCGGGGAGCCGGTCCTGGGGCCCAGAGTACGGAGAGCCCGGTCTCTCGCGGACGCACACGCTGACGCTAGCCGTCCTGCCTGGCGCTGTGCCACCTGCCGACCCCGAAAACAGGTGCGGAAACGAACAAAGCACCGCTGACGCCCTCCGTCTGACCCCGTCCGTGGACTCTGCCCCAGCCGCTTCATCATCTTCTGTGCGCGCGTCTGTCCTGCAAGACGCTCTCTGACCGCTCGGTGCCGTTTGGCGACCGAGGCCTCGAGGGAACTGCTACCTCGTCTCTTCATGGACCGAGCCTCGTCTCCACACTCCAGCAAGAGGACGGCGGCCTTGGAGCTTGGGAGGCCCTGAGGGACTCGGATCGGTCCTGGAGGTAGCAGACGACACTGGTCAGCTCCGAGGGGCGGGGCCTCGGTCACGCGCACGCGCGCTCGGACTCGCACCCCGCCCCTCGCCGCGTGTTTCCGGCAGTCTCTCTTCTCTCCCCCCCCACCCCCCACCCCCACTCACCGGGCGCTGACTCGCTCTGCAAGCCTGGGGCGGTGTCCCCTGACCGGAACCGGAAGTGGGCCTTGAGTCCAGAGGAGGAAGCGGAGACCGACGCGTCCGCGGCCGCTGGGGTCTCGTGGGGCGGAGGGCGGCTGCTCGTGCGAGCCGGTCCGCGGGCCGGCCGGCGGCCCCGGCAAAGCCATGAAGCTGTACTGCCTGAGCGTCCTCTACAAAGGCGAGCCCAAGGCGGCGCTGCTCAAGGCCGCCTCCGACGTGTCGTCCTTCAGCTTCTTCCAGCGGTCCAGGTTCGAGGACTGGCGGGCTGGGGACCAGGGTGTCGCGGAGGCCGGGGTGGGGCAGGGAGACCGGGGTGTCGTGGGGGGTGGCAGGGCGAGGAGGCTGGGGAGGTCACCGGGGGCGGAGGGGGCCCAGGCGGTGAAGCCCGGCGGTGGCCTCTTCCTCGGTTGGGTCAGCGGACCTCACCTCCCAGTAACCATCCTGGCGCTCATGGAGGCGTAGGCTCCGAAGACCTCTGAAGTCGGTGATTTTCATATTCCTGCCATGTAAAAATTACAAGGGGACTTTGAAAACGAGATCCCCCAGGTTCGTGTCCGGTTATCTGAATTAGGAGGTGGAGGCGCAGAAATCTGTATTTGAAACCGACTGGTTTCCACACTCGGCTGCCACGTCTTGAGAGTCCATGTATCCTAACAGCTCCCTGTGAGAGGTGCTGGCGGACCCTTCGTTTATGGGTGACGTCACTGAGGCCCAAAGAGAACACACCACAGCCAGCCAGGGCTCAAACCCAAATTGTACGCCTCTTACATTGGGCCCCTGCTACAAAAGCATTCTACACCAAGACCTGGAAGGAAGCAAGCTAGGCATTTGTAGGGCTTTAAACTTTTCCTGGGGTGTCCAACCTTTTGGCATTGCCAGGCCACACTACAAGAAGAAGAGTTGTCTTGGGCTACACATAAAATATGTTGTGACATGAAATCACACAAAAAAACCTCATCACATTTTAAGTAAATGTATGGGTTTGTGTTGGGCCACATTGTAGCCATCCTGGGACACATACAGCCTGTGGAGCACAGGTTGGGAACCTGTGTCTTTCTGGGGCCCGTCCTACAAGCAGGTGGGTTTGGCAGTAGGACAGACACTGGCAGCCTGTCCATGGGAGGTGAGGGGACCCAGGCCCGAAAGGAGAGGGACCCACAGCATCTGCTGTGGTCACTACTTCCAAGCCAGCAGCAATCTGCCCTTGGACTGTTGCCATGGCTCTGGGTCAGTGTTTGTTCTTGATGAGAACAGGGGCTTGCTAGCAAGATCCAAAACAATTACTTTCTTCTGTTGAAGCTTCCTGCTTCTTTTGGTCAGTCTTAAAGTATCTTCCTGATACTTGACTCTCCAGGCCTTGGCCCCCATGCTGTGTCCTGTGGCTGCTTTTCTGCATTTGTGCCGACTTGGCTCCCTCCGACCCTTCCCTGTGCTTCCCTGTGTGTGAATGCTGATTCTTGGTGTTCAGTGTGGGACCGACACCTCGCCAGCTCGGGACATGCACGCTTGTGTCAGATGATGGATTGATACTGCCACAACAGGTGCTGCAGCCGGCTGTGTTTCTCACGGGCCCCTCCCTTCCATCCCACCTACCTGAGGATGGCCAGGCCCCATGCTTAAAACCTCCCAGGGTCTCCTGGCTCTCCTTCCTGGCCCTTGGATGCCAGCTCTCTCAGCACATGCAGTTCTTTGTCTGAGGACTGTGCTGCCCTTGCCTCTGTCTCTTTGAGGTTTTACAGCAAGGACTTGTTATTAGGAGACTTCTTTAAGGAATCATAGTCATGTGTCACCTAGCCACAGGGAGACATGCTGAGAAATGTGTCATTAGTTGACTGTCACTGTGCAAACACCACATGCGCACTTGCACCTAGACGGCAGTGCGGCCTGTTGCTCAGCCAAGCTGTGCGGAAGGCTGTGGGCAGCTGTGGTAGGGTGGTGAGTGTTTGCGTGCATGCACACACTGAGACACGGAAGAGTACAGTGGAAACACAGTATAGAAGATAAGCGTGGTGTGCCTGTGCAGGGCGCTAGCCCTGAATGGGGGCTGCAGGACTGCAAGTGGCTCCAGGTGAGTGAATCTGAGGTCAGTGGTGAGAGAACATGTGGCCAGGACTGCACCCGGCCGTGGACTCTGTGATGCTAAACACCCGGGCTGCACCGATCTATGTTAAATTTGTTTCTTCAGTAACATGTTGACCTTAGTGTAACTTTTCTAATTTATAAAGTTCTCAGTTTTTCCACCTGATGCTTATAATCACATTTAGCCTAAAACACAGACACATTGTATAGGTGTACAAAAGCATCCTATTTGCATTCTCACTCTACAAGCTATTTTCTGTAAGTTTTTAGTGGTTTTAACTTTTAAACATTTTTTTGTTAAAAACTGAGACACAGACACATACATCTTAGGTCAGCACAGCATCAGGATCGTAAGCATCACTGTCTTCCACGTCCACACCTTGTCCCTGTGTATGGTCTCCAGGGCAGTGATGTGCATGGAGCTGTCACCTGCCATGACAGCCCGCTTCTCCTGGGACACCCCCTGAAGACCTTCTCGAGGCTCTTCTTGAGGAGGGCTCATTCTCCAGAAAGAAGTCGGTGGCAGTTCGCTTGGTTTGAGCCCTTGTGGCATCATGGGCTTGTTTGTGAGCAGACAGTGCACTGTGACCCTTCTTCTGTCAGTGGGAACCATTGGCTTACATGTTTTCATACTTTTTTATGGAGCCTGTTGAGCTCTGCAAATGCTTCTGCAAAAACTCACTGTGAATCTTCCTGGATGTTCCTGTGGGACCAGTGCCATGCATGCAGCCAGTCATTGGCCCAGCCCCATCCCCACCCCCTAAGCCTTTGTCCAGCCATGTTTCATCTCTGAGCTGTTGCCCGCACTTCTTCCGCAGTGCCCGTCACTGGTACTGCAGGTGACTCAGCCTCCACTGAGGTGCACACCGTGGCCATACCTGGCTGTGCATCTGCCAGATAGTTCTCTGTGTTTTTCCAGGGCAGTGTTTATTTGACCTGCTTCTTGGAAGTGGGGCCTTGAGAACAGAAGCTGGCTCCTGCTTCACCACTGTGTCCCAAACCATACTCTGATCAAGTCGTTACACTGACAACAGCCTGTAGAAACACCCCAGAAGTCTGGAAGGGGGCGGTTGGGGTGAGCTGGGTACCAAACAGATGTAGTTTGAATGGCCATCATGATTTGTAACTATCTAGATCTGTTCATTTACAGAGCATTTATTATTTGTCTGAGGTTGGGAGGGAAAGGAATCAAACCCAGAAGCAATGTCACCTTATGGATAAGCTCAGGTCACTTTCCATTGTGTTGGGGACGAGGCGACAGGAGTAGGTGATATGTGTTGTTTCTTAGTGTGCAGGAGTTCATGACCTTCACAAGCCAGCTGATTGTGGAGCGCTCAGCAAAAGGCAGCAGAGCTTCTGTCAAAGAACAAGGTAAGAGGGTCTGCCCCCCACAGTGAGTGCTGGCCCAGCCACCATGCTGCAGACAGCCTGTTGCCTTGTGAAGGAGTGGTTGACCTGGTCTCTCTTCTGTCCTTCTCCTCTTCCTATTTGTACAAAATTCTGTGCCCACCGTTGGTGTCCAGCTGCCTGGGTAAAGTTGCCCCCAGAGCTTGGTCTGAGTCTTGGATTAGTCAGCAACGCCTCCTCCAGAGTGGAGGCATTTCAGAAAAAGACCCTTAGTCGCCTGGTCCAGGAACCACCACGTTTTGTGCTCCATAGGTTTTGACCAGGAACCTTAAAGACGTTACTCTTGCTTCTTCATGGTCCAGACTCTCTGTGGGAACTGTTAGGCATTTATTTCAGAGGCGTGGGTCATGCCTACAGTTGAGGAAGGGGTGAGTGACCTTCAGGCAGAAATAGCCTATTGCATGTTGTTCAGACCATGGCCCTAAGGGTGGAGGGGCTGTCTCAATGGTGTGGGCACCAGTGACATTGCAGGTGGTGGTGTGGCTGCGTCCATCCTGTGTGGGACCTGTGTGCTATGTCCCACCGGTACAGTTGGGCTATGGATATGTGAGGATTCTCCGCCCCTTAGGGCTGTGTCTACCTTCTCAACTTGGCACCTCAGCACCTGATCCTGCTTCTGTGTGGCATGTGTGCTTTGTCCCCATGTCTGGGTCTGTCTCACTTTCAGGGGGACACCCGGAGTGTGTTGGTGGTGAGCGCCTGTCCCCTTCGACCCCGCTGGCATCTGTCTCTGCACACTTCTGACTTTAGGGACTGTCGGCCTTCCTTAGCTCTTTAGTTTGTTTTCCTTGTTTAGCTGCTGAGTCCTGAGGCTGAGAGCCATAGAAATAAGAAGTACTCACTCAGAGGCCACAGTCCTCTCCTGCCGACAGCAGTCAACCCTGGGGACTGTGGGTGTCAGGCAGAAGTCCCCTTGCAGACTGACTGTGTCACTGCTTTGACAAGAGGCTGTGACCCTGCAGACCTGGCCTGCAGTGGCCAGGTACTTCCTGGACAGGCCTCGCTCCTTGCCCCTCCACCCTCCCTACACAGGGCCCAGAGAGCTAACTTCCTGACAGCAAGGCTTTTAAAGAGAGTGGGGCTGCTTCGATTACCAGGGTTTTCTCAGTTTGGGGACAGGACCTTAGAAGGCTGCCTCCCCTCGAGACACTGCAGGGCCTGGCCCAGAGCTCAGGGCTGTGCCCGGACACAGGGCCCAGACCCTGGCTCTGCACCCTGAGCCTCAGGGCCTTTCCCCATCCTAAGGTGGGTGTTGGGCCAAGCTAACGGCCGAGCTCCCACGTGCACTGCCCTTGTGCGCGTCCAGCCAAGCTGTGCTACAGAGCGCCCACCCGCCAGCCTTGCTCAGGGAATGTGGTTGGTCTGCGGCGTGGCTCTGTCCTCCCAAAAGGCAGCAGCCCAGCATGGTGATGCTTTGGCTGGTGGGTGAAAGGTCCTTCTGTGTGTCTCCTCAGACTACCTGTGCCACGTCTATGTGCGCAATGATGGCCTGGCAGGTGTGGTCATTGCCGACGGCGAGTACCCATCCCGGGTGGCCTTCACTTTACTGGAGAAGGTGAGTCTGCAGCTCAGCTGTCCTGGGACTGGGGCGAAGGCCATGCCTGAGGCCTGGGGGAGGTCGTGTGTCCAGATTTGGCCCGAGCTCAGCTTTTCCCTGCCCTCCCCAGCCCCCCTCTGTAGCCCTGATTGCTGCCCTCCATCCAGGCCCATGTCTCAGGGCCACTGTGACACTCCTGGCCTGCCCCTCAGTGGCGGCATCTCTACTCTGGGACACAGGTCCTGGGTCTGTGGTGGCCAAGTTCTCGGCCCGTGTGTTTTCCGTTTCCTCCTGAGCCACACCTGACTCCAACTCTGCCCTGTCCCCTCCACTGGGCCCTGCCTGCTCACCCTGGGCCCCTCCTGATCCGTCCTGCAGTGCCGGGGGCTCCCTTCCCTCCTGTGGGCTCCGTGCCTGGTGTTCGGTCTTCATGAGGTTCTAATTATGAAGTCCTTGAAGACACTGCTGTGTCATGTTCCCCAAAGGACTGATACACTTAGGAGCACATGAAATTTGGTGATGGCTTAAATTTTTCCTTTTGGAAGAATTGGCTGGAAAACAGGACTAGTACTCATTCCTGGAAGGACTAGTACTCATTCTTAGAAGTCCATAACCTCAGTAAAACTGGAACCTGCAGTTTAGAAATTTAATGCTTCTGTCCTCACCAGCTGGGGTTTGTCTTGGGCTGGGTGCCCTTGGCTCTGGATGTTCAAAGTGCTCAGGGAGGAGCAACCCGAGTCTGGACTTCCCTGTGTGCTGGCATTCCGCCTCAGCCCTCCCCCAGGCCCTGGGGGCCTGAGAGCCTCTTGGGGCCAAGTCCTGTCGCCATGGGCATGGTGCGCACAGGCGGTGTCACTGAACTCCTTTGTCTTGCAGGTGCTGGATGATTTCTCCAGGCAGGTCGATAGGACTGATTGGCCAGTTGGCTCCCCTGCTACCATCGACTACACGGCACTGGACGGCTACTTGAGTACATACCAGGTGGGGCGCCCCAGAGCCATGGGAAACCTTCTGGCCTATAGCCGTGGCCCCGGGTGACTTCCTGACAACCTGGAGTCCCGGTCCCTGTGAAAACTGCAGGAACTTCATGAGAACCTGGAGCCCTGGCTCCCAGATCAGCTGTCACTTCTCTGTCCTGTGTTTTTAGGTAGTCTGTCACAGTGTGTCCCACTCACTCAGTTGAGCATTGTTTCCAGGTGGCCTCTCCAGTCCTGACATTTTTGGTTTTCACTCTTCTTTCCCAGAATCCCCGAGAAGCTGACCCCATGAGTAAAGTGCAGGCTGAACTAGATGAGACCAAGATCATTCTGGTAAGGAGGAAGTCCGGGGGAGAGGGCTGGCACGCCGTCGTAGCCAAAGTGCTGTTCTGAGAGAGGATGGCCCGCCTCTCCCCGGGCTCCAGGGGCCTCGAAGCCAGACCCCCTGAGTCTCCCCCTCCTCACCCTGTGAGTGGCACCAGCTGCACGAGGGACGAAGCTGGGAGCCGGCCTGGCCACTTTCCATCCCCGCTCCCTGGGTGGTCCCCAGCAGGGGCAGTTGGCTCAGTGGTTCTGCCCCACCAGCCTCATGCCCCCGTGCCTGTCTCAGAGCAGGCAGGCGCCTCCCCCTGGGCTTTGGGTGCTGGGTGCACAGAGTTGTCAGAAATGCCACGTTTTCATCTGAGACCTTCTGGTTTACAACTGCCACTTCCATCTGCCCACCAGGCTGCAGCCACCGAGCTGTCACTCTTCTGCTGAAAGCCCTCCAGCAGCTCTGGAGTCTGCTGCAGGGGGACGTGTAGGCTCTCTGACACTTCTTGCGGTCCCTGTCTGCTCCTAGGCAGGCTCTATGCTCAGGTTTCTTCCCAAATGCCACTGCTGTGGCCCTGCCACTGTGGGTCTCCCTGTCGGCATGGGAGCACATCCTGATCTCTGTGTTTCTACTCCCGGCGCCCTCACTGACACCAGTGCCTGGCAGCCATCGGGCCCCGAGAGGCTACAGAGAAGGCCCAGGAAGATAGCACCCTGATGTGAAGCTCTCCTGTCTTCTGGGTCGGACTCCTGGGTCCCCCTAGATGACATGGTTTGGGGATGAGACTTGGATATGGAAATTCAGTTTTTTGAAGCTAAGCTCCGTCTGCTCCTCCTCCTGCTCAGAGCCCCGCAGCCGGCAGACACTGCGCACTCCTGCACTATGCGTGGGCGCGGCCAGCAGGTTGTGGTCACCCAGCCCTGCTCTGACTGCAGTGGCCACGCTGCCTTTTGTTCCATCCGTATCTGAATCCAGTCGCTTGGGTGGAAATCCGAGTGACTGGGCCAGTGTGGAGACCAGGATGTGAGACCTTCACTCGTGTCTTTTCACATGTGTGCGCTCAGGTTCAGAGGGCCTGGCATCTGCCCTTGGAGTACCCCCTCAGGGGGCCACAGGCTCCTCCCCCCTTGGGGGTGGGTCTGTGTACTCATGATGCCTGAGCGCAGAGATGCCAGTGCAGACCAGTCAGGACCGCAGAACACAGCCCTTCAGAGGGAGCCAGGTCCAGTGGGAGTTCATGGAAACGCACCTGGGTGGCCTCTCCTGGCCTGGATGTTCAAGCCTGCGCTGTGCAGAATTGGAAGATGCCCTCTGTTCAGGCAGAATAGGCAGGTCACTAGGTCCAGTTGCATGCGCAAGGCGGACCTGTGCCAGGGTACTTGTGTATGGGCGAAGGGCCCAGGGAAGTGCTTCTCCTGACTCGGGCTCACAGCCGCTCACTGTGCACAGAGTAGATGTTTCTCCCGCTTCCTTCATGCAGCACAACACCATGGAGTCCTTGCTGGAGCGGGGGGAGAAGATAGATGACCTGGTGTCGAAGTCCGAAGTGCTGGGGATCCACTCGAAAGCCTTCTACAAAACGGTGGGTGTGCCAGCTTCCCAGGCCTCAGGCCCTGGCAGCAAGCAGAGGCCTGCCCCCCCAGGAGGGGGGTTGTGGGGTAGGTGGCCCATGGGGTTGCAGCGTCTGAACAGGAGCCAGGGGCCCAGAAGCCAGGGCGGCCTTGTTTAGGGAGAGTGTGGGCAGCTGGGTCCGTTCTCATTGTTTGTGTCTGGCACCTTCCTGGTGGCAGGAACAGGTGTGGAGGAAGTGGTCTTGGCTGTGAGCTGCTCCCAGACAGTTCACCTGGGAGGGGTAAGGATAGGTAGCTTCCGGTCCTCTGTCCCACCCAGCACTCCGGTCCCCAGGTCACCACAGCCTCCTCAGCCCCCTTCCCCCTTCAACTCCTCTTTGTTCCTTTCTAGGCCCGGAAGCAAAACTCATGCTGCGCAGTCATGTGACTGCAGCCCATAGAGGCCCCCTCGATGCAGAGTCCCTGCCATTCACACCAGAACCGCAGCCCCTGAGAAGCCTGGTGGCCACATGAAGACCAAAGCGCAACCACCCATCATCTGCTTCGAGCTCCTGGGAGGAGCCGAGGGCTGGTGGAAGGGACCTAGGGTGGGGCATGTTCAAATTCACATGTCTAGTAATTTTTGAAAGATGACTTCAGGCCCCCAGAGGTGTACTTTTGGGCCAAATGAAACCATAAACACTCTGGACTCCTGCTCAGGCCAAAGGGGTCGTTTCTAACCCTGACAGCCCCGGGTCAGGGCCAGCTCTGTTGGTCCCCAGCAGCCTTTGGGTTTTACTTGTTAACTGTGTCAGCACTCAAGTAAGGGGTTCCTGGTTCACAGGGCCTGGGGTGGTGGGCAGGTGCACCCTTGGCTCTCTTGAAGCTGCACAGGGCCATAGGGGGTGGGGGTGAGTCAGGGTGGGCCAGCATGTTGGGGCTGAGGCCAAGGTGAGACAGTCACTGGGCCTCACCAGTTCTGCAACGCAGTTTGTGTTTCTGTGGACACTTCCATGGAGCTGCACAGAGGTGCCCTGGAGGTCTTTGCGGGGGGCAGGGCGCCTCACCTGACTTGCCGTTTGACCTTGAACATAAGGATCACAGGTTGTGCCTCTGCTGACAAGCCTGTCTTGGCAACCACCGGGGGCCTGCATGTCTTAGCAAATGGCTTTTCCTGTGGCCACTGCTGCTGGGCATCAAGAGTAGGTGCCAGCCAACCCAAGGGCTCCCAAAACCCCACCTGTGATCAGGGGCCCGTCCCCCCCACCTCCACCCCGACCTACTGGGTCCCACACTGCCTCTTCCTGCCCCGCTGGGCTGCCTGAGGACAAGGTGCACCCTTGTACTGGGCCCCAGGAAGCCCCTGCTGGGGCAGTTGCCACTGTGGTCTCTTTCCACAGGGTCCTTTGCCTGACATGCTGGTTCTTGCCTGACTAAAGGGTCCACTCATCCAGCAGGAAGTGCCGGCAGCTCTGAAATCTCTCATGTGGTCCAGAAAATGGGATCTATGGCTTCTGAATACCACCCCACCCTGACAGGTTTACCTGCTGGCTGCTCTTGTCCTCTGGGTGCTGCTGGCCTGCCTGCCTCTATGTAGCCAGCTTGTCCATGTGACTTTCCTCCTGAACACACCCTGGGCAGCGCAGGCCCATCCTGCTCACTGATGCCTGAGGTGGCTGTGACTCCACTGGATAGTTCAGGTCCTAGATGATGGGGAGCACATGGGGAGCAGGTGGAAGTGGAGGAGGGAGCAAGTGGGGGCCCAGCTCAGGCCCTGTGCCATCTTGTCCCCTGTTCATGTCATTCTAATGTTAAGTCATCTGGCTAAGAGTGTATTTTAGTAATTGCTGCCTAACTTTTCTCTGTCTTGTTCAACAAGTTTCTTTCTGGATAAAGTTGTCTTTTGAAATTCCAAAATGGTCCTATGCTTTGTTTAAGCTTCAGGGGCCCCTCCTTCAGGGAGCCCCTTCCTCTGTGCTGCGCACACTGCTGGGCAGATGTGGGGACCCAGGCTGTAACCTTCCTCCCTGCTCCCAGCCCTCCACCAAGACCCAGGTGAGGGGGAAGTCAGGCCCTGCAGGTGTTCCGGTGCCCTTGTGGGCTAGGGCATCTGGCCCCAGTTTATGGAACAAGCTCAGCCGCTGATCAGTAGAGCTCTGTGAAGACTTGGCAGCCTGGTTTGTTGCTGGCCGGAGACCCTACTCTCAGCTCTCTGCCACCCTCAAAATCAGAAGCAGTCCTGGGCTCTGGCAGGGCCAAGCACACCAGCTATTCCTGCTGAGGCCCAGGAGCTCTGCCCAAAGTAGGTGCTACTTACCAGTGGCATGTGGAGGCCCCCACTGCCCTCCCTCTGCCTGAGGCACCGGCCTTACCCGCAGACCTACCCTGCACACTGCAGGGTGAGACGCCCCACTCGGCTCAGGATCCCAGGGAGCCTGGCCGGGACGGTGCCTCTGATTACAGCTGATAGGCCTCAGGTGCAGGAGATACTCTGCAATGAGACTGCACTCCCAGGCTCTGTCCTACATTCTCCCAGGCCAGCTCAGGTCTCCCTAGGCCCTGCTGCCCGGTGCAGCTGGACCCCCCTCACCCACACACCTGAGCACACCTGCCAGGTGCAGCCCACTGGCACAGACACTGATGTCAAGGGCCTCCTGGCCTGTGCAAGGTGTCTGCCACCGGGGGCTGCAGCTTGAGGTGGAGGCCCGTAGATGTCCCTGGGGTGCCTGTGTCATCAGTCTGTCAGCCCTATGGGGTGGGCATGTCTGATGTCTAGGATGGCTCTGAAGCTTGTGTTTCTGTCCCAGGAAAGCACATGACATGATGTACAGACAGGGAGCTACTGGGCCTGGGGTCAGGGGCAAGGGAAGCCACCCATCTCCACAGAAGGTCCTGTCTGGGAGGGAGGTGGGCCAAGAGGCCTGCAGTGGGCCAAGTGTGCAGCCATATGATCAGATGGCCTCCAGCCAGGTGGTCAGGTGGCTAGTCAGGCCACACAGCTATGCGATCAGGGCTAACAGCTGGCACAGGCTGAAGGTGGGTATTTCTAAGGGAGGTCCCTGCAGGTTTCGTGTCCCTGTGCTGTAGGGACACAGCTGGGTGACATGTCCATCCTGAGGAACAGGCCAGGGACACAGAGGGTAGAGCAGAGCCCAAGACAGGAGAAGCTGGGGGTGTCAGAGGCCATGTTCATGCTGGGGCAGCTGCAATGGGAGGCCTGCTGGGGAGCGCCTAGCCCTGCTGCCCCCGGCCTCATGCCACCCCACCTCAGTCCAGCCACCTCAGGCTCAGTGCCTGGCATCCCTCTGTCCACACATTTCTGCTGGGGGTCCTGTCCTCTGGACCTCCTTGAGAAGCCTGTCAAGGCCCCCCTTGTCATCACCTACTGTCTTGCCTTTGCATCCCAGCAGCCACTGCTGTATTGTGCATGACATTGGTGTCTGACACTGGCCAGGCCTGCGTGGTGTCCACACACCCAGCATGTGGACTCATGCGAGCAGGCCAGGGTGGTGCCAGTGGTGAGCAGAACAGGAAGTTGGCACTGTGGGCAGAGGGGTGCCTCAGTAGGGCAGTGGAGCCTGGGTCTGGGGACCCTCCCACAGAGAGGTGCCCTTCAGCCCCACTTTAGGGACTACTGGGGCGACTGGAGAGGTGGGGGCGTGGGGAAGCAGCTGCTGGAGCTGGGATCTGTGGCTGCACAGAGGGACCCCTGGGCGGGCTCTCCACCCCTGACAGGCTCAGGGCAGTCCAGACTTGGCCTCTGTGGCCAGGGCCAGCTGGGGGCCCCCACCAGGAGGGGCCATGGTGTAAGGGGCAGAGTCCCAGCATAAAACACCCAGCTGCACAGGAAGCAGTTTGTCCTGTTTTTCTTTTATTTGCAGTTTCCCGAGACAGAACAAAATAATTTTTTGTACACTTACAAGGCTCAGAAAGAAAAGACAATAAAACTCAGCAAAAAGAGAGGAGGAAAGCCGGCCAGCACCGCGGCAGCCGACCCTCTGCAGGGCGGGCCGGCGAGGCCACACTGCAGACATCTAGCTAGGAGAGCAGGTGTGGCTTGCTTGTGGGGGTCATGCAAAAGAACTATCCCCCAGAAAAAAATCCCCAAATTAACCCAGACAGGCAGCTCCATAGAGATAACGAGGAGTGGGAGAGGTGGGAGGAGGCCCCAGGAGGTGAGAATGGCCAGGCCCAGGCCGCCCACGGCGAGCCCTGCCACGTGCTGCCCACACCCAGGGAGCCTGGCAGATGCTCACCCTGTGTCCATGAGTGGGGACAGCTGTCCTGAGCACAGCTGTGGACGGGCAGGTGAGTGTCCACTACGAGTGTCCGATGATGGACAGTCACCTTGGAGAGCAGGTGCTGTGTCCTGTCCCAGTCCGTGCCCCCCCCCACCCCACCCCTGCTTGATTTGTGAGGAAAGATGAAGAGAACCCTTGTTGAAAACGTCAATCAAAGGGGAAGGAGTTGGGTCCCACATCTCAGTGACCAGTCCTGGTCAGACCCGCACCCGCACCCCTGGGTGCTCCCCACGGCCATCTGACCACACAGGCCATCTGACCACACAGGCCATCCCTGAGCCTCACTGCGGGGAGCCCTGCGCCCCCTTGCCCCATAGGGTCCCCAGCACACACTGCAGCCTTCTGAAGCCTGGCAAGGGGGTCGGCCCTGCCCTCCCGCAGCACTGCCAAAGGCCAGGAACACTGCTGTAGCCAGGAGCCCTGGAGCCCCTGCCCCTCAAGCCCCTGCCCCTGTGTCGGAGAAAGGCCCCCTGGGCTGCTGCCAAGGGTGCCTTCCTGGCCAGTGTGTAGCCAGCTTGAGTCTGACGCTAGGCGTGCCCATCTGCACCTCCTGCTCCTAGGAGAGCGAGAGCCAGAGCCCTGGGCCCCTGGGGCTCCTCTCATGACTGGTCCTTCTGGGGAGCTGACCCAGCCTCTGCGCGGCCGTCCACGCTGGGGTGCCCACCCACACCCGCCTTCTTGGTTGGGGGAGAGGAAAGGAAAAGAAGCAGAGGGTACAGCTGCGCTCAGGCCCGCGGCCCCCGCAGCGCCCCCAGACGACACCAGACACTACCCACTGTGCGCAGGGCAGAGGGCTGGGCCCCTTCGAACAAACGTGGCAGGGCAACGGGCGACGCCCTGTGGACAAGTTCACCGCCGGCGGTCCGGAGGCCAGGAGCAGACAGACAGGTGGAGCTCGGGTAGGGAATGGCCAGTAGGTTTGAAGCCCCACAAATGCCAGTCATTTTTACAGCTTTTTCCTTTGTTTAGTTTTTTTTTTTTCCATTTCATCCGAAATGTGTGGTTGTTGCTGTCATCTTGTTTTTAAAAAGAAATCACATCTGGTCTTGGTTTTCTGCAGACACAGGCACCAGGGGAGGAAGAGGCAGACACAAACATGCGACAGGCAGGCCGTGTGCCGAGGCGGCTGGGCGCCAAACACCAACCAACGGGCTCTGCAACGGCGAGGGCGGGGTCAGCGCCAGCGCGCACACACACTGGTGGCTGCGGACACGCAGGCCCCGCCCCGCCACCGAAGCCCCGCCCCCATACCGCGCTCACCATCACTGCAGCGGGGCCACGGGCGCGCCTGAGCAGTGGAAGTGCACGTTCTGCCACTTGCCGTCACGGCGGTGCCACACACGGGTCTCCTCGGACTGGCTGGTGCGGGGCCGGCCCTGGCCGTCGATGTATTGCGTGAGGCGGATGTAGGCGATGCAGGCCGCGTCCTCCCCGATGACGTGCACGTGCGGGTTCAGGATGGTCGTGTGGATCGGCTTGCTGTTTTTGGCGAGCACTGTGGACGAGCAGGCCCGGGCTCAGCCCTACTGCGGCCGCTGGCCTCTGGGCCTCCCGGCGCCCGCCTGGGGCTCCGGGCATGGAGTGGGTGGGCTTCCCTGAGCTCCCAACCGCCCCTGCACACCCTCCGCGGCCCAGCTCCCACACTCACAGTTCTCGAAGTAGAACCTGTGGAAGTCCATCCCTTCGACCAGGTTGCCCAAAGCTTCAGGCTCAAATGAGGTCAGGCCTGGGTCGCAGATTTTCCTGGGGGGCAGACCCAGGTGAGGAGGGACCCCTCTGCACCCGCCCAGGGCATCCAGCCCCCCTTCACAGCCCACCCAGGAGATCCCAGGACCCACACAGGCCCCGACTCACGCGTAGGCCTCGAAGTCCCCGTTGTTGACTGACTCGATGAGCTGCTCAGTGATCTTGATGATCTCCTGCTTCCGGGCTGCAGAGACACAGGCTCGGTGACCCTCGGCCCCCACGCAGCGGCAGCCCCCACAAAGTCCCCATCCCTCCCCCCTCTCCTCTCAGGGGGGACTCTTGAGGTCTGATTCCCCAGCTGTCCAGCTCAGCCCATGCCCTCCAAGGCCGCCACAGGCTTCTCCCTTGTCTGTCATAAACAAAACACCTCTGAAGAATAGAAAATTCCGTCCACAGTACAAAATGTCTAGAAAATGCAAAAAGAGGGAACGGCACCGGCCACACCCCAGGACCTGACCTCAGCACCTCCCCCCCGCCCAGGACCCCTGGACCCTCTGCAGCTGTGCACTGGGACCTGCCTTCCTGGTCCCACCCACTTGGGCTTCACTCTCAAGGTCTTCCCCAAAGCCAACAACTCGTCCTGGGGGACTGTGAAGGGATGGGGCTCTGGTGAGGCCTCTGCCTAAAGGCCAGGAGCAGGGGTGCAGGGACCCGGCAGAGGGGAGAGTAGAGTGGGGGCCTCAGCCCCTCTCCCTGGGTGCTGGCGGACCAGGTGTTGGATGCCACCTCTGCTGGTGGCCACCTGCTTGCTGTCCTGGGCCCAGGTGCCAGCCAGCACACCACCTGTCCATCCTGTGCAGTACACCTGGGCCTCTGGGCTCCCGCCAACTTGGCCTCTGGTCCTAGACAGGTCTGGACCCCAAGGTAGTCGCCCAGGACCCCCTTGTCTCTACAATTTATTCTCATGCAAAAAAATTTAAGCATATGGAAGGAGAGATATTAATTCAGCCCACACCCTGCAGACTCAAATCTGAACATTGTCTTATTTGCTCTAGATGTTTCAAAGAAATAAAACCTTACATCATCGCAGGTATCAGAGTGAGTGCTCCACCACATCCCTCTGCACAGACATGCTCATGTGCCCTCACATGCACACTTAAACACACACACGTACACACACAGGCACACATCGTGGGGGATTTCTTTTTTTTAAGATTTTATTTATTTATCTTTAGAGGGGAAGGGAAGGTGAGAGGGAGAGAAATATCAATGTATGGTTGCCTCTCATGCGTCCCCTGCTGGGAAGTGGCCTGCAACCCAGACATGTGCACTGACTAGGAATCAAACTGCAATCTTTTGGTTCACAGGCTCGTGCTCAATCCACTGAGCTATATCAGCTGGGGCTGTGGGGGGTTTCTTAAAGCAATGGTGTGCTGGTAGTATACACAGACCCAAGAAGTGACCTGAAAACAGGATCCCAGGAAGCCCCCCCCCCTAGAACCGCAGGCCGAGGCTGCCCCACTGTGCTTCTGTGCACTTGGGACCACGGCTCCCTGCAGAGCCACCATGTGGTATGGGCACTTGCAGATCTCTACTCCAGCTGCTGGGAGCGGCACATGGGTGTGTGGATCCATGGGCTCAATGCCCTAAGCACTTAGCGTTCAGAAGCCTATGCCCACGGCCCCTGCTGCCTGCCTGTCCACCCTCCCACCACCACTGGGCCTGGCCGGGCACTTCCTCCCCTGGGATCCCACCTGGAGGGGGACTGAGTCCACAGCAGAAGATGCTCTGTGCTGTGTGTGAGTGGAGGTATGCTGTGACCCCTGAGGGGTTGGTGCATACATGCGTGTGTCCCCTGGGAGTGTATGTGAGTGTCTGCACTGGCCTGTAAACACTGCACTTCAGCTACTGTCCTGTTTTGCTTTACTACCAGGCTTGTGTCCAGACACCAGCAGGGTTGCACTCGGGGGTCATCACTGGAGAAGCCCACCTGCCTGGTTGGCCCTGAAGGTGGGCCTCTAGGAGGGTGGCTGTGAGCTCCAGTACCCCAGGCCCTGTCCACCTGCAGGGCTCTGTCCTGATCACTCCTGGGTGCCGAGCAGGAATGCATGACCCTTCAGGGTCACACTGCATCCAGCATCCAGCCCACCTCTTTGCCCTCTGCCTGGGCTATTTCCAATTCTGAGAGCCCCCTGTCCTCTGGCACCCCGGCCACCTCCCTGCCACGGTCACTAGCTCCTACTGTGTCTCCTCCAGGGCGCCCCTTGCTCGGGACCAAGTCCAGCCCCTGCTCAGAAGCCCCCACCTCCTACCTGACCCTGTGCATCATCCAATTTCTCAGAAGGAAGGAGCTGCCCCCACCCCACAGTGATGATGGCCAGGCAGCAGGAGCTGGGTGGCATTTCCCTGTCTTGTTTCCAGTGTACTATGATTGTACTGTCCCCTGCGCTATAAGTGAACTGGCCTTCCACTCACGGATGAAATATTGAAGGTTTTAAATAAGTTGTCATTAAAAATGGGAGTCAGTGTAAAGAGAAAGAAATGAGTAAACAGAAGGACATTTCCGAGCTCACGGCACAAATCTACAAGTCTCAAGTCTGGGGGACAGTGGCAGCTGCACTCCATACACACAGCCTGGCTGCACATAGTTTTGCTTCTCCAGGCTGAATTGGGAGAATGGTGGGGCCTCCATGCATGGAGGCCCCACCATTGGCAAAGGGTCCTGGGGGACCTCAGTGACTCCTTGCTGGCACCAACCCTGTCCATTGGCATTTGTCAGGGGGCGAGAGGCCCTCCAGCCATCCCCAGACAGCTGCGCAGGATCAAGTAGGATTGCGTGTAATCCCCGATTATAGAGACCCAGCCTGTGCCGGTGAGCACTGGCCCCGCTACATGCTGGGGCAGCTGGTGGGTGCACGCTTGTGACAGGAGGGACCCAAGCCCGCCCGGATAATGCCCTAGGCCTGGGCCTCAGTGCTGGACAGGCAGGCCCTGGTCCCCAGGTTGGAGAGGAGCACCCGGCTCAGTCCCACAGAAAGCAGATCTCAGTCCCAGACAGCCTCTTCACCAGGCTGACCTGCCTCTTCTGTCAGCTGGGGACGCCTGCCCTCAGGTTGCTGGGAAGCCAGGGACTCAGGTGGGACATATCCAGGAGCAAAGACCCCACTCCCTGAGGGGGCTGGGCAGACTCACCCTCAGTACCCCAAGGCCCCACCCTCACAGGGCAGGCCACATCAGCTGGCTCCAGACCCGGTCCCTCCATCTAGCCCTGCTCATAGCCCCTTCCATGGCCCTCGCCTCCCTTAGAGCTCAGCGCAGACCCCTAAACAGAGCTGTGCTGAGCCCCCCCCAATCCAAACTGCCACACAGACCCAAGGGAGATGTTGCAGCCCTGGGCCAATTCAAGCAGAGGCCCCCTTGGGGCCCCTTCCAGTCTCCACAGCCCAGGTGAGGGTCTGAGGGTCTGGGGGTTGGGACCTGGAGCCTCTGAGCTCAGATGAGATGCTGCACAGACAGGGTTCTGACCACCCCACAGAGTTCCCTGTGTGTCCGCCACAGCATCACCCCACTTCCGTGAACCAGCCAGGCTCCAGTGCCATCCCCATAGCCCACATCCAGTTCCCTCAGCCAGGCTGGGGGTCCAGCGTCCCCGCATTGCGCCTGGCCCCTCAGGATGAGCACAGAATGCTCGTGGCAGGTCCTCAGCCCCCCAAGGCCGCTCCTGGTGAACCCCTGGCCTTAAGCCTGCAGGCCACAGACCCCCAGCCCTCCTCTGCAGCTCTGACAGCTTTGCTCTGCTCCCCTCTGCCCTGCTGCCACCCCCAGGCCTGCAGGGGGTGGGCAGGGGTCAGCACTCACCCAGCCACTCCCCCGCCATGCCCAGCCCTGGGCCCAGCAGCCTCTCCTCTGAGAGCCGGGAGTCTCCCCGGAGGTGGGGGTGGCTGTGGCCCTGGGGTGTCATCCATCCCTGTAAGCGATACTGGCAGGCGCTCCAGTAGGCAGACAGGCTGGAGCAGCCTGGCTCCTCCCTGCCTGGGGTGGGGGCAGCGCCAGCCCCGAGGGGCCTCCCCTTCCGGCCCTCTCAGCCTAGGCCGTGGAGTAGCCTCGCCCTTCGAGGCCCTTCTACCCTGGACCCTAGCCAGCCAGACCCCAGATGCCACTGCAGCGGCACCCAGGCCGGGTCCTCTGAGCCCCGCACTTTGCTGTCCTGTGGAGAACCCACGGACGTCAAGGGTCCAGCCTATTCATCCTGAGCCCATGTCCAGGTTCTCGTCTGACACACAGGTGCTCACACCCATGTCTTCAGCCATGGGCTCTGTTTTCCGAGGCCACAAGAACCTGGCGGAATCCCTGGGCCTGTTTCCATGTCCTCCGCTGTCCCTTCCAGAGCGGAGCAGAGCACTGCAGCCGGGTCCGATGCCCTGAGCGCCACTCACAGTGTTACTTACACGGGGCAGGTGGGGGGCCTAGAAGAGCTGGAGATGGGCAGGGTAGGGGGCCCTGGGCCTCTGGGGTCCCCGAGCCCCTCCTCACCGTGTTCAGGATGTTAGAGATCCTGGGGGCTGGGGTAGAACAGAACACATGTGAACACAAGGCGGGTAGGGGGTGGAAGCAGGAGAGAAAGCCTATGGGCTAAAAGCCAAGCAAGGGGGGCTGTGCAGAGGGGATCACAAGGGGACTTGGGGAGACAAAGAGGGTCATGGGGGGATGGAGGAGAAACAGGGGTCCCAGGGATGTGGGGGGATAGAGGGGTCGGGGGGATGGAAGGGACCGTGGAGGAAACAGGGGACACTGGGAGTCACAGGTGGACGGAAATGGTCACGGGGGGCGGGGGTGGGGGCAGAGGGGCACGTGGGGGAGGAAAGATGCTTTTAGCAGAGGCTGCCAGGCAAGGAGGGGCACCCGGCCCAGGAGGACAGAGCATGTGGCTGAGGTCCTGTCAGCCCTGTGGGGACAGCCCACTGGGTGGGCAGGCCAGGCTTTCCTGCCCCTTTAAGCCACAGGCCTGTGGTAGAACAGGGTCTGGGACCCATGTGAAGTCTGTGATTGCAGAGGCCATAGCAGGCGGCCTGAAGGAGGCAAGGAGGACAGCCCGAGGGCCTCGGGGGCCGCCTGGGGTCTGGGCAGCATGCATGTGGGGGTACTGACAGGGAGCCGGGCTGGGTTGTTAGCAAGGGTGCCCCTGCCCAGGCACATGGCAGCGCCAGCAGGCACAAGGAGCCACACTACTTACATGGGGTGGGCAGGGGACCCTCAGCTTCCGGGATCCCCGAGCCCCTCCTGGGAGAGCTCAGGATGTCAGAGACCCTGGGGGCTGGGCAGATGGGGCAAACACAAGAGGAGGGGAGAGGGAGGTTGCTGTCTCCCCCACCCTGGGCCTGTCTGGGGAGCAAGGAGCCCCATCCCCCCGGGAGTGCGAGCTGGGCCCCTGAGAGGACCCACACAGGGTATGGGGGCTCAGTCCACCCTTGGCTCTTGAGTGTCCCCTCAGAGAGGAGCTACAGGCCCTTCAAGGAGAAGTTACAGGCCCTGCAACAAAGGGGGCCCAGCCACTTACACGAAGGAGGCGCAGGGCTAATGGGAACCAGAGAGGAGCAGGGTGGGGGGCCCTCGGCTTCCTGGGTCCCCAAGCCCCTCCTCACTGAGCTCGGGATGTTGGGGGCCATGGGGGTGGCAGCACAGACAAGGAATGAACAGGAGGCAGGCAGTGAGAGCGCAGAAGGGAAGGGGGCAGGAGAGAGACGAGGCGGTGGTTAAGCTGGAGAACCCCCGGGCCTGTGACACAGCTCGCGGCCGTCCTGAGACCACAAGGTGGGGTCCAGGGGTTCTGGGGTCATCTCCCCACGAGTGCCCATGGCTGTCCACTCACAGCAGATGTGGGAAGCCAGCCAAGGTGGGGGCTGTGTGTGCCCACAGGCCTTCTCTGTGCACGAGCCCCACCTCCCCCCACCACGCGTAGGGGCTGATCCCCTCCCCCACCCGCCTGAAGCCCAGGCCTGGTCCTCTAGAGGCCAGGGTGGGTTGGAGGGCAGCCCCCAAGCTGGCAGCTCTGGCCCATCTCAGTCTGGGTGACCACACAAACGCCCCATTTCCCCGGTCGAAGTCCTGTGTTCACCTTGCTCTGGGGTATGGGGTGCTCAGGACAGCTGCCGTGTGGCAGCCTGGCCTTTGTCCCCAAACTGCAAAGCGTCCGGCCACAGCTCCCCAGGCAGACCTGAGGGTGCTGGTGTGTGGTCAGATTGGAGGGTCGGGCACAGCAGCCTGAGCTGGGGATGTGGCACCAGACCCCCGCACACCCACATCGAGGCCACAGAAACACCCAGAAGCCAGGAAGGGCCCCCAGGCTGTTGTCCACTCAGCTGCCAGCCAGCCAGTCACTACTTGAAAGAACTTTAAGAGAAGAAATTGAGCAAATTCAACCATGAACTCCTTCCTCTTGTGGGAATGGAGTGCCTGGACCCTGGGGTGAGTGGGGGCACCGGGGCAGAGGGCAAAGGGCAGCAGTCTCCTGGCTGGTCAGGGTGCCCAGCCTGCCATGCTCTGCTGGACCCTGAGCATGCCGGGAGGACCCCAGCACCCAAGCTGCTGAGCATGGCTGGCCCCAGAGACACGTCCGACTCGAGGGCCCTGATGTGGGGTCCCACCTGCCTGCACCCCTGCCGGCAGGGAGCCTGCATGGTACCTTTGGTGTCCTCATCCTCTATGGTGGTGTGGGTGCTGTCCGATGACTCCTGGGGAGACACAGGGAGGTGGCAGGTCAGAACGTGGCTGCCCCGCCCGGCCCACAGAGCCTGGTAAGCAGGGGACTTGGGAGGTGCCCTCGCAGGACCCCAGGATCCACAGGGAGCTGGAGCTTTGCATGACCCCAGGGGGCAGCTTCCCACGTCCCCACGGCCAACAGATGTGTTGGGGGAAGGCCCTGTGTGCCGAGATGACCCTCTTCAATGACAGAGGAAATGAGGCTTCCCAAAGCCCAAGGCTCCTGGGGAGAGGAGAAGCCCCCCTCAGAACCTCGGGGGCCCAGGGAGAGTGCGTCTGCACCCACACCTCCTCCCTGAGGATGGCGCCCACCCCTCCTTGGCCTGTGCTGTGCAGCCAGGCCTGGCCCCACCTCTCCAGTGGCCTCAGAGCACCTGGACGCCGCAGCCCAGCGCCTCCTACCCCACTCATGGCTTTCTGCCCTTCACATAAAAAACCAGGTGCCATCCACCGGTCACCAAGCTTCCAGTGAGGAGTGGCTCACCAGGGCCCCTGAGGGACACTCTCTGACCCCGACAGCACACACTAGTAGGGGCCTGGAGCCAGCCCAGTGGTCTGTCAGCTGTAGGGTCAGAGCTTACAGCACAACCCCATAGGATGCTCGCCAGGGAGATGGCAGCCTCACCCCAGACATAGAGTCAGGTGGGGAAAACAGTTGGCCCTTGGTAGCACCTTGGGTCTGGGACAGCCAAGAAGCCGTGGGCTATGGTCCCCTGGTCTCAGCCCACTGATGGGGGGGTGTCCAACTGCAGGCCTGGGTTGGGGTGGGGGTGGCTGGTCGTAGAAGCAGTGGGGCCACCCGCCCATCCCTCCCACTGCCCCAGAGACATGCCGGGGGAGTGGAAGCAGAGAGGGGCAGAGGAGGGGCTAGCTCAGCAGGAAGCTCCAGGCAGCAGGGGGAGGAGAGTGAGGTCACAGGTCTGTGCTGCCCCCACCCCAGGCCCTCCTCCACCAGGACCCTGGGAGCAGGGCTCTGCACTCAGCTGCACCTGGCAGAGCTGGGCCTGCTCTCTGCTGGGTAGAACAGACGGCCAGCGGCCAGCGGCAGCCAGGAGGGTCCTGAGATGTGGCCCCTCTCTCAGCATCAGGGCTGCTCATCCCTGTGTCCCCAAGGGGTTGGGTGCAGAGACGCCACCGAGGGCAGTGCCTGGGGCTTTCCCAGGGGGCATGGTCATGGCATCCGGGGCCCTGTCTGTCCTGAAAGGGGTTGCGGGACCCCCACCCTCACAAGGCCAATGCCCAGAACACCCTGGGGCTGGGGGTCTGCCTCCTGCCCCCGCAGAAGCTCGGCGGAGGGTGCGGGAGGTGCAGTACCTTGATCCCATCCACAGGGTTATGAATGACGGTGGTTTGAGGCTCCTACAGAAGGAAGCACAGAGGAAGGAAGGAGGGAGGTGAAAAGAGGGACAGTGGGTGTCCAGTGAAGCTGGGGAGAGGAGAGACAAGCAGCAGGATGGAGGGGGTGCCTGGAGGGGCAGCAGCTGTGAGAGGGCCCAGGGCCAGGCCAGCAGGATGAAACAGGTGAGGCACCCAGGCCATGAGGCGATGCTGAGCTCAAGCCCAGGGCACAGGTGAGAAACTGCGGAGGACCCAGGCTGGAAGATGGCATGGGATGCAGTGGCGCGTGGGATGCGGGGGTCCAGGATGGGGCTGGCTGCAAGCCCGCCTGTGGGAATCTTCGGCCCTGTGCCTGGCCTGACCTCGGTTTGGCTCCCACAAGTGGGGGCGGGGCCAGGGACTCACTGGGAACCTGTGGACCAGCAGACCCAACCTCCACTCGGGCCACAGTCCTGACCACCAGCTGTGGGGCTGCCCTGGACAGGAGCCCTCAGGCAAGGCCTAGAGCCAGGGCCCTTCAGCCTTTGTACGCCTGCCCCTCTGCTGCAGGGTCCCCTGCTCTGGGCAGCCACAGGCCAGCACAGCCACACCAGCCTGTGTCCCACGCCAACCTCCAGCCTGAGGGACACAACTGTGATGACTTCGATGGGAAACTACCACGGGGTCTCTGCCTCCCTCCAGGTCAGTGGGTGGGCTCAGAACAGCCCTCCCATCTCCCTGCAGAGACAGTGAAGTCCAGGCTTTCTGACAGTGCGTCTGTGCGGCTCTTGGGGCTGGGGCAGGCCCCCGTCAGCACGGCTCCCTGCAGGCCCTGGGCCTGCTGAAGGCAGAGCAGCCTGGGGCAGCACCCTGCGTCCTGTGTCTTACCCTCAGAGGCCCCCTGAAAGCCTCTCACCTCTGACCCACCAGTCAGCAAGGCTGAGGGTCCGCCTTCACCCCACACCCAAGGGCAGCAGGGGCTGGAGGGGCCAACTGTCATTCGTCAGAGGCAGGCTGGGAGCTGAACCTCACCACCGCCCAGGCCACCACAGAGCCGGGGTGCAGGAAGGCTAGGAAGTGGGGGGCTGAGGGGTGCAGTACCAGGGCAGCTGGAGGAAGTGTCCCCTTGGGGCTGGTGGCAGCTGCGCTATTCTTGGTGCTATTCGTCTGGGGCTGCGGTGGGGGAGACAAAAAGAGCGTTAGGGGAGAACGAGGCCCCCCTTCCTGGGGTCACCCCAGCAGGAGCCTGGGGGCAGGCCTCACCTTGACTCCATCTGCTTTCTTGTTGAGCAGACTCTTGGCTGCTGTGTGGGGAGGAAATAGGCATCATGAGGGAGGGCTGCCCGCTGCACCCTCCCCAGGCGTGGCAGCCCTGGGGGCCCACAGGGCTCCCAAGAGTGAGAGGGCAGCTAGGTCCTGGAGGGCTCTGGGGGGACCCTTGTCTCCTAAGAATGCCGAGATTTCTCCTCCCACTTGGGACCCTTGTCTTGCAGGTGGCAGGCAGGCTCGGTAAGGAGGAAGGCGGTGCCCCCCAGATGGGACCCTGGCTGGGTGCTGGGCATCCCTCTTAAGTCCCCATGTTCTGGGCAGGTTGGGGGGCAGGGGGCTGCTGCTGGCTGCTCACAGGGTGGTGCTTGTCCCAACCCCATGAGCCTGCCTACCCTTCGACTCCTGGCCCCTTCCTTGGAGGACAGGACTCTGAGCTCTGCCCCACGGCCAGAGCCCCGAGGGGCAGCTTCTCCCTTTGGAGCCACTTTTTGGCCTGGCTCTGCAGCTGGCTGGGGTCATGCCAGCCACCATGCCCACCCACCCAGGACCTTGGGCTCTGAGGGGGCCCAGCACATGCATGGGGCCACCCGCAGCCCGGGCAGCCCCCGCCCCTCTGATGTCCAGAACAGGCAGAAGGCCGCTTGCCCCAACACCCTATACGGAGGTCGGGGCAGCCTGGCCCGCCTCCCCTTTCTGTGCCTGTCTGCCTGCCAACCCCGTGTGCCTTGACCCCCAGCACCTGTGCCCTCCACAGACATTTATTTTAATTACAAAACTGCAAGAAGAAGTCAGCTTACCTTACGACAAGGAAAGGTGAGGAAGGGAGGGGAGGGTGTGAGGAGGGGAGAGAGAAAACAAGGCTTGTGTCAGTTCAGGCTTAGCTCCAGCCTGCAGCCAGGACCCCTACCGTGTCCTGCCCACCCGGCCATCCACCAGGCAAGCAGCGCCCACACGGCCGGCAGGTGCAGGTGAGGGAAGCAGCACAGGGCCCCTCACCCTGGGCCCTGGGTTGCTCCAAAGGCCCCGGCTGGCCAGCCCTGAATTGGAGTCTGCTGGCTCACAGGGTTAGGGTGGCCAGAGGGCCCAGCCCAACCTTTTCTGCTGAAAGCAGCCCTGGAGGCTGCTGCCCTGGCCAGTGGGGCAGACAGATGGGCACTCAGACCCAGAGAGGCCTAGGGCCCCTCTGCTAGCAGCCTTGGCATCGCCCGCCACTCCCCTGCTCTGGGAATGCACTCAGGCAGAGAGGTGGGTGGGCTGGGCATCTATCTGCACAGCAAGCCCCTCTGAGGGGGCTCCTTATGCTGCTCAGCTTGGGAAGCATGGTCAGTACCCTCGGGGCAGTGACCAGGCCAGGGCCAGGGCTGCTGGACTGCCTGCTGACCACTGTCCTCAAGGTCCAGGCCTCGTCGCTGCCTTCTGGGCAACCTGTGGGGACACAGGTGGCTGCTAGGTCAGAGGCCCTGCGGGGCAGTCCGAGTGGCCACATCGAACACAGTTCCCTGGCCCCTGGGGACCTGTTGCTTCTCTCAAAGCTTCCCTTCCAGGGTCCACAGAGCAGCTTCACCAGCACCCCCTGCCCCCAGCCACCCCCTGCAAAAGAAGGACCACAGACTCCCCTTTCCTTGTCCCCCAGCCCCCCAAGGATGAGGCCTGGGCAGCTGGACTCAAGACCTGCCCTCTGTCTGACCAGGACCAGAGATTCCTGGGGCCATGTGAAAACCTGCCCTGGGGACAGCTGAAACCTGCGTTCCCACCACCCACAGCGTAGGAACAGCACAGCCCCCAAACCAACCAGTCTCCCCACCACAGTCTCCTCATCCTGGCGAGCACAGTCTCTCATCTCCCTGCTCACCTCACCTCTGGGCCCCACCGCCCCTCCAGTGGCAGTCATCTGAGGTCACGGAGCCCAGGGACCCTGTCTGTGCTGGCCAACCAGCTGGCTGTACATGGTCAGCTGGGCCTGGCGAGGAGGCATCCAGCCCGTCTCGAAGGTACTTGGCCTGTGAGCCAAGCAAGGTGACCCCCATTCTCCAGTTTAGGATGGTTTGGGTTGAGTTGCCCCCCATGCCACATGGCCTTGGCCAGTGGTATTCCCAACGGCTTTGAGGTAGAAGCGGCGCAAGAGATAGTTCTGCCCAGTCTGCCCCTTGGGTAAGGAGGGGGCTCCAGGGTCAGGCCTCAGGCAGAGGCAGTAGGAGGCCCTACAACAGTCCTGGGTCTTTAGATGGTCCCTTCGGTCCTCAATTTTGTCAAGCCTGAGATCCGGACCATGCTGCTTGTGGCCTGTGGACCCCTAGCCTGGGCTCCAAGCAACAGCTTAAGCCCAGCCCCCTTCTCCAGCCCCGGGAACCTCTGAGTGCAGCTGCGGCCCCTCATCTCCTGGAGAAAGGGCCTCCACACCCTGCTGGGCCCGTCTGCGCCAGCAGTCACAGGCTCCAGAGGTGCTGCTGTGCTTTCCTGAGTCACACATGTCATGGCACATGTCATGGCCCAGTGGGGCCATGCAGACCGAGCACCGACCCTCTGCCCCACCCCTTCCTCAGGGGGCCTCAGGCCAGGCCATGGCTGCCACCACAGCTCCCCGAGACCCTCGGGGTAAAGGCAGAGGAGGGCCTGCCCAGGGCTTCTATCGATGGCCACATCTCTACAGAGACATGGCTCCCGATGCCCAAGGGTTGCTCCATCCCCTGAAGAGAAGCCAGGCCTTGTACCTGAGACGCTCACGCCATGCCCCCTGCCTGCCCCTATCTGCTGGGCTCAGGGCAGCCACTGGGGTGTGCTGACCCAGCAGGGAGGCCCCTCAGCCCACAGGGCCAGTCTTTGCCTTGTCCTGTTGCTGGTCACCAAGGACAGCCATGCTGGGCCCCGTCCACATGCACTGACCACCCCCAGGGCAGGCGGCCCTCAGCGCCCGGGGAGCCCCCATGCACGCAGCCTCATGCAGGCAGGTGGCACTGCAGGCGGGAGCCGGGCAGGGAGCAGCTCAGGCGCCCGCCCCTCTCCCTGTGCCTGTCATCAGGGCTTCACCGGGAGCCTCTGGCCTCACCTTCCCAGACCCCTGCCCATCCATCCCCTTAGGTACTTTAGAAAGAGCTGGAAAAGAAGTGACTCAGGACAGCCCTCTGGGCCAGCCTGCTGGGCCTGCCCACCAGACAGAGCACAGGCCCTGCTCTCTGAGGAGGTCCTGCCCTAGTGGCCCCCAGAGGAGGCGACTGGGAAGGCTGGGTCCTTGGTCAGGCAGGCAGGGCTGCCCAGCCTGTGGGGTTGGGGGCAGGAGCGGGGTGGGCACGAGGGAAAGAGAGGGCCTGGGCTCCTACAGCCCAGGGAACTCCAGGGTTGGCCCTCAGCAGCACTGCCCGCCCTGCCCTGCACCCCCTCGGCTAGGGCTGGGCCTACAGGCCCCAGAGGAATGCCTGAGATCGGCAGCCCTCACGGGGTCTGGGCTAGGTCACAGGCAGGTGGGAGCTGACCTGGGCCTCCTGGAAGCAGGCTTGTAGAATCAGGGTCTCCCCTGTGGGTTTGGGACAGGGGGAGGGGATCCTTGTGGGGAAGAACCAAGAAGAGGCCTTCAAATCATTCTCAGGGCAGCGGAAGACCCCCACCTGGGGCTCACAGGGCAGCTGTGTATGTATGAGACCCCTGTGGGGGGGGCCAGGCAAGGGTGACAGGGAGCCAGCAGGCTCTCAGGAGCAGGGTCTCTGCCTCTGTGGCCTTCTCCTGGGAACCCAGTCAGGACTGGGATCCCCAGTAGCAGCCCTGAGGCTTGCTGTGGATGGTCAAGGTCATTCTGAATGGGGACTGGTTGGACAAGTGGAAACAGAGTTTCTGAAGCAAAGGGCTCGGAATGGACAGGTCTTCCGACCTCCAGACTCAGGGTCCAGGACTGGGGGATCCGTTAAATAGACATACGTGGGGCCCGGGTCAGGGGTCCCCTAGCCTGTCCCTCCTTGGCTAAGCAGGGCCTGAGGCCCAGGGCTCTGTGGGACACGTCCAGCTCGGGAGCAGGGCTCCCGGGTCCCTGGGCGCTGCTGCAGCCAGGGGAGCTGCATGCCGGCTGCAGACACGGGTCCAAAGCGTCTACCTTGTTCCACCAGCCCCATGGTGGTACCGGAGGCCGCGGTGGACATTGTGGCCGGAGCGGTGGTCTGTCTGCCCACTGTTAGCACCGGTTAGAGACGAGGGGAGGGGCGGACACAGACGGGGGGCGAGGTGGGGGAAGAGAAGAGACAAAGGAAGCAGAAGAAGATTAGAGTCTAGGCTGAGGGGGCGGCAGTTCCACAGCCCCTGTCTCAGCAGAACCAGAGCCAGGCAGGGCCAGCGGCACTCAAGAGCATTTGCCTCCTTCCTCCTCAGAGAGCCCGAGGCCCCGCGTGGGCAGGATGTGCCCCATCAATGATGGCCCCGCCCAGGGCCCCGCTCCACAGCGAAGGGACAGAAGGGCACTTAGATGCACACACACAGCGAGGACGGACCACGGACTCCGCACACGCAAGCCACACAACAGGGAGTGGGCGGCCGGCCCCACTCGGGTGATGCTGTCCCTGGTGGGCCTGTCGGGGCCTTTGGCCTCAGGGCCCCAGACCCCCCACCCCAGCGGCCGCACGCCCCCAGCCCCGCCCGCCGTCTGTGACCCAGGCAGGGGGCCACCAGCGTGTCCAGAGCTCAGCAGAGAGGCTCCAGACCCCCCTCTCACCTCCCACACACAAGACGGTGCTCAGAAGTTTCAGGACAACGACAGGCCACAGAGGAGCCGACCTACACCTGGACAGACACACGGAGCTGGGGCGTCAGGCGGGGACACAGAGACCCAACACGCAGGGGCAGGCCGGGCGGCCTCCTGGCCCAGGAGCAGGTGGGGCAGACCTGCCCTCAGAGGACAGGGCCCAGGCCAGCAGCAGCGGGGTCGGGGCTGAGGTGGGAGAAGGGCCGGTGGTGGGTAGCAGGCCACTGAGTCTTCCCAGAGAAGGCTGTTCTCACCTGAGAAATTCCGGGTGGCCAGCATGGTGGTGAGGATGGCGCCCTGGGGAGAGACCCACGGCTGAGGCCAGGGCTGTCTGCCAGCCAGGACTCCATCCCCACCCCTTCCCGGCCTCAGCCTGCAGGTGTCCAGCAGGACTCACCCACCGCACCCAGACAAGCCACTCGCTTCCAGAATTAACAGTGACACACCCTGGGCCCTAAACTGCCCCCTGACCAGGGCCTGAAACGTGCCTCAGGATCCCTGGGGTCCCCTGGGGTCTGCCTGTCCCTGATAGTCACAGCCAAGTGTGCTGGACTGTACTCGGCAACGCCCCTGCATGCGGCATGCAGGGTGGGCCAGAACCACCCCTCTCCGTTCTCTCCCCCACCACCCTGTCTACCCAAGCACTAGGGCTGCCGTCCTCACTACCGTGCCCTGAGTGGGAGAGCCAAGCAGAGGGTCAGGGGTGTAGCCCCGGGCCCTCAGGGAAGGCATGAGTGGCTGAGGAGGGGCCAGCAGCACAACCGGAGGCCGGGCCCACTTATGGGCACCTGGTGTCATGTCGGGGGCACTGGGTCCCCCTGACATGCTGTGGTCTACTGACAAGCAGCCTGACCCCAGCGTGGGGCCCTGGAGGGGACAGGCACCTCCATGGGGCGCCGGTTGGTGCTGGGCCCAAGCCTCACCTTGAGCTTCCTTCGGGCGTTGAACTTCTTCAGACACTCTACTGTCTCCTGCCTGTGCATCATGGAGGCCACCGTGGAGCGTTGCTGTGGAAGAGGGGCCAGGGCGAGGCTCAGGGCAGAGGCCAGCTTGCCTGTGTTGGGACAGGACCCGGGGTCAGCCCACCCAGGGTGGCCCCGTGTGGAGGCGACTTACGCAGACCCACGGGTGCTTCAGCGCCTCGTGTGCGGTGATGCGCTTGGCGGGGTTGATGGTCAGCATCTGGTTGATGAGGTTTTTGGCTTCAGGTGTGACTGTGTCCCACTCGGGGGATGGGAACTGGAGGAGAAAACAGTGCTCGGGGAGTCTGTGCCCCCACACTGCCCTGCAGGAGCTGGCCCCCCCGGGGTCAGGGGTCAGGAGGCGGCACTCACGTCGTAGGCGCCGGCCTTGATCTGCTGGTAGAGCTTGTGCTGGTCCTCGTCCCAGAAGGGCGGGTAGCCCACCAGCAGGATGTACAGGATCACGCCTGGGGAGCCAAGGAGTGGGCTCACGCCGCGGCCCACACCCAGGCCCACGTGCCCCTGCACCCGCGGAGCCCACCTCAAGGCCACCGGCCCATTGTTGGCCACTGCAGGGGGGGGGGCATTGGGCAAGGCCCACAGGAATCAGAAGTCCAGTTCCGCAGTTGTGGGCCCGCAGTCAGTGCCTCAGCTCCAACAAGGACCGGGGGCCTGCCTGAAGCTGGCAAACCCCACGAGGGCACTGGGGTCCTGGAGCTCCCCTCCCCCACAGCCCCTGTCAGCACCTGTCACTAGCTGGCAAACAGTGATGTTACCCACAGCCCCATCCATCACCTCTGCCCCACCCATACCCTCTTCCACAAGGTGGCCTGCACAGCAAGGCCCAGCACCCTGGGTGCTGGGAGTGGGGGCAGGGATCATGAGCACAGCAATAGCCAGGGTCCCAGGTCTAGTCTGGGTGGGAGGGGTTCTGGGCTGGGGCAGTGCCCAGGCCAGCCCCGTTCACCACCCCCACCCGCCACTGCCCCCTCTCCCCTGCTCTCCAGCCTCACCGCACGCCCAGATGTCCACTGGCTTGCCATAGGCCTCCTTGCGCAGCACCTCTGGGGACAGGTAGCCCGGCGTGCCAGCGAACCCTGTGGAGAGGGAAGGCCATGTAAGTGCCTGGGGCAGCAGACCCCTCTCCCTGCCCCTCCAGCCGGGTGCTCACCGAACCACGCCTGCTGGTCCCCCTGTACTTCGATAGCCAGGCCAAAGTCCGCCAGCTTCACCGCGGCCCCCTTGCACTTGCTGGCCAGGAGCAGGTTCTCAGGCTGCAGGGGACCCCCAAAGGGGGACAAAACAGAGGTGACAATGGTTTGCAAGGGACACACAGGTCTGACCCTGCTGTGTGGGTGTCTCCCCAGTACTGCTGGCCCCTGTGGGCCCCACCCCACAGCCTACACCCCATTCTGCCCCCTGGGGGCAGGGACAGAAGCCTCTCAGGGAAAAGCTGGCTCTCAGAGTGTGACTGGGACCCTGCAGACCAGGACAGAGAACTCAGAATGCTGGACCAGAACCGAGTGTACCCTATCAGCCCTGGTGGGCCCCCGTCAGCAGTGGGGTATCCCCCCCTGCCCCATGTCTGGCTGCTTAGAGACATGGTAGGGGGCTGTGTGATGGGGGTGCAGGTACTTCCTGCAAGGTGCTGACCCCTAAGGACCAGGAGGAATGGCAAGGGCCCCTAAGCCAGGGCAGCACAGCACATCTGCCCACCACACCACGGCTCTCAGTTCAGTGGGAGGGGCTCTATCTGGCCCCCATCCAGCCCACAGCACAGGTAGGAAAGGCCTGCCTCTGCACCTCAGGGAGCAGAGCCCTTGCTCAGGGAGGAAGGACATCAGTCCCAGGTCTGACGGGGACACTTGTATGCTGTGCCCCGTATGCTGGGCTCCTACCGTCCCAGCCTATGTCACCAGCCTTACCACCTCCCAGCCGTCAGTGCTCAGAGCCTTGGCTGCTGGACTCCTCATCCCAGACCACCAGGGCTCCCTCCCCACAGGCAAGCCCGCAGAGACCACAGGGCCACTTGGGGACAAGAAGGAAGGGTTCCATGGCAAGTAGTTTCACAGGGCGATCTGACCACAAATCCCCAGCTCTGTGGATCACAGTGGGTCCTCAGGCCCCAGGACTGCAGCTTCTGTAGTGAGAGGCTGACCTTTGCTTTGAGCCAGCCTGGCCCACTGTTTCTGTGTATCCAGGATTACACACCTTTGAAGTGGGGGAACCACCCTCAACAGAGCTCACAACCTAGTTCCCTGTCCTGCAGTTCCTCCCCACTTCGCTCTTTCCCCCCTCCATGTGACCTTCCCTCCTCATGTGCCCCTTAATTCAAAAGAACCTACAAAACACTGTTATCAGGAGGGTCTTTGACCTTGATCCCCAGCAGTGTCCTCCATGTGGCTCAGAAAACCCTCATAAATTCCTTACAGGCTTGGACGTTTTTATGTCAACACACTTGAACACCACCAAGACCAACCCCGCAGCCCAGCTTTGTGGACACTGCTTACAACCGGAAGTTCTAGGGCTCCTGAGAGTCAGAGTGTGTCAGCGCCAAGCTTGGCCAGCATGAGGTGGCCGGGGACCCGACCTCTGACATCGGGCAGGAATGCAGCTGGGGCTGGACCTGAATCTACAGATCCCTGCCCTGGGAAAGAGCAGCAGCTGCTGCCCTGCTGGGCCCCTCCCTCTGCCTGATGGAGACGGCCTCTCTGCTGTCCCCACTCTCCCTCCTTGGCCAGAGCTCTGAGAGACTCAGACAGGACAGGGTCCTCTCCAGAGCAGGGACAGGCTGTTCCCCAGACCTGGCTGAAAGACCTGCCCCCACATCCTTTTTCCCAGCAGGGCTCCCGTGTGTCTGCTCCATGCCTCTGCCTTGGCCTCAAAGTTGGCTGTGGGTCTTGGGGTCTGGGAATGAGGTGGGGACTTCTGCCTGCTCCCATGGCCCCTCCTCTCAGGGGTCCCGAGTGAGGCCCATTCAGACAAGACACAGTGACCGGCAGTGGCACAAGCACAGAAGGCAGACACGTGAAAAGACGGTGATCACTGGAACATGCACAAAGGGAGCCGGGACACGGAAGGGCACAGGAGAGGGTGCTGGGCCTGCTCCTGGCATGATGTAGTCCTCAGAGCACCGCACGGAGCTCAGCTCTCACACACATGCCCTCAATGGCCCATGGAAGGTGCGACCCCATTCATTCAGTGCCAGCGCCAGCGGAAGGTTGTCTCAACCGCCACTAGAGGGTCCCCCACCGCAGACAGGAAACCGACGGAACCAGCCTGGAGAGAGCTGGAGTCCAAGAAAGTGAGCGGGAGAAGGAGGGGGAAGGGTGGCCCGGGTTCCCCCTAAAGGCCCTCCCCTTCCCCTCCCCCCACAACGGGCCCTATGTCCCAGGGTGACCAGCCTTTTGGAAGGTCTGCAGCCACTTCACCCAGGGCCAAGCTGAGCCGAGGGCCACAGGGACTTGGGGAAGGGGCCGGGAGTTTGCAGACTCTAGAGGCCGGACCCCGACCCCCCCCCCGCCCTTGAGCACACTACGCATGGGTCTCACTTGCCAGGTCCACATCTCAACCCAGAGAGCAGAGAGTGAGACCCGGAAGGTACACGTGCTCACAGACTGATTTTTGACAGCTGCCCCCTCTTGGCCCTGGAGCCTAGGGGTGCGAAGGCTGTGCGCAGTCCCGAGCACGCGCACGCATGCACGCGCACGCGCACTCATCACTCGCACAGTCTCACACGTGCACGCACCTCATGCGCGCATGTGTGAGAACAGCCCCCACATACATGGTGCCCCAAGCCTCCTCTCCTGGGACATGCAGGCACAGACTGCGGACCCCGGCACAGCGCGGGGCGGGGACTCACCTTGAGGTCCCTGTGGACGACCCCCATTTGGTGGCAATGGAGAACCGCCTCCAGGATCTGCTGGATGCAGTGACTGCGGCAGACAGCACGTGCATTAGTGCGGGGCCCGGGGGTGCAGGAGCCAGGGTGGGGGCTGTGTGTCACTAGGGGGATTCCAGCCTGGCAGGGCCGGAGGAGGCAGGGAGTCAAGGCGCTGTCCGCCACGTGGGAACAGAGACGCTGGCCGGGGAGGCCTTTGGGGTCCCTTCCTCACCTTCAGGTCAGCTCAGGCAGGCCAGGCCCCTGGGCCACCCCCGCCCCCCACCAGGCCCACCTGGCGACACTCAGAGGAAACTGCCAGGCTCCACAGAGCGCCTCCCCAGGCTCATACTGGCCAAGCCTGACCTTGAGCTGGCCATCTGAGAGGGAGGCCAGGGCAGAGCCCACACCCTACAAGGCAGGCTGGGGACCCCAGGCAGGGAAAGGGCAGAGGTGAAAGAACAGAGGACAGAGGGCAGGTGGGCACCCAGGTGTGGGCAGTGCCGATGCTGCATCCCCCATCACTCGTGGGCCAGAGCAGGTACCTCTAATAAACTGGAACACCCACACCAGCGGCCAGCCCCCCGCCACTCCAGACTGGACAGCTCAGCTCTGCAGCAGCCCAGAGGCCCCAGGGAAAAGTCCGGGTTGCCCTAGGCACCTCCAACACCCAAGCTCTACAACGTCACCTGCACATCAGGTCAGACGTCCCCAGCCCCATACACACAAGACCCTTCGGCCTGAGCCTGCCCCACCAAATGTCCAAAAGGTTTCCAGAAGCCCCCAAAGCCAGGCACAGGCCCCACGGGGTCCCCCACCACCCCTGTGGCATTGGCAGCTACGTGAGGCTGGCAGGTTGCAGGTTGTCTGGAGCCCATCACCTGGGCTCTCCCTCACAGTCCCTCTGGCTGAGCCGAGGGGGAGACAGGCAGATTCCCCCAGGACACTTCCTGCCACTGCCGGACCCTGTGGAATGACAGGATCAACTGGAGGCTCTGTTCTCCTGATGTTCCTGATGACAGATGGGGCAAATGGGTGGGGACCAGCCCACTCCCCAAAAGATAATGGACATATCTAGAGACCACCAGCCACTGCAAGGAAGAGCAGACCAGAGTTCCTCCCCCACCGCGGTAGAACCCAGAGCCGAGAACCAACAATGATGGATTCCTGGCAGCCATGCCCTTTGATGGCCACCAAGGGCTGGAACCACAGTCCCGTTCTGTCCGCCCCCACCCCTGGTCACCACCCCCCAGCTCCTGCCACATCCAGCGCCACCCCACCCCTCTGCTCTGTCACTTCAGACACCCCTCGGGCTGGCCTGGCCTGCAGGCTGGTCCAGAGGCCTGTCCTGTTCACATGGAGGCGCCCTCCCCCAAATTCTGGAAGGCTCCGCCAGGACAGGCCACTGCACAGCTGCTGGGACTCTGCACGGGGCTGCCAGCTGATCAGCCTCGCCCTGCACCACTGAGGCCAGACCCTGGCTCTGCTCCCTGGTGGGGAGTGGTCCGTGCACCTAGCTGTGAGCCCTGTGTGCCTGTGGAGACCCTAACCTTCCTTCTGTGACCAGCCCGCCACACCCTGGGGAGGCCTCTCAGCCCTGACCATCCGACACCGCACATACTGGTTCCAGCTTTGGGTTTTGTATCTTCAGCTCAGAGGCCTCACCCTCCAGAATGCCCTCCCAAGTTTCCGTGTGTGGTGTCCTCAAAGCACCCACATGGTCCCCCCTGCAGTCGCAGGCAGCCTGTCCTCTATGTGGGTATGTGGGCAGCATCTGTCTCCACTGACTGTGGCTGCAGTGACCACGGGAACGTGCTATTCTCTCCTCTCAGGTGTGTCCTTGACCCTTGCCTTACAGCACGTGTTCCCCAAATGTCTGTCTGCCACAGCTCCACTCATAAGGTGGACTGGGACAGGTGGGCTTTGGTCCTGCCCTCCTCCAATTCCCCTCCCGGGGGTGCAGGACTCCTGCTGAGTGGCACTCGGCCTGCACCTCTCCTGAGCATCGTGGGCTGGGCCAGCAGCGCTGACATCCAGCCCTGCGTTTCTGCCCTGTCCACTGTCCTTCAGGCCCTGCCTGATGTGTCAGGGACACCCTGAGGGACACCCGTGCAGGTAGGACACAGACTTTCCCTGGCCTTGCTCCCCATGCTCACGAAGAGCCAGATGAGCAAACCAGGCTCCGCAAGAGAAAACGGGAGACCACCTGCCGACAAGGCAGTGTTGGCCCATCTCCAGCTGGTTCTTCACAGTGTCCCCAGCATGGGGGTCACCTCTTTAGCCTACAAGCGGGCAGGACACCCAGCTGCCTGGAGAGCAGCCCATTCCAGCAGCCCTGCCTGTGGGAACTTCTGGGGACAGCCCCTGGGAACCCCTTTACTTTGCTCCTGCCCTGCCTCCAAGCTGACTGAAACCATGGCCTGAGGACATGAGGTCGCCTGACCATGGTCGGTCCAGAGGTCTCCTCCCTTCCTCATGGGACCGTTTGTCATGTTCTGACAATTCAGAAAGTCACTTTCGTGTTCCGAGTGGTCCTGAGGGGCATCCCAGAGGCTGGCCAGTCCTGGACATGTGCTCTGGGTTCTGGTCCCTCTCCTTCTCCGGGACAGCCAGTGCTCCCACAGCCCTTTCACTATCTTGCACGAGCCACATTGGTTTTTAGGGTTTTTAGGGTGGGTTGTAAAGATTTTGAACTTTGCTTTCCCACGTGTGAAAAGAGATGCCTTGCTTTCCTCACCTGCTTCCCACCTCCTGGGCTGCAGGAGAGTTCAGAGAGGCAGCCCCATCTGCCTGGCCTCCCCCTCCAGGGACTCGAGCTTGGGACCCACTCATTGTGCTGAGCTCTGAGCAGCAAGCCCTGCGCACGCCCTGGAAGGTCGCTGGCCAGGGCAGGGCCCTGCTCTGGGTGTCTGGGGGCTCCTGCCTCCCACAACCCTGAGTCCTTCCTCTGGGGGTTCCCAGGGGAAATGTAGTCCCCTTGGGGTGCCCGTGGTGATGGCCAAACTCCCTCCCGTCCCAGGCAGAGCACCCACTCCATGGTCAAACGCAGGTCTCCAACTCAGAGGAGGGTCCAGGACCCCCGGGGGAATTTTCCCAGCAGGGATAGCTGGAGGACTGTCCCTCTGCCCTGCCACGCCTCCTCCTGGCCTGGCTGTAAGAAGGAACTAGGCATCCTGGGAGGAGCCCCAGAGCGGGGGCCCTGTTTTTTCTGGGGCCAATGCCAAGGGGCCCCAAAGGCCACTGAAGCCCAACCACAAAAGAGGGCAGGATGCCAGTGGAAGGGATCCCCCGGAGTGAAGGGGTGAGGCCTGAGAGGGAGGGGCAGGTGGCGAGGGAGGGGCTCGTGGTTGCAGGTGTTTGGGGGCCTGTGTGCAGTATGGCTGGATTGTGGGGCACAGTTGCAATGTGGGCAGGGGCATGGGGGCATGGTCAGAGTGTGGGTGCAGTTGGGCATGGTGGGAGATGTGGGCCTCATGGGGCCTGGATGGGGGTGTGGGTGTGGTCGGGGAATGTGGTGAGGTCAGGGGTATGGTCAGCCTGTGGGCGTACACAGGGCTCCACAGCAAGGCCCTGTGAGATGATGGCCAATGGTCCAGGGACCCTAGGCCTGAGTGGGGCCGGGGCTGTGGGCCATGCCTCCTCCTCAGGGCTCGTGCTGCAGTGCAGGGCCTGCATCACGCCCTGGGGCCAGGCCCAGTGGCCGGCGCTGAGGATTCAGGAGCCAGGCTGCATGGTCCGGACAGGGAAATGAGAGTGAAGGCAAACAACCTTCCCAAGCATCCAAGTGCTATCCCTTCACTGAGTGCAAGTTCAGCCTGGGGCTGGACTCGTAGACCATGTCATGTGGGCCATGACAGCCCTTCTGGGGGTGGCCAGTGGGACCCTCTTCTCAAGGCCTGGCCTGCCTCTGCTGCCCAGGAGCCCTTGGCCCTGGCAGATGTGAGGGTGGCCTGGGCCCTGGATCCCCACCTCCCACAGGCAAGCAGGCAGGCACCCACACCAGGACAGACCCACAGAGCATGGCGGAGTGGGCAGAGGTGGCTGTGCCCCACCTTCTACTTTTTCAGTAAGTGGAAAATAAAAAGTGTTTTCTCCTCTCGAAACAGACAGGCCTCTCCCAGGGTGTTTTCGAAATGAAAGTCCTTCATCCAGGAGCCTCAGAAGATCAGCCAGTGCCCCTGCACCCTCGGGTCTGGCCTCGCCTCCCCATCCCTGACCGCCCCTGTCCCCAGCCCCAGCTGTCCAGCGCAGGCTCACCAGGACCCATGCACACCTTTTCCCAGGGCCTCAGGCTGTCACCTACAGGCAAGGTGGCCTGTGGGTGCAGAAGCAAGTCACAAAAAGCTACTTCAAAAATATTCATTTTTCAAAGTAATACATATTCATTGAAGAAATTTTTAAAAATAGACAAAGAAGATTAAAAAGCTGAAATGCATCCATAATTCTACCCCCTAAAGAGGGCCACTGACAGCTTTTTTTCTTTTTGTCAATGTGTGTCTCCTTGGGCCGGGCACCAGGTGGCGTGGCAGGGAGTAACCGCCCTCAGTGGCCTCCAAGATGAGAGGCACTATGAAGAGTGACATCCCGGCCATGGATCAGGGTGGCATCTGGCAGACAAGCATGGGACACAGCAGGTCACAGTGGCTGACCCTTCCAGGGTGGGGCCCTGCCAACCCCCAGCAGCCGCGCTGCAGATTGCAGTTCTGAGGCTACCAGTCCCCTCCACCCTCTGGTGAGGGCTGAACCCAGGGGGAAGGGGTGCCCAGCACCCTCTCGGAGGCCCCACCCCAACACAGTCCCCATTCTTCCATCCCTTGCACGGGAACCTGACTTCCTGCCGCTGCCTCAGAGACCCTGGGAGGGGACTCCAGGGACAACAGCCAGACACAGGGGCCCTCTCTTGTCATAAGGGTGGCCCTGGAGGATGTCTGGAAAGGGAATCCTGATCTGTCTTTGGGACAAGCATTTGAAAACTTTACGTCCCCGTGAGGAAGGTGGCCTGGGGGTGCCAGCCGAGAGTTATCAACCGACATCTGAGGGAGGGGCAGGAGGGTGCCCATGACCACCCTGCTCTCCACCTGCCACCAGCCACCCCCAGGATGGCACCCCGCTGTGGGGCACTTCCCACCTGGGGAAAGCAAGGAGGCCCAGGCCCTCACACTTGACAGGCGGTGACAAGTCTGGGGGCTGACAACTTTGTCTGGCTGACACAGTTGCCTGGTCCATGTCGGGACAACGTGGGCCAGAGGGGCAGGAGTGGGGCTGAGGAAGGGGAGGGCAGGACAGGGCGGTGTGGGGGTCCACACCCACCTGGCATCCGCCTCACTGTAGTACTCTCTTGCCACAATGTCCTCAAAGAGCTCCCCACCAGTGACCCTGCAGGAAAGTACACAGAAGTCATGATCTGGGGGCCCCTGTCACCCTGTCCCCTCCATTACTGTCTCTACCGTCCCCACCTCCACCACCAACCCCTCTGCACCATCGCCACTGCCACCAGGACTGCTGGCTTCGCGAGGTCTCCCATGGGCGCCACCCGACAGTCTGCCCTCACACCCTCTCCCACAGCACTGGGTTCCAGGGGCCCTTCTTCCTCACTCCCCAGGGGACACCAGCCATCTTCTCTTGCTGGCCCCCTCAGCCTCTCTCCACGCCTGCCCATTATGTGGGCCAGGAGGGACAATAGCCTCTTGTGGGCACACGCACATGTGCACATGTTCACACAGTTACACGTACAAGCATGCACACACACCATTCCCTCCCCCTTGTCTGCTCCTGAATCACAGACACCCATCAGCTACCAACTGGACAAGGCCCCGCTCCAGCTTGGTGGTCCAAACACTTCCTGGGGAAACAGGGATGACAGCGTGTGTGCCTCATCTAAGGGACCAGGGGGTGGCCATTTCAGGGTCCAGCCTTGGCCTGGCAGCCCTGGCCACCGGACTGGTGACTCAAAGTAGTGTCTTATGGGACACAGGGCTACTGAGGTGGCCACACCCTTGCAGGGACTGTCCCGGCTCCTCTTGACCGAGGAATCAGAGTGGGCTGAGGGCTCCCCAGGCCTCTGTGCAGCCGTCACTGTGGTGGCAGCACCCAGTGGGGCTTTCCTGGCCCTGTCACAGCCTGGAGGCCACACAGAGCGGCCTGAGGCACATGGCCCCTGCCCACCCCCGTCTGTGCAGCCCCGTCCCCCGTGGTGGTGACTCACAGACAGCTAAATACAGCCTCGCAGGGCGCTGTTGGGAGCGAGGGGTGAGGTCACCGCTGCTAAATTCAGCAGCCAGGGAGGGCGGCGGAGGCCCCAGATGCCTTCTCACTCAGCCCCCGCACACGCACACACGTGCACATGCCCCACGGAGCACACACACCCAGTACATGCACCTCCACACAGAGACATGCATGTACTCACAGATCATGCATGCACACACAGTCGTGTCCGTGTCATCACTCACATCTATGCTGACATCCACACACGCACACTCAACATACACAAACGCACATGTGCATCTGGAGCCACACGTGGGCATTCTTACACACAGGCACATGCTGGTGCCCGCCATGGGGGACACACTGAGGGAAACAAGGGGATGGAAGCCAAGCACCTGCCCCTTTGCAGGCCTCCCCTTCCTCTCTCCAGTGTGTTCCTGCTGGAGAAGAGGACCCAGCACCGTGGCCTTGGCCTCTGGGACCGCATCACTCACTGCTAAGCAAATGGGAAGGTGGGGGAGCCTGGGCAGGCACCTGGGACTGCCCACCAGGGGCAAGGGCGGCCCCAGACCCCACCCAGGCCCAACCTGAGCACTTACAGATCAAAGACGAGGTAGTGAAACCCTTCTTCGGAGATGCTGTCGTGCAGGCGCACTGTGGGGACAGGAGAGACCGTGAGGGCTGGCGGCTGAGCTGCCCTGGTGCAAGGGGGTGAGCTCACCCTTCCCAGGGCCTGGGGCTCCCACAACATGGGGCAGGAAGGCAGAGTTGGGTGTACGCGCGGGCCCTGCTGGTCTGCAGCCCCAGGTCTATGTCCAAGGGCCGCCCAGGTGTCTGGACTGGCTCACAGACTGGGCCCCAAAGGAGCCACTGAGGGGCATGGGGAGAGGAGCCGAGGGGCAAGGACCCCAGAGAGATGGCCACACACCCAGCGAGACATGAGTCTCAAAGGCTCCGACCCGGTGCTCCAGTTCCAGACTGTGAGGTCAGCAGTACAATGCTTTTCTACCCCTGAGCCTACAGCCGTGCCGGCCCAGGCCGGTGATGACAATGGGGCTAGTGACAGAGAACTAAACTCCAGCATGGGGAGGCCAGCCCAGCACCTCCTCTCCCTGAGCAGGAGGTGCGCAGCCCTGAACAGCAAATTTTTCTGGGGATGGTTTGCTCTGGACACCGCCCCCCCAGGTACTGGATTCTGCCCTGCACCCCAGGCAGCCGTACTTGGATGCTGCTCTCAGCACTTGGCATCCAAGCTCTCCAAGGAAGAACGTCCGAGGGTTTGCATGCATTTCATGGCCACACGATCAGCATGTGGGGTGCTGCCTGTGGGGAGTAGGGTGTAGGGCTGGGCCCCCACCCCCTGGTGGTTCAGCTTCTCCTTAGAGACAAGGTAGGCCCTGGGCAGAGGAGACAGCCAAGTCTCCTCTGCCCAGGGCCTACCTTGTCTCTAAGGAGACCGCGGCTCCCCCACTGGGAGCCGACCATCCCGAGAGGTTACACATGGGAAGTGGGCCACAGCCCACAAAGGCCGAGAGCAGCAGTGTGGACAGGGAGGGGTTCAGGCCCCCACCCCCAGCTGGTGCCTTCGACATCTCCCTAGTTTCTAACTGTCTCCAGCATCCTCCCACTTCTGGTCCCTCCCACCCAGGGGCCCAGCTTCTCCTTTCCAGGAAACCCATAGTGCTTGCAGTGACCTGTGACCTGGGGCCAAAGCCTGACAGAACCCCCCCAGGGACACTGCTGGGACCTCTCTCTGCTCCCATGCAGGGGACCTGACTTCCCAGGGGTCCAGAATTCTGGAAAGCCGAAGGCCTTCTTCCTGGTGGAGGCCACCCTGCCCAGACCCCTACCCCACAGCACCACTGACGGGAGCCAGACCCCAGGCCCTGCTGATGGAGGACGGGTCCCATGGGCGGGACCCACCGGGACCCACCCATGGGACCCGCCCTCCATCCCCGGAGGACTCCGGGGTCTGTGTGGGAGCTGAGGCTGTGTGCACATGGACACGTTTAAAAATACATTTTTAATACTTAAAAATAGTTGCATATTATTTTAATGGTTCAGAAGAAAACCTAGCTAGCACCTCAGAACCACAGCTTCAGACAGAGCTGAGGAAAGAGCGAACTGCCAGAATCTATTTAAATAAAAACAGCAAGTAAGACAGGCAGGTGGCAGGCACGCAGGACCACACAGCCCCTAAGAGTCTAGTGGGGCAGCCCCAGGAGCAGACACCCCAGCCCGGGGTGAAGGGGGAGGAGTCTCAGGGATGCACACCCCTCTGCTGGAGCCTCAGCTCCTCCAGGGCCTGCTCCCCAAGTCCCAGGCCAGGGGGCCACCACGGGGTCCCTCTCAGACCCCATCCCTGGACCTGTGTTGTCCCTGACAGGTGTGCTCCCCCTCCCGTGCTCTACAGTTTGGTCAGCTGCGGGCTGAACCAGGGGTGGCAACGTGGGCCCTCAGCACAAAGTCACCCGTCCCCTTGGCCCACCTGCACTGGTCTCCGCAGGACGTCTTCCCAAGGCCGCGCCTCTCTGGCACCAGCGTGGGAGGGAGTACAGTGCCAGCCCCAAAACAAGGGGTAGAAGTTTGCCATCACAGAGCCAGGCCTGGGAGCGGGGAGGGCTGGTGCGCAGAGGGGAGGCTGGGAGAGGCCAGGGAAGGTCAGATGAGCCTCTGAGCAGAGGGTAATGGGCTCTGCTTAATCCCAATGGGGCGCCGGCCACATTTAACAAGGCTGTGAGATTCTGCCTGTGAGGGTCTGTTTAATCTGCCACCTCAGGGACCCTGGGGACAACAAGGGGGTTTGGGGACCTGCTTGCCTGCTGAGTGGCAGCTTCTAAGTGCCCTGCTTCCAGCCCCAAAGTGAGGTGGAAGCCCCCTTGCCCTTGGCTGGGTCTCAGCTCCAGACTTCCTGGTCCCTACACAGGCTGAATTGGGCATTCAGGACAAGGGGGTGGGTAAAGGAGCCAACCTGAGGTCTCTTGGGACAGGCAGGTACAACACAGACATGTGTGCGGGGCCTCTGTGAGTTGTGCTTGTTCTGGACACCCGGGGGCAGCAGGGCCTAGCTTGTCCCCGCCTTGTCCCCATGCAAGGCTCTCTACCCAGGGAAGGCACTTGGCTGTCTCCTCTGCCCAGGGCCTACCTTGTCTCTAAGGAGAAGCTGAACCACCAGGGGGTGGGGGCCCAGCCCTACACCCTACTCCCCACGGGCAGCACCCCACATGCTGATCGTGTGGCCATGAAATGCATGCAAACCCTTGGACGTTCTTCCTTGGAGAGCTGGGCTCCCTGCGCTCCTGCGCAGCCTTTGCAGGAACAGAGTGAGGCAGGGTGCAGTGAGGCCCCCCAGACTAATGGACAAAAAGGCTTGGTGGTCCCTTCAGCCAAGAACGCAGAGCCCCACCCAGCTCAGCAGCCCGCTGCCCAGCGCACACCCACGGAGCGGGAGGCAGTGCCAGACAGGCTGCTGCCACTGGCGCTCATGGCCACCCAAGCAACAGGCAGAGAGCCCCTGTCGATGATGGGTGAACAGAGCATCACCAACCCCTGTGCACCAAGGGGGCACCAGCAGCCTGGACAGGGAAGGGAACCCTGCCGTTTGCTGCAACAAGGATGGCCTTGCAGATGTCATGCCCGGGAAAGAAGCTGTCACCGAAGGACACATGCTGTGTGATCCCACAGCGGGGAGGCTGCCAGAGCCATCAGTTCACAGCTCTGCCTCCTCCGTGTTCTGGAATGTTCCGTCTAAGCCCCAAAGTCTCAGCTCTGCCTCCCCCGTGTTCTGGAATGAAGCTGCAGCAAGGACCTCGGGGACCGCTCGGCACTGACCCAGAACCGTGCCAAGCACAGCTCGGCGTCTTGCGGAAGAGCTGCCCACAAACTCCTTCCCAAAGAGCATCTGGGCCCCTCCCCTGCCTGAGGGGACTCCTGAAAGTCATTCAGAATGGGGGCTCAGCCTTGGCTGGTGCTCAGGGGTCACAGGCCTGGGGCTGGTGAGGAGAGGGTGTGTGCAGAGCAAGCCTGGACATGATGCCTGGTGGCAGAAGGGCCCCACTCAGTGGGGGAGTCAGACTGGACCCCTGGGTGTGCAGGGACATCCCCCAGCCAGTGAGGAGTGGGCTGGGGCCCCTGTGGACGCCGTGTCAGAATCCCAGTGCACTGGCATAGACTCCTGGGGCCCCCAGCCTCTCTCTTTCAGGACGGGTCAGAAATTTGACCCCAGTGACCCCAGAAGACTCAGCCTCAGAGTCTGTAACTAAAGAGCAGGGGCCAGGCCCCCAGGAAATGAGACACTGCCCCCCCAATGCCCCTAACAGGCCCCCCACATTTGGGCCAGCACAGCTAGAGAAGAGTCAGGACCCTGGAGGGGCCAGGGTCCCCAGGGTCAGCTCTGAGGACTGGCCAGTCACAGAGGGTGGACAGGGACTCTCCGTGGTGCAGCCGGCCATAACCTCCCACAGGGGCGGCCCCACCCCAAGAATCCCTCCAGGAGGAGACGTTCTGTTGGGGCCAGAGGGTGGGGGCATCAGTGGGGAAGGGGACAGAAGCCTTTGGTGTCTGGAAGGGACAGGCTGCCTGCTGGCGGGAGGGAGGTGTGACCCCGCCCCGCCCCCTCAGCCTCTCACCTATGTTGGAGTGCTTCAGGAGGCGGCAGATCCGAGCCTCTCTCTCCAGCTTCTGGTGATCTGGGGACAGAAAGGGACATGGAGTCACCTGCTGCCCCAGCAGCCAGTCACTCCTTATGCCTCGCACCAGGCCAGCTGCCAGCCATAAGACTCATGGGCAAGGGACCCACCTGACACCTGCAGCTTTGGCCTTCTGACCACCTGCACCTGAGGAGGACTTGTGTGTCCCCAGAGGTGACTGCCCAGTGCAGCAGGCAGGGAGTGGGAAGTTCTCCCTTGCTTCAAAAGTCCCCCCAGGGGATTCAGGAAGATAGGAAGTGTACATTAGCAGCTGGACAGACGGCACTGGCTTGGCCTGTCACTCATCCTCCTCCCACAGCAGAAGAGCTTTCTGCAGAAGCCTAATTTGCTCCTTGGAGGTGGCTGTCTGGTGGCTGTCCTGCCAAGGGCCTTGGGCAAGACATCTGGAAAGAGGGCACAGTACCTGACCCCCACCCCATGCACAAGCCACAGCCAGGGGCCCAAGTCTGGTGGGTGTGTTTACACAAAGTTGGCAGCGGGTGTCGATGTCACGGAGGTCCTGGCCCTGTGCCCACACCCCCCAGACGTCGGACCTCCATTCCAGAGGCCACCCCTCCCCTGAGGACCCAGCAATGTTCCCACCAGAAACAGAGGCAGCAGGAGGATTTTGAAAGCTGATGGAGATCATAGAAGCAAAAACCTGAAAACACCCTCATTCCCCCGACTGGAGAACGCAGAAATCACTGCGGCAGCAGCACACAACTGGACTCACCGGGCGACTGTGCGCATCCCCGATGCCCAACACAAGGCTGCGTGGGAAAAGCCGGACTGTGCTGTGTTCACACACGTGCCATCACACATGCACTCACACACAAAAAAACACACATGCACACCTGTGGTGTTGGAAAAGCAGAACCCAGGCCATGTTCTGTTATGTCTTCGTCTATTTGTCCATTTGGTGGGGGTGCGGGGCTACTCCCCAGTCTGGGGACACTGTGGCTGCCACCCAGAAGCAGGGACGAGACCCTGTGGCTGTGGGGGGATCAGGACACATGTATGTACTTGCAAACACACATGTGTGTTTCCTGAATGAGGAAGTTACCCTGTGGACAGAAGTCCCCAGGAGAGAGGGGCCACCGGCGGCGGCCAGCTGGGCCCCCCTCCCCCAGGACAGGCACTGTTGCCTGCTGGGGTTGCTCACGGCCCCAGCACCTTGCCTGGCCGCCCGAGTCCCTGGCGCTAGGAGGGCTTCCTCACAACCCCTTACAGCCACACAGTCCCGTCTCCACAGCTGGGTGGCAGCCACGGTGTCCGCAGACCTGGGAGCAGCCCCGCACCCCCACCAGACGGACAAATGAACGAAGACACAACAGAATACGGCCTGGGTCCTGCTTTTCCAATACCACACACAACGGCGGGGTCCGAACATGTGAGGCCTGAACACTGGCTGCCCCTCCCTCCCTCGTAGGAGAAGTGGGGGGCTGGAGGGGAGGGCAGTGGGCTCACAGGGTGCTTTTTCTTCCACAGTGTTTGTTAAACTTACTATTATGAACATTTTCCAAACTTCGAGAAAAGCTCCAAGAACAGCACGGGTTCCCATAGACAGCACTTCTGTGTGCAGGTCTCCTCTCACACGCACAGGTCCACACACATGCACAGACACACATCCACACACTCACAGACATGCTCATGTGTGCACACCCACACACATGTCCACATGCACACACTCCTGAGCCTCCCCGGCTGTGTGTTCTCTAAGAACATGGTGCCCTCGGTGCAGTTCCCCCTCGCAGCAAGCCCAGCGCCCACAGGATGCTCACATCCGCCCTGCAGCCCAGGCTGCAGTGTTGCTGGCCATCCCGACAGCAGGGGTGCCAGACTGCGTGCGCTGGACAGGCCTTGGCTCAGGTCAGGGGAGCCTGGAGGAGGAGGGGTGGTCCTCTCTGGGAAAATTGCCTGACCTTGGTCATAAATAAAGCCCCTGAGAGCAATGCATGTGGGAGCCCCTCTTTGGGAAGTAAGGGTCAGAAAGGACTGTATCTTATTACTGCAACCCGTTGCCACTGATCGAACGTGCTGAGGGCTTGTCACAGAACCTGCTCTGGGGACAGGAGCCCTGAACAGGCATCTACGCTGACATTATGTGATGTTGGAGGGACAGGAGGGGGTAGAAAAAGAAGGCCCTACCACCATGGCCCCACTGACGTGGCTACACTGTCACGGCCACACTGTCACGGCCACACTGTCACAGCCCACACGCAACACCTACGTAGGCTTGACCCGGAGAACCTGCGCCACCCACACCAGCCTGCCCTGGGCGGAGTCTGCCCTGGGCAGAGTCCACGCCCCACTTGCACATCAGCAGGGGAGCCGTGCTCCCCCCTGGAGCCAAAGGTGGGAGGGGCGGTGTGCACTCGCCCACCCTGCTGAGGGCTGGCAAAGGCATCAAACAAGCTATTTACTTTTCCTAAACAGAAACACCCACGTATAAAACACAGCATTCATTTGCAACCCATAAAATCGCTCAACAAACAAAATCAAACCAACTTTACTAAAAAATGTCAGCTAGCCCGGACCTGTGGTGCCCCATCAGCTACCCAGCTGTGTGAACCCCAGGACCGTGAGAGGTGTGGGGTCCCCAGCTTTGGGGCAGGGGCCCAGGAATGGAAGTAGCCCCACACTGGTTGTGGGGGGAGGGGCAGAAGAGAGAGGTGCCTGGAGGTGGTCACACACACTGAACTTCAATAACGCCCCGGGGAATGGTGGGGGGGACTGAACTCAGCTCCTCACCAGCCCCCTAGCAAGGCAGCAGGTCCCCCTAGGCACCTGAGTAGTCAGGAGGGACGAGAAAGCCACTAAGGGTGGCAGGAGACAGCAGAGGGCAAGTGTAGACCTGCAGTGGCCACCATCACAGGGGAAACCGAGGCACATAGTGGCGCCCAGAGTCCCCCAGGCCAGCAGGACAGTACTCCCTGCAAGGCTGGTGGCCTCCTTCATGGCCCCCCAGGGACAGCCCCCCTCCCTGCGGGCACCATCCCCCCTCCCAAGCCCCCACCTCCCGCCCTCCTGGCCCCCAGCTGCTCCCTGGATTTGGGGCTGGGGGAGAAGAGCCAGGAAGAGGTAGGCAGGAGGGAGGAGGTGGCGCTGGGGCTCTCGCCAGCTGCCAGCGGCAGCAGCACCATGACTGGCAGGAGGACGTGAGAGGCGCTGGGCTGGTGGAAGAGGGATGGATGGGAGGGGGCTGCCAATTGCTCCCCCAGGTACGATTGTTCCAAAAAATTGGGAACGACTGGGTGTGAAATCCTACCTGAAAAGTTCACAGTCCCGTACCAGGGCTTTCTCTACTCCCAGGGAGTCTGCTGGACACCACACCCTTGGGGCCGGGCAGGTGGGCGGACACTAGGAGGCCCCGCCTCCACCAGCACGGGGCCCTCCCCCTTCCTCAGCTCCCAGCCCCGCCTGCAGGAAGGCAGGCACAGCAGGGGTCCTGGCCTGGGACAGGGGCTGGGACACCGAAGGGTGCCAGCTGAGGACAGGACCACTATGGCTGTTGCCCAGAAAGCCCCACGTAGAGCTGGCAGGGATCTGAGAGTTGTGTTGGGGACACCAACACAGCTGGGGAATGTGTTGTGTTCCACTGACCGCCCCGCCCTGGGGTCATCATCCCCTTCTGCACAGAAGGATGGCCAAGGCCCCAGGGCAGAATGAACACGGGTAGGGGGGACAAGGTTGGCAGCCCCTCAGGCCAGGGCATCAGGGGCCCCTGGCAGCAGTCTGTCTTTGCTGCCTCACTTGCCATTCAGATCAGAGTGGGGAGCATGCTCCAGCCAGACACAGAGCCCCCCCCTGGGAGGCCCAGGCTGGTGCTAACAGCCTCTCGGGGCTGAGGGTAGTCAGTGCCCAGGTCTGGCCCAGTGTGTCCAGCTGGCGGCTGCAGTGCTAGGCCTGCTCAGGCCCCAGCTGCAAGCCCAACCCACTCCATCCAGCTGGGGGCGGGCGGCTCCCCTGCTTGTGGGCCTCAGAGGGCTCCTTCAGAGCCTGTTTGTGAAAAGGGCACAAGTTCCCAGAGAGGGGTTCCCCCGCAGCCAGCCCCTGGCACCCTGCTCCCCCGCCCTGCCACCCCTGCTCCTTTGGCGGCTTGCCTCCTGAGCTTAGCTCCTGACTCACGACGAGTCTTCAGCGCAGCGGTCCTGGGGCAGCCCTCTGGGCCAAGCCGCTGGGTGCAGCCTGACCATCCCGGACCCTCACAACGGCTAGTGAGCCCCTGGCAGAGTCCCAGCCCCCCAGCCCAGCCCTCCTCCCTCCTGAGGCACTGCCCTCAGGGCCTTAGGAATAGGGGGGCTGTAGGGTGGAGGATGAGGAGCAGAGGGGTGGCCATGGGGAGGAAGGGGAGAGTACTGGCCCAGGGAGGGGGGTGTGGGCACAGGCTCAGCGCCCCCGCAGTGTCGCACTGCGGCCCTGTTAACCCAGTTCAGCGGGCTCCGTGGCACCATCATCCCAGCTCTGGGTCTGGGTCATGGGCAGTGGGAAGCCAAGGTGAGGGAGTGCTGGGCAGGCGTGGGTGTTCAGCCCCATCCCACCCTCTGCAGGGATGCCTCCAGGGCAGGGGGGCACACAGGCCCTGGGCAAGGGGTGGCCCCAGGTGACCAAAAAAGGGGCATCAGCCTGGAGGTGGGAGGCAGCACAGAAGCGAGCCCCCCTCCCCCGTCTGCACACCTGGGGTCTCAGTCACCTCGCCTGTGAGGTCAGCACCCTAACAGTAAGGTCAGTCTCCCCAACGTCAGTCCCACCTGTGGGGCCAGTCTCCTGCTGAGAGGTCACCCCGCCCTGCCCTCAGGTCAGCCTCAAACCTGAGGAGTCCTCAGCCCTCCCCAGCCGGGTCAAGGCCAGAGCCTGTGCCCCCAGCTCTGTGCCTCAGACAGGAGGCCCGGTTTCCTTGGCCCTGACGGTCTGAGGGCCCTGGGGTCAATGAGTGGAGGCACAGTGCTGCTGACGGTCAGGGCACCGTAAATGCCCAGGACCTGCCTAGGGGGTGGCCACCAGCCAAGGGTCACTCCTGGGACACCTGCTTTCTGCACGCTCACCCCAGCAAGCACTGACCCAGCTCACCTCCCAGGGTGCCCTCCGAGGCAACAAAATCGCCCCAAACAGCCGTGTCCTGCCAACAATGCTGGGGGGGGGGGGCGGACGGGGAGGCAGCAAGAACCGAAAATGTTGAGAAAACCCATATCCCCAATGATCTCTCACCCCAGTCAATTAATTTTCCTCTAACTGCTTTTGTGAACAGCGGTTTAATAATCTCTAATTATTCAGCACCTTCACTGATTCTGAATGTCTCACCATCCTCTATTTAAGTATTAAATTTAAAAAATCTAACTCAGCCCCTGGCACCAGCTGGGAGTGATGGGCTTGTCCATGACAGCCAGCCATTCTGGGGCGAGCGGTGTTCAGGGTCCCAGCCAGGGCACCCCTCTGCCCCCACCTCCCCGGGCATGGCAGGGGGCCGGCCCCTCAGTTGCTCCCTGGGAGCTTGTCGGACCCTGGGAGACCCAGATGGCAACCAGGCCTCCCCTCCTGCCTCCCGTCCACCCTGAGGATCCTGCATCCAGGCCTCCCAGATGCCCAGGAGTCCGGTGGCCAGCAGCCTCCCCCACACCCAGCACCTGCCTGGCCTCACCCCTGGGAGACGGGCTGTAGCACAGCCATCCGGGACCAGCCTGGTGGGACACGAAGCCCACAGGCCCTGGTCTCTGAGAGGTGCTGCCACACCGCCCCAGAGCCTCCCTCCTCACACCCTGGCCCACCCTGGGGCCCTGTGCCACCCTCCTTCTAGGCTCTCAACCCTGAGGAAGCAGTGAGGGTGCGGGGCTGACCCACCGGGCCCCTGAGACCTGCTGCCTGGGCTAGGAGGACGCTGAGTCCTAAAGGTATACAGCAGGCACCTAAACACACCAAAGCGAGTCTCGTGGTCTAGGCTCAGCAGCCTGTCCCCAGGGCCTTGGGCTGTGGCCACAGACCCTGCAGACAGAGGCAGGTCCCCGCACTTTCGGGGGGTTGGAGGCCAGGACACCTTGGCCAGGCCTCTTAGACTCCTGTCGGGAGCCGACGGCACCGCCCTCAGCCTCCACCTGACCCTCAGCCCCGCTCAGGGCAGCATGGCCACCAGGCACAGCCCTGCCACACATGGGACACTTCCCGACCCTGTGAGGACCACCCCTCAGCAGGGGCAGGTGAGCGTGGGCAGGTGAGCCTGGGCAGCCCTGGCTTCCCTGCCACCCAAGCTCTCTGTCCTGAGATTCGCAGGCCGGCGGCATTATCTGACTACCAGAGGCCTGGCCACCATGCTGTTGCCCCTGCAGCCCAGGTGAGGTCCCCAAACCCCTGTGAAGGTGTGACCTCGAATCTGAGGGTGGGGTCCCTGTCCCTCCCACCCTACCTGGGTCCCCCCACAGCCAGGACACCAGGCCCTGCTGCCCCTGCGCCCAGACCTCTGCTCGAGGCCCACCTACCTCTGGCTGACAGCTTCTTGGTGTTGATGATCTTGGCTGCGTACTCATGGCCGGTACAGAGCTTGACACAGCGCCGCACCACGGAGAACGCCCCCCTGGGTGTTGCGCGTGGACGGGGACAGGGACAGAGAGGAAGCTGGTTAGTCTCCCCGTGGACGCCCCCCTGCCCCATGAGGCCAGGCTGTGGGCAGAGCTCTGTGGGCTCTCTCCCCACACAGCTGCTGCCTCCACACTGCCCCAGCTCAGGGGGCTCCTTCCCTGGCAGTGGGCCGAGCCCAGCCAGTCCACTGACTCCAGCCCTCACAGGTCAGCAGAACCCAGGGTGCAGCCTCTGGTGCTTCGGGCCGGGTCCCAAGGCCCAGTGAGGCCCAGTGAGGGCGTCCCCTAGGCGTGGTGTCTGTCAGTGCAGCCACATGGGACTCCATGGGGGTGGGGTGGGGTGGAGATGAGTGAGGTCACTAAGCTGGGAAGCTGGAGGACTGGGCCACCCATCTTAGCTCCCCCCACCTCAGCTGACCCATGTGATGTTCCCACTGTGAGTACAGGGTATGTGTCCTCAAAAGGTCCTTTTCTTAAGAAGAAGCATAAAGTAAGGAGGCTGTTTCTGATGGTGACCCCTGGTTACTGACCATCTTGAGGGGTCGGCCCCCATACACAGGCCCTCAGCTACCACACACAGTGGCCTGGGAGTTCCTGAGAATGAGGAACCACCACGTTGTCCCTCCAAGAGGCCGCTGGATTTTGGGGGGCGCTTAAATTTTGGAGCCAAAAAGAATCAAGTGCCTTGAGTAAAAGGAAGGGATGAAACCCTTGTGTGTGTGTTTTATAGTCCCCACTGTGGCCAGGCACAGAGGTACCCTCATAGTGGGGGCCTCCCTGCCCACGGTCCTGCCCAGGAAGGCCCTCCTGCGACAGGCCGTGTCCAGGGCTGCCTGCCCCACGTGGCTGCCCGGGGCCCTGGGGTGTCTGCCTCCCTCAGTGAGCAAATCCATCACTTTTGTGTCCGAGGGCACTTCACACACACCCCCTCTGACCCAGGTGGCAGGCACCCGTCTCTGCACAGACACCCCCACAGGTCCAGTGAGCTGCTAAGCCACCCCAGACGGCCCCAAGTCTGGAAACCAAAGAGTGTCGTCCGTCCCATCCACTGACTTAGAAGCAAAGTCAAGTGAACACATCGACGGGTACAGAAACAGGGGCTGACAAAACACAGGACCGATCACCACAAAACTCAGCCCGCGGGGTGGGAGGAACTTTCGGATGCGGCGGCCCGGCTCCACCAGCGGCACACTTGGGGCTTATTTTCTCACAGCTCGGGTGCCCACCTGGGGGCTCTGAGAGTGCCTGCGGGCCTCGCCCCCTGCCTCGTGCCCGCCTGCTCCCCTGCACAGGGGCTGCTAGGGAAAGCTGCGGGGGTGTCAGAGCAAAGCCCTGAGTCAGGGCCAAGGGCATACACGCCTGCCCAGTGCCCTTGCATGGCCAGCTTCCCCCCAGACACCAGGCCAGGTGGCCCAGGGGCAGCGGCCGCTGGCCAGGTGAGACTCAGCCCCTGCACAGCGACATCCTGCAGCTGCCACCTGGAGGGCCTCACCACCCCGCTCAGTTCTCCCTGAGGTGGTGGTTCAAATAGGAGCTGTTCTCACCTGCCCAGCTGGGTCACCACCCACCACCGGCTGAGACTGCCTGGCCCGGGGACACTGATGTCATCTTTCAGGCCACTGTGCTCTCAAGATGGCCCCCCAGTGCCTGAGCTCAGGGCCTGCAGGAGCAGGGCTCTAGCCTCTGGGTCACCCTGCCACCGCCCCCATGCCCCACATGCTCAGAGGCTGCACACTGGAGTGCACCCAACAAGTCCGACTGCGGGCCACCCCAACGCCAATTCAGAAGAAAGCGGACAGCTGGCTGCATGCAGCTGCAGGAGTGACTGAACCGACATCCTCCCAGCTGCTCTGCTAGGCCATACCCCATGGCGGGGGGACCTTCAAAGGCAGCGCTTCAAAGCCGTCTGCCCCACTTGTCGGAGTGCCAAGCAGTCAGGCAGAGTACAGTGAGGGGGAGCAGCTACGGTGTGGGAGGGGCAGCCCCGCCTGCTGCACACAGGCCTCCGAACTCATGTGGGGCCCTGTGATGTAGCCCATGACTGGACCGCAGGTGTCTGGAGACTGACAGGATGGCTGTGTGGCCACTTGATCTTTCCTGTGAGCTGTGGAATCTCTACGACATCTGGAGGTCCGCTTTGTTCTGTCTCAGATCCACCGACCTCACTGCCCTCGGCTGTATTCCCGAGGAAGGCGAACATCTCGGGATCAGCCAGGAGCCCCAGCATGGCACTGGACGTGCAGGCCGTCTCAGAGGAAAGTTGTGGGGGGAGGCAGAGCCGCAGCACCCAGCAAAGGGGCCCCAGCAAGCCACTTCTGGCCTCCCTGCATTTGAGCAGCACCCCAGGCCTCACCACCCTGCACTGAGATGCCGCTGCCTGTGCAGGAGGAGGCGTATATGTCTTTTGCACACCCGCATTTGCAGCCATGCCATTCATCACGGCCAGAGTGGAGCAGCATGGGCCCGTTGGCAGACGAAGGGGCTTCTGACACCTTTGTGACAAGGCCGGACCGCAAGGACATGACGCCGAGAGAAACCAGATCCAGGGGGACAGATGCTGCTCAATCCCAGCTACAGGGGGTCCCCAGGGTTGTCAGACTCAGAACACAGAGGAGATGGTAGAGCCAGGCGCTGGGGGAGGGGAGGGGAACGAGTGTTTGATGGGGTGGAGTGTCAGACTGGATGATGGAAAGTTCCGGAGACAACGGTGGTGACGGCTGCACAGCGACAGGAATGTGTTTGCTGTCCCTGAGCTGTGTGTGCACCCAGGGCTTGGGTGGGGTGGATGTCACGTTGGACGTATTTTTACCGCAACAACAAACCTGTGGGGGATGCCGCAGCCGTATGTGCCGGGCCCATAAGGGGAAAGGAAGACACTGGTGGTGGCGGCGCCATCTTCACAACTGCGTGTTTGGAGGGAGTGCCCTCAGTACCATGTGCCAAAGCAAGGTCTGCCCTCAGCTGACGAATGACATCGCCGCCGCCGACAGACAGCTGTCAACTCAGGGGCACCAGCGGCTGTGACCAGCAGGCACGGGCAGTGGACACTCAGTCGGGATGTCCGGCAGCTGGACACCCACCCCACCCACAGGCTCTGAGCCGTGTCCCCCTGAACCCACACCCGGAGATGGTGCAGGGAGAGCTGCCGAAGGCCCCAGACCTGGGGCAGGCACGGGGTAGAGACCACACACCTCACAATGACGCCCCCCCTTCCTGGACATGGAGGCCGAGGCTCTGAAATGGCCCTTCCCCACCCTGACATTCCATCCAGCACCCTCGCCACCGCACCGTCCCCACTGCTGGGAAGGATGAACATCCCTGGACCCTGCGCAGAGGATGACACTGAGCTCAGGCCCATGGTCTGCTTACACCCAGCAATGTCCTGGGCAAAGGCCCAGGCTGAACACCCAGGAGCCGCAACGTGTGATATCATAGAAGTCTCTCAAAGGCCAAGCCCCAGCCACCACCCAGAACCCACGATGACTGGCCTGGGGCTGGGGGACCCAGGGGCACGAGCCGGAGGGAACTGAGCTCCACCCGCCACCACAGCTCAGCTTGAATGGGGGAATGACAGACCGCATCCCAGTGGAAGAGCTCACCTCCCAGGTGCCTGCGAAGCCCCGAATGTCCCTTCCAAGGAGCTACCAGGGATGGGAGGCAGAAGGAGCAGACCCCAAGATGACATCCAGAAACACTCCTGAGGACCCTTTAAGGGAGGGGGAAAGGAAAGGAGGGGAGATGGAGAGGGAAATAGAGGGGATAACTTGGCTCCATGTCCCCTGCCCCATGGCATCACCAGCACAGTGAGGTGATGCCCATTGGTCACCACACCAGGAAACACCTGGAAGTCAAGAAGGCGCAAAGGAAAGAAAGGACACCCCCATCAGGAAGGCCACCAGGCCTACGCAAAGTGGTTAACTGTCCAGATGAGTGTCTGTTCATGTGGATCAGAAAATTACATTGTAGGCCCTGGCTGGTGTGGCTCAGTCAATTGAGTGCCAGCCTGTAAACCAAAGGGTTTCAGGTTCGATTCCCAGTCAGGGCACATGCCTGGGTTGCAAGCCAGATCCCCAGTAGGGGGCACTTGAGAGGCAACCACACATTGATGTTCCCCTCTCTTTGTCCCTCTCTCTCTCTAAAAGATAAATAAATAAAATCTTTTTTAAAAAAGAAAGAAAAAATTAGGACATAGGATAAACGTGCACACTTCCAGGGCCTGCAGACGAACTGGGAGATGCAACACCTTCCAGACAATCCCCTGCTGCTGAGGGCCCCACCTGCCCTGAGGGTGCAGTCCCACCCACATGGGGCCCAGAGACCCCAGACCTGGAGGGGGGCCCGGGAGGCATGAAGGAGGTTCCCCGTGACAGCCGGCGTGGGCGCCCCACCACCCCCGAGCTGCCAATCCTGCTGACAGCGTGTCTGCCCCCTCCACCCATGCCTGTCACCACACCCACGGGCTTGTCCCTGCTCCCTGGGGAGCCTCACCCTCCAGCACCTGGCCACCGTGAGCGAGTTACTTGGAGAGCCGAGCCCCTCATCTGCTCCGAGACCCTGCTGGACCTAAGGTCAGCTGCTGGGCGTCTGGAATGCCGAGGTTTGGGGAATACAGGCCAGCTGCAGCCCTCGGGGAGGGGCTGTGAGTCTCACCCTGGGGCCTCTCTCTCTCTCCCCCTCTGACACACACGTGTGTACACACACACAGTCTCCCGGCTCAATGACAGGTGCCCCAGTGTTGGCAGAGTGACAGCGGGGCACCACATTGGCCCCTGTCCTCGGGACCGCAAGTGACCGTGCCCAGGAAGCCATGGCCAGGGCTGCCGACACTTTGTTAGCTCACTTCCCAGTCACGCCAACCCAGAGATGCAGGTGCGAGAGGTTTGTTTTTCTACACGGGTTTTATTTGCTTTTAAACATCTTTAGTGAGAGGTCACTCACTTGCCACACAATCCACTCATAAAAAGCACATAATTCAGTGGTTTTTGCTTCATTCACA